AGGCAGATGTTCCAAATACTCTCCAACATTCATTCATACCTACTTCCAAAACAGAGACTTTCATTTCCTTTCATCATGTCTCAAGGCATAGAGGGTTGAAAAGAAAAAAAACCCTCAAAACCCTACAGTCATTCTAACTTAAGATGGCAAAACAAATACTCTGCCAATCCGACAGAAACTAGAGGTCTAGGTCATAGGTAAAGGTAAAGGGACCCCTGACCATTAGGTCCAGTCGTGGCTGACTCTGGGGTTGCGGCGCTCATCTCGCTTTATTGGCTGAGGGAGGCAGCATACAGCTTCCGGGTCATGTGGCCAGCATGACTAAGCCACTTCTGGCAAACCAGAGCAGTGCACGGAAATGCTGTTAACCTTCCCACTGGAGTGGTACCTATTTATCTACTTGCACTTTGACATGCTTTCGAACTGCTAGGTTGGCAGGAGCAGGGACCGAGCAACGGGAGCTCACCCCATCGCGGGGATTCGAACCGCCGACCATCTGATCGGCAAGCCCGAGGCTCTGTGGTTTAACCCACAGTGCCACCCGCGTCCCTTCTAGGTCATATACTTGACTAAATAATTCCACCCACAAGTGTGGACAGAATGCTCACAAGCTCCAGGCACACCTACCAAGCAATGTAGCTATGTGTCTGCAGGATTCACATAGGGCTGCCATACGTCTGGGAGTTCAAAAGCGGAATTGACGTTCGGTGGAAATTTCCGGAAGACGGCACTTTGTTCTGGATCTTAGATCAGAAAATTGCATTTTTTTGGTGTTTTTGAAAGAAATAAAAGCTCAACAACTTTCAGTGTGTTGTGCGTGAACACACAACATATATGTGATACTGCATTAATGCTTTCCCTCCACAGCTATGGTCAGCGGTGAACTAGGCCATAGCATTATAGAGATGGAACGGATTATGGACACAAACGTAATTTTCTACAATGGCTGAATTTGCTTGACCTCAAGAGCATCTCCTCATAAGAAGGTGGCAACTAAAAACAAACTCTTGTTGTTCTATTAGGATCTAACGATGGGGAGAAATTACAATTACAAATTAAAGCATTTCCGCAGCAAAGTCCCCAAATCTGCCCACTGCATACAACTGCAAATCCAGCTTCACTCAATCAATTTACTCCTTGGGCGCAACTGAATTAGTATTTGGCAGTCAATTGCGAATATTACATTTTATACTTGCATTTGAAAAGCAAAACAAAACTTCTATCCAAGCCTGATGATCCTTCTAGTCATAATAATATGCCCCAAAATATATTCAAAAAACAAAACAAAACTGCAAGCGTGACAGATGTTTTCATCGAGAAAGAAATACTACCTGCCACAGTCTGTCCTGTTTCCTGCCTCAAAGGGGCCGGCAGCTTTAATGTTTTGTTGACAGAGATGTGAGAGGAGGGAAGGGAACATGAAGCAGCAGGCCTGTTCCATGTGCCTCCGCTGGAGTTTACCTGCTTTAAAAAAAACCCCAGCTTACAGATGCTTTAGCACCTTTTGAACTTCACGGAACTTTTTCCCTGACACAATTGCTCCCAGAAACAACCGTCTGGTGCGAACATGCTTTGCTGTGCTTTCTAAATGATTTATCTTGCCACAGACCTTGATATTCAATACAGGTGAAGCAATAAAGACAGTAAAGCTTTCAGGTTCGACCATCAAGGGTTGGAAAAGCTTCAGTGGAAATTAAATAGCATCAAGGTGGTTCCTGAGCCTTTCCTCTTTTGTTTCCCCCCCCTTTATCTCTTCTCAAAGAAAAAAGGATTTACACAGGGGATTTGGGAAACAACCTTAGCTGGAGGTACCTTTGCTTTGCCAGATAAAGCACAACCCTATGAAAAGATGACTCAGTCGCCGCTGCTCCTGGCATTGTCTCTGATTTCTTAAAGCTTGATAGGAGTTTATGGGATTCATTTATCTCCCTGATCCATTTTCTATGGCCTCCTTATTGAAGCTTCTTCGTGGTAACATCTGGAAACTGATAAGCGTCCTAAGGGGCTGAAAGTAAGGGCTGAACTACACATTACATACAAATGGCAGCGGTGGGTGCTTCTGGGTGAAGCAGCTCTGTGAGAGGGCAGCCCCCAGCAGAGAAAGAGCAGGAGGAGAGCTGCGGTGGCACACGCATTGTCAAATGGATTTTTTGCAATGTGCTTCACGTGGGGCTGTCCCTTGGGCTTGGTTCAGAAGCTGCAACCAGCGCAGAATATTGTGGTAAAGTTGGTGAGTAGCAGCTAGTGGCAAATATGGTACAGTGGTACCTTGGGTTACATACGCTTCAGGTTACAGACTCCGTTAACCCAGAAATAGTACCTCAGGTTAAGAACTTTGCTTCAGGATGAGAACAGAAATTGGGCAGCGGCGGCGGCATGGCAGCAGCAGGAGGCCCCATTAGCTAAAGTGGTGCTTCAGGTTAAGAACAGTTTCAGGTTAAGAACGGACCTCCGGAACAAATTAAATACTTAACCCAAGGTACCACTGTAAAACAGTTCGAGGAATTTCACCGGTTGCCAAGAACAGCTGGCGGGAAGGCACGTTCCATGGACCTGGCCTCCTGGAAGTGCTGCTGCTTACTGGAGTGGTGTGGGAGCGACGTGGCAGCAAGGTTGCAGTGGGCGCATCTGTAGGATGAACTCTGCCAGGGCGTCCCTACCGCCTTGCCCTCGCCACACCACCCCAGAACTGCTATTGTTGGAGGCAAGGCCTGCAGCACTGCTCCTCCCCCCCGGCCTCTTCTGCTTGCTGCCAGTTAACTATCAAGCCAGGTACTTGTGTTGATCCGTAAATGGCTTAGGGCCCAGGAAGGCAGTTGCTGCATCACCTCCTCCTCCCCTATATATGCCAGCCTACTTCTTGAGATCAAGTGGACTGGAGACACCTAACAATGCCATGCTTGCCATTGGGGTGACATGGGAGAAGACATTCTTAATAGTGGTACCCCAACAGTGGAATGCCCTCCCCTCGCAGTTTGGTTGGTTCCAACAGTGATGAGCTTTAAGCAACTTGTAGAGACATAACGGGACGCAGGTGGCGCTGTGGGTTAAACCACAGAGCCTAGGACCTGCCGATCGAAAGGTCGGCAGTTCGAATCCCCGCGGCGGGGTGAGCTCCCGTCGTTCGGTCCCAGCTCCTGCCTACCTAGCAGTACGAAAGTACCCCTAAGTGCAAGTAGATAAATAGGGACCGCTTTCTAGCGGGAAGGTAAATGGCGTTTCCGTGTGCTGCGCTGGTGCTGGCTCGCCAGCTGCGGCTTAGTCACGCTGGCCACATGACCCGGAAGTGTCTTCGGACAGCGCCGGCTCCCGGCCTCTTGAGCGAGATGAGTGCGCAACCCTAGAGTCGGTCACGACTGGCCCTGATGGGCAGGGGTACCTTTTTAGAGACATAACAGGACTTTTTTTCCAGGGGGAACTCACAATAACTCAGTTCCAGCACCTCTCAGGTGGGCACGATTGCCATTCTTAGAGAACAAGGGAGGCATTCATGGTGAGTTCCAGCACCTCTTTTTCTAGAAAAATGGCACTGGACATACTGAGGCATTTCCTTAATTTGACTGGAGATTTTTTGTCGCTCTCCTGGTGCTGCAATGCAAGCTGACACATTGTTGCCATTTGATTCTTCAGATTTTATTATGTATTATATATTTTATGTTGCATCCCAATCTGTGAGGGGGTTATAAAACCTTCAAGACTGCTGCTTTTCCACTACCATTTCCCTCCGCCATAAAACAGAGGCTGCTGCTTCTATGGGTGGCAATGCAGCTACAGAAGGAAAGTGGTCATGGTGAAACCACCCTCACTTCTCTGCTGACAACCATTCCTCTACTGAAGCCACTGGCACTTTGTTGAGCACAGGTCTGAACTTCAGTGTATCCAGGCAGAAGCCCAACACACACCCCTTATTCTACAATATCTTCTCTTTACAATGCCTCCAGGCCCAAACAAACAAACCCAAAGGAATACATACATAATTTGTGCATGTGTGATAAGAAGAATCGGGTGGCATATGCAAAGAATCTCAGATTTAGAACACAAAAGAGCACTTTTCTAGCCCGTAAGGTTTCAAATAATTAAGAAGTTGATACAGATTTCAGTTTCCTGTAGTCAGTGAGCATGACTTCCACGCAACTTGTACAGCCTTTCCAGGCAAGCTCCTTTTAGTCTGGTGGCGCCCAGCCCAAGGACTTTTCTGTTGACCCTATGTGCAATAATTATCCTTCCAGTTCCTCTTGAATACTTTAGTCATTAGTCATTAGGGGAATGAAAGAAATTTGGGGAAGCAAGAATTATGGCCAATGTTCCAGCTAACAACCTGGTATGAAGTCTTGTCTTATTTTGCTCCTCTTTAAGGCAGACAAGGGGAAAGAGAAAACACTCTATTTGGTGCAGAAATGATGTCACTGCAGCATTCTTGCATGCCACATTGCTCCTGCTCTTATACCATGGGTAGGCAAACTAAGGCCCAGGGGCCGGATCCGGCCCAATCGCCGTCTAAATCCGGCCCGCAGACAGTCCGGGAATCAGCGTGTTTTTACATGAGTAGAATATGTCCTTTTAATTAAAATGCATCTCTGGGTTATTTGTGGGGCATTCATTCATTTCCCCCCCTCCAAAATATAGTCCGGCCCTCCACAAGATCTGAAGGACTGTGGACTGGCCCCCTGCTGAAAAAGTTTGCTGACCCCTGTCTTATACTCAGATCTGCTCATGCATCTAGCTCAGTACTGACTAGTAGCGGCTTCCCAGCGTTTCCTACCTGACAATGCTGGGTATAGAATATGGCACCTTCTGCTGCAAGATGCAACCTCGTTTTTCCCGTGAGTTAAGGAATGCCCTATATACATCAACAAGAACTCGCACCATGATGCATGGGAAACGAATGGGGCAGATACTGTGCCGGCACCTGGAGAACATGCACACTGGAGATCAGCAGAGTTTTGAACTGTGCTCAGCATGTAAAGGATGGGCAAATATCAGAAAACAGATTGGATATTCAGAAAAACACAAATATATATTTAATAAACGCGCACACACAAAATTACATGTTCAAAATGTTATCAATGATTTTTAGGGAAATCACTTACACCAAAGAGGCACATTTTATTTGCTTCATGTCACTGTTTTGTCTTCCTGAGAATGCATTTGCATTGTTTATTTTCAATCTCTGACAGAGAGTAACAGTTTCTCTTGGTTCTCTAAGCACTCTTTCAGTTTATCTTCCGTCAAAGTCAGACGCTGCTCCAAGATTGAGACAGTCTGTTAGGAGAACAGGGCAACAAGTGCTTGTTATTGATCGCAATGTTTTATTTACAAAATAACTTCTCTTAATACACTAAAGAAACCAGAGAACTGCAAGATTTGATTCAGATATTCCACCATTTCAGTAGTTCACGGAAACTTTAAAAATACATGGGGTTTTTTGCCGTGCTAAACACATCATGGTCTTGGCATCAAAATAAAACAAACTATTGGAGAAGAACTCTAAAATCCAAATATATATATTTTTTGACAGAGCATCCCTGTATGTGCTATGTATTCAGTTGTATCAGACTAGAGTATTGATTCGGAGAATAAAGCCTCCAGCTTCTATAACTCTGGAAACTAAAGTGTTGAGAGTTCCCCTTTCAAAGCTGATACCCACAGGGTCACATGAGATGTTCTGCACACACGCCAGGGTTTTTCCAAATCTCTCCCTTCCCCCAAACAGGTGTAGCCCTGAACAGCTGCAGGTAAGGCATGTGATGTGGAGACTGCAGCTGGGGAAGAATGAGTGACACACCCCTCCGTACCCTTGGAAGCGCCTTCTCAGGGGGTCCTCAGGTCTTGGCACGTAAATATTGTGAGTGATGAAGGGACTTCAGAAAGGGCTTGGATGGACATCACAAATGTCTGAAATACTTTGTTGTATCAGAATCCAACTTTTCAGTGATATCTGCTTTCAAATATATTCTCCACTTATTGTGGAACACATTAAATTGATAGGAATGGTGTTACTGAGAAGTGTTGAGCAAGTTTTTGTGGATCTGAACACACCATGTAAGACACGTTCTGTGCTTCTTGGGTAGAAATTGGGTAATGCTCTGATAGACCTTAAATACATCGACAATAACAAAAATGATTAAAGGATGTATTTTTTTCTTTTTCTTGGTCATAATTTTTTTTCTTTTCACAAGTTTTACAAATTTACTTAAGTTTCAAAATATGTTTTTCTTAAAATTTTGACTTCTCACCCTTACCACAATGATGTATTTTCTTCCTACCTTATACCTACTGCTTTATATAACATACTTTTATCTAATACAATTATTCTCTATTTCACCTATTATTGTTTTTATTCTGCAGCTGATGTATTTTTTCTAGGAGCTCAAAGTACTTCACATATAAAGCAGTTTGTTTTAAATTACCGGTAGTAGATCAATCTACTAAGGCATTTGCTAATTGGGGTGGGGAGGAATTTGTTATCCGTTGGGCTGAGCAATTTTTTTTATTGTGGAAAACTTCTTTTTCGACACTATTTTAGCTCAGGTATGTTAATTATGGTGGCATATCCATCTGATAAAGAGTAGCAACTTTTATTAAATTTAAAGTGCTTCTACTTCCTTCAATATCTCAGAAAGACATCTATACTGGCATTGACATATGATACGCAATTTCTTTCGCTGACTGATCAGAAGTCCTACTTCACAAACATACTATTGGTAATTATTACAACTCTGTAGATAGTATTATTATGCATTTATGATCGACGAAGGGCTGAGGCAGAGAGACTGAGTGTAGCCTGCCTCAGGTCAATGAAGGAGTTACCATTTGTGTAGGCCCACCTGAGAAAGTTTTTGAATAGAAAGTTTTTGATGTCAATCTTTAAAATAGATAAATGTTGAATTGAGGGCCCAGAGGCGTAAGGAGACAGGAAGAGTCCTGCTAGACCAAACGCAAGGCCTAGCTGGCCCCTGAAGGAGGAACAGGGCTATTTGTCACTTCACCACTAGCCCCAAGAAGCCTAGTGATTTATTATTTATTTGCAGGCACTCCAGTACATGCAATAGTGTTGGGGATTTACTCACAAGAGTAAGAACATCCAGCTGCTCCACAATGTGTTCCAAGGCGTTAGTCAAAACTGGAGAAATGCCTACTGGCTCATCCATGGTGTGCGCAATGTATTTACTTCCGTCTTCCAAACTTGTCCTTGTTGCTCTTGGTGAGGATAAAACTGAATGCTGCTGCATGTCTTGGCTGTTCATTCCATCTTGCTGCATGATCACTCTCTCTTGTTGCATGGAAGGTTGAACTAAAGGGATACTTGGCTTTGTCTTTGATTAAAAGGAAAAGCAGAGAGGGTGGTAAGCTTGAAAATCTTCAGCATCCTTTTTTCCCTTTCGGAAGCAAACCTAAGAACTGCAGTTGTTACCCTGCTGTAGCTGTTCTCACAAAAAAACAGAGGAGGTTCCTCCTCAGCCTGCATCTTTTCTCTCTCACATTTCCCCAAAAGGACTTACCAGTTTTAATAACTCGTATTCATTGTTCTTTTATTCTCTGCTGTTCTGGAAACTCCCAGAAGTATTTTACTTGTAGCCTTTCACTATCATGAAGTGGTTTACAAAATAAATCTCCCTGGTGACTGCTAGCAGGAAGACTCACCATGAGACTGAACTAACACACAGTGATTAGAAGCCTAGTTTTGCATGCCCTTGAGGGTTGGTTCCCAAAGCCGCAAAGCAAGTTATTTATGAGTTGGAGGGGCCTACTAGGCAAGCCCAAGCTCTCAGGGCCACCTAAAGTAGCTCTTTAGATCTCAGCCACAGTTAGAAGTGTTACTGCACCAAAGCCGTTTTTCCTGCATGGAAGCAGTTTCGGCAGATTCCACTCTTGAGTGTGCCAAGTAGGCTGAGGTTATTACAGACTCCAATGCAAAATAAAATCAAATCAGGACTATTCTTAAATAAGGTTGTAGGGGTGGGGGGCAGAGGCATTCTGTATGTATGTTGAAACACATATGGAAATAAAAGGAACACAAATGAATTCTCTGTAGCTTAAATGATGAAAGCTAAAAAAATAGAGCCAAGTATTTAGCATCACAAAGCATCACAGAGAAACAAATTCTCTTCTCCACATTAAACCAAGGATAAGTTCTTATTTGTTTGTTTCGTAAAACTGATATACGGCTTGATTGTAGAAAAAACCTCAGTACAGCAGTCCTGCACGAAGCTTGTTATAGTCAGTGTCCCTGCCATTTGACAGATACAACAAGCAGGCCTAGTCAAAGAGACCAGGTGCTGCTCTCTCTGAATCTAGGCAAGAAGGAATTTCTTCCATGTAGATCTGCCATATAGCTAATGACATCAAACACTGGTACAATTCAAAGGCAAAAGCACATCCTTAACAGAATCTCTTTAACTCCAAAGTACTGTATATCAGTTGTAAGAATTTTGCCTGCAAATAAACTAAGTCATAGTGTACTGGAGAAAGTTCATGCCATGTTATCTGACTCAAAAACCATCTGCATTTAATCTCTGGCCAGGCATCACACACATAAAGCATATCTGACAGCTTCCTGTGGAATACCAGGAATGATCTCATGACAAACAAGGATTTGAAGATAGGCTTTCTAATGAATCATGACGTTGGTGAGGCATGTACTTTAAAAATAGGATGGCCAGCTCCCAGTTTGCCTTCTGATGTTGAACTTTTTTGCACTGCTCTGTTGCATGCAAGGTGAAAAACACACACTCTACCTCTTATTTAAGAACAGACTAGATACGTAATATGGGAGTTCATTAAGAACTAGATCTTCACAGTGATATATGCTTAAGGAGTAGCTATTATAGAAATAAATATCAGTATATCTGACTGGATTGTTTGGGAGGAAGCTTATGCATTTTACTCGACAGTCCAATAGTTTATTAAATCACAAAACCAGATGACGATAACTGAATTGAATTTTGTTCAAGCAAAATAAATACAAATAGCCAGTTTGTAATCATTTATTATTACTCCTACCATATTACTTCTTTTGTAGCCATTTGGTTCTAGTCCTTTGATATTACTTTCTTTTTTCACACATTTGAAGTGTCAAAACCAACCATATCTTTATTATAGTGCCATCTTAAATTCATGACACCTTACAAAGAATGAGACAGCAGGTCTCTATCTTCAAGGCATATACAATCATACCTTGGTTTTCAAACAGCCTAGTTCTCAAACATTTTGGCTCCCGAACAATCGAAACTTGGAAATGAGTGTTCCGGTTTTTTAATGTTCTTTTGGAAGCCGAACATCCGACGGGGCTTCCGTGGCTTCTGATTGGCTGCAGCTGCTTCCTGCAGCCATTCAGAAGCTGCGCTTTGGTTTTCAAATGTTTTGGAAGTCAAATAGAATTCCGGAACAGATTCCATTCGACTTCCAAGGTATGACTCTGTGTGTGTGTGTGTGTGTGTGCGCGCGCGCGCCATGTGACTGTGAAAGAAAGCAATTACTATATACGTTTTATGTATTCCATCCCAGCAACCCTATCAAACCTACTGGAATCAGCAATGGAAGCAAGACTTGGTGGGCTTCACCCTAAGCAGGTTAGGCTTTTAGTTGATGTCTGGCTTTTGTACAATGTTACCCAGGGATGGGACACGCCAGTTTCTGAAGTATAACACAGAGTTTTCAATTAAAGTTCATATTCCCTTGATTGATACAGAGTTCAGAAAAGTGCCTGGATATACAGAATAATAAAATGTTAGTAATAATTTCAATTTATAAAAAAGAAGTGATAAAAACTACTCTCTTAAGGTTAGGCGTTTTAATATGTTCAATTTCTTGTTCAACAGACCGATCCTATGATTCAAGAAAAGGCCAAGCCTAAGGATCTTTCTACTAGCTTTACACTACAAAGATTGTTTGGCGCAGATCAAACAATCACATCACAGCAGTTACACACAGTGAAGTTTGTATTGCTTTGGGGAAGGGGAAGAGAGAGAACATGACCAACTCTTAAATTGTGCACTGCTTTCTATTCACCTTCATAAGCCACAGAAGCTCAAAGTCTGGCACAAATGTACCCTGCCTAATTCTATAAAACAGGGAATGGATAAGTACTCAAGGAAAGCTTCCCAGGGAGACAGAAGTAGAAGTCGCTTCATATATTCTTGCAGCTTAAGCCCTAGGAATGAGCTGTAAATCTGTGGCAATGCAGGGACCCCCACAAACCACAAGCAGCAAGGCTAACAGGATTACCAGCTCCCTTAATGAAACCGACATTTTCACAGCTCACTTCGTTATTATTACTAATTTAGCATAAAGCTGGTCAAGCTTTTGGAGGGCACCAGGTCATTTCAGAACAAAAAAAAATAAAAATAAAACCTCATTGACTTGATTTTATGATAACATATGCAAGGGAAATAAACTCAGCTCCCCAGTTGCTGCCTTTGCAGCTGTGGTTGGGGAAGACGGTTTTATTTATTTGTTTGCTGAGGTTGACAGCTGTGCTATATTTAGCACAACTACAATGGCATTAAATAGCAGCTGCTTGTCAGCCATGGTCTATCGGAATAGTAAGTGGGTCTATATGGTCTGTTTGACAGATCTGGGTTTGGGGTGCGAAATATGGAAAGCCCCATGAGTGTTGTGCTTCAGATTGCAAATGGTCTTAAAGGAAGCTTCCTGAATAGCTCATAAATCAATGGTTGTTATCGCTTAGCATTTTTAACACAGGGGGGAAAAATCTAGCCTATTACAGGTGTGCGCAAGGGCTGCAGATGCGCACAACAGGAAATGCCAATATTCACTAGTTCTGTGAGCTTGATTAACCTGTCCCATTCTCTTCAGTGTCAAGCTATGCCCCAAATATGAGACGCTGGAGAGAACAAGGCATTTTCTATCCCAGTAAAGAAATGTGCTCTATTAGACCAATATGTAGGTATTGGTTGCATATAATCACTTGCATAAAATTATACTTCTGTGTAGATATGAATGTTAAAACATTGCATTTTTATATTAAGCCAATGTATTCCATGACCTTTTCATATGCTAAATTTAATTTACATTTAAGAATGCAAGCTGAATTTTCATCTATCAGCAAAGCAGGTTGAGTTTAAAAAGAAAAAAGGGGGAAAAGAGGGCACCACCAGAGACTAAAATCATCAGGCTCTGGGCTCCCAAAGGTGAGAAATTCCCTGACAGGAAGTCAACTCTAAATATAAATGCTTCAGGAAGGAGAACATACAAGTGCCTTCATAAACTACAAAAATTCTTGTGAAGACCAGAGGCGCCAAAAATAACAATATGATCTCTTCAGAGAGGGGTAAAGAAATGTCATAAAGGCTGGTTTTCAGTGTCCCTGCAAACAGCTGCTGCAGGCAGCTCTTAAAATGAGAAGGACAAATAACTCAAAACCGCTGAAACATTCCCACTATTTGCTATCAAAATAAAAATGAGCCAAGTTTTATTTGCAGCAAGTTTTTTCAGACCATAGTTAAGACCTTATAGTGAGGCCTTTTGGCAAAGGTGCAGAGCAACCTATCTCTTTCCTGGTGTGGAGTTCTAGCACCTTCTCCAAAAACAGCTTAACAAGCTCTACCCCTCCTTCCTGCCTTCCCTATCTTGTCTTTGATGCACAAGAGGACATGCCACATGAATACACCATCTTTGTCAACTGGATTTTCAGTCTGAAATGGTGCAGAACTGATATATATGGAATCTACTCCAAGCTAAAAAGTTCACCAATGCTGACTGAACATTTCCTTTCCTTACAAAAATGATTAGCTGTGGTCCACTTGAAACACAGAGAATACTTAGGGAGCAATATCACACTCTCTTAATAGTGAGCCATCTTGGCTGCAAGTCCTGAAAGACCTGCTCCCTGCCTTGCAGGCTTTCCCTCACCTGGCATGGGAGGGCAGCACCTGGACTGACTCCAGCTACAAAAGCTGAGTGTTGGACCTTCTCTTGTTAGCATAATGATTCCATGATTGCCGCAGGCAAGCTTATATTCAGACTGGCTTTGTTCACAAGGAATAATAAACTTTTAAGCTTCTTCTTTTTTTCCTACCAGCAGTCTCGCCAGACTAATTTTCTGCACTCTGCTGCAATATATATATATATATATATATATATATATATATACACACACACACACACACACACCAAAATCCAGCAACAAGGAATGTTGAGTGTCAGCTGGAAAAGGTGGAGTTACTAACAATTCAAGTTCCTAACAATTCAGAGAAAGGTACTCTGAACAGAACACTACCACTGCGGGGTGCAGAGATGATATGCTGTAATATTTTGTTGTAGGTTGAAATAATATTTTGCATAGATAGGGATTTTGAATGGTCACACTGTTTTGCATCCAATCACCCTGGTAAACCTTGCAATAGCTCTGTAAGACTGGGAACAACAATACTAACCTTATTGCAAATTGTGGGAGGACAAGATGGAGATGGGCAAACAATAAGGCACGAGGGGAAGGAAAACTCTAGATGTACATTACAAAAACATCGGGACTCTTTGATGGAAAGCACACATATTGTTGTCATGTGTGGGACTAAGCTCAGGAGGAACAAGTTCTGCTAGTCTGAAGAATAAGGGACAGTGAAGAGCACCGGCTATCTCGGTGCCTGAGATATCACAGGTGATGTTTTCTAGATTGTACAAGCTTTCTTTGAGAAAAGCGATTTAAACATGTGTTTCTTTGAAGGCATAAATGTGCAAATAGCAGATAGCTCTTCAGAGGCCTGGGGAAGACAATAGTGTGTTGAGGAAATGAGCATCCACTACAGGGTCAGGAATGCATGGCATCTGGAGAGTGACAGCAAGGGAAAGGTCACTCTTCAGAAGCTAAATACTTTGTTAGCTTCTGCTTTGATGTAGGTCTGTCAAACCCCTGGTGACTTTTGAGCCAGAGGCAAGATTTGAATCCAGCACCTCACAGGCTCAGCTTGGTTTCTTTCCTGCTACACCATAAAATATTGCAGTTTGTCTGAACCAGTTTTCAATTGTAATTACGGCCCTACTCTAGAACCACTGAATTTCTATGCCTTAGCTTTATCTTGACCCAGAATCTTACCACTCTCTCCCACATCCTTCATAACAGCACTCTGTATGTGTGTGTGTGTGTGTGTGTGTGTGTGTGTGAACCCTCTTAGATTCCAAGAGCCTTTTGTTCAAACAAGTGCATGTCTCTCATTTACCAAACACAGACTGCATGTCTTTCCTCAAGGCTGCATTCTTAACATAGGGACACAATCCAGCAAGAGAGTTTAAACTGCCATGCTGTTTTCAATGGGTTGACTTCAGAGGAAAACAGACATAGAATTGTTCTGTTAAAGTGCTCAGCTTTAGCTGGAACATGCACAAGGGGGAAATGCAACAGGTTTTTGCACCTTGTAGGCATGGGCGTAGCCAGGATTTTTGTTAGGGGGGCAGGCCTTTCGTTAGCGGGGGGGGGGCAAAACCTCAGTTTGCTATGTATTTTTATTGAATTTTATTGATGAGGGGGGAGCTGCCCCTCTCCCGCCCCCGGCTGCGCCCACGCTTGTAGGTCAAGACAACACACACATTCCTGTTTTGACTGTGCCCATTTTCAGGGGATGGGTGTTTTTGGTGGCATAATTTGCAACGACTGGGGGGGATGGACATCCCGCTCCCCATCATGTATGTGACATTTATCCTTGGCTCAGCTATATCCTACTCATTTTTAAGTCATCTGAAGGCTGTGCACTCCCATATGCGGTGTGTAATGCACATATATCTAAGATTTCCAAAAGGAGAGCAGGCAGACAGACATACACATGGTTATTCTGCAATGGCAAGGTTATTTCCCATATCACCACCCATCTATATTATGTGTGGGTAAGTAGGGACGCGGGTGGTGCTGTGGTCTGAACCACAGAACCTAGGGCTTGCTGATCAGAAGGTCGGTGGTTTGAATCCCCGCAACAGGGTGAGCTCCCGTTGCTTGGTCCCTGCTCCTGCCAACCTGGCAGTTAGAAAGCACGTCAAAGTGCAAGTAGATAAATAGGTACCGGTCCAGCAGGAAGGTAAACGGTGTTTCCGTGCGCTGCTCTGGTTTGCCAGAAAGTGGCTTAGTCATGCTGGCCACATGACCCAGATGCTGTATGCCGGCTCCCTCAGCCAATAAAGCGAGATGAGCGCCGCAACCCCAGAGTCGTTTGCAACTGGACCTAATGGTCAGGGGTCCCTTTACCTTTACCTAGGTAGGGTACTGTACTATTGTCACTGAAGAGGAAAGCATGGGCTGTTGTGCAGAGGCTCATGCTTTGATTCCCCCAGAAAAATGGGCCTTACAAATATTCCTAAAAGAGTCAGCTATACAATTAGAGCAAGGGCAATGCTCCAGATTCAGATCCAGCACTGCTTCTCTCTCACTTCCTTTGATTTCAATGGGGCACATCAAGATGGCTGATGGAAGCCTTCTGTGTCCTGTTTCAACTATTTGTGCTATAGGCATTGAATGCTTAAAAAAGAAATTGTTTACATTTAATGTTAAAAAAGTAAAATTGTTTGTAAAGGGTTCCGTGATTCGCAACAATATTTTCCACTTTGGAAAGCAGGCACAATTTGCTACCTAACCATACTTGATGGAATCTGAACAAGCTCGGCCAAAGATATGTGTGCCTACCACATTCAAGTTTAAAGCAGGGCAGTTACAGATTTACAGAACTGCTGATTGCCAGCTTCATTAGCCGCTGGTTATGCTTACGGAGTGGCAAAGGCATTGAGATCAGTAGTAAATCATCTTGTAGGTCAGCAGGAAGCTCATTATGGGCAGACAGTCCAAGTGACAGAAGCACTTTCTGAGAGTGCTAGAGTAGTAATTTCCTGTGTGAAAGGCCTGCCGCTGTTTCTGCATTCCTCAGGGTACAGCTCTCAGAGAATGTTGCTTTTCCACAGGAAGAGGAAGGAAGCAGTTGTTCGTGATGGCTGTGAGGAATTTTATATATGCCTCAGAATCAGCTGTGAGAATAATGGTCACAGCTTCGATTCCCAGAAAAATGGGGGAAATGAGAAGGTGTGAAGGAGAGAATTGGTGATGGAGGCAGGATGTCACAGTTCACAAGTAAAATACACTATGAAGGTACTATGGGAAAGGAATACAGAGTGAGCGTCCATGCCCAAATCCCACAGAACCTCTGAGGTGTTAATGCAGCGACAAATAAATCCCCCTTTCACACAAAGCGCTTGGTAAAGACTATTAATGAACAACACAGTGGTGCACATTTTCACTTAATTTCAGAACACATATTCTAGATCTCTAGGATCTATTGGTCACTATTATTTGTCTTTTCAAAGTGACACCTTTGGTCAAGAAAATACTCCCTAGCTGCAGTATACAAAGGGGAGGTCTCACCCAGAAGTGGAGCAGATCTTTACATACTTGTAGTTCACTGAACCAGAGTAGCCACCAACAGCTCTTGCCCTGGCATATTTGGCAACAGTCTCACAGGGCTGAATTAAAAACCCTAGTATGCAGCATTTTTTGGTGATGGTCTACAAAAATCACATAATAAGAAATCTGAGAATAATATACCCAAGGTTTGAAATATATAGTTGCTGAGGCATGGACATCGGAAGTCAAAGTATTTAGGAAGCAGCAACATCAAAACAGAAAGAGAGCCTTTGGGCTTAAGGTAATCTGTAGCATTGGATACCCTTGTAATTTGGCTGTAATGAAATAAATAAGGCATGAGTACCAGATGCTGTGCAGGATTTGGAAGTCAACCCTATCCAAACATATGTACAGCTTTTTAATTGCTCTGGATTAAAAAAAAGTATTAGAATCAATGTTTGGATTATATTTTAGTTTGTAATTCATCCTTGGAAAACTTACCAGTAAAACAGAAGGTGAGGTAATATCTATGACAGGAGGGTCAAGTGTTTGCATATCTGTGACGTCAAAGCTGGGATCTATCTGTTGAAAATCAGAGTTGAAAATATTATGATTGTTTCATCTACAGAAAATGGACACAGGATGAAAGACCACATGTCAAGATAATATTCCCATTGTCAAACTATTAAATGTGTATCAAAATCACAGAATTGAAGAGTTGGAAGGGACCCCCTTTAATGTAGGAATCTCAACTAGTAATCTCAGTAGCAGCCAGTTACATACAGCACAATTTTCTTCTGTATGGCTTGGTTTCTGCCAAGGTAACTGGACTTCTGCTCAAGGTGTTTGGAGCAATTACGAGTTATAAGCCACATTCTTGCTTCTAAGATGAACCAGTGCTTTTAAAAATGGTAAGTAAAAAAATGTCTGTCAGAAGCCTTATCCACAAATGCAGAGTGCTAACAGCAGGACTCTCACCGTGACAAAGCATCCTAAAATCACACAAAGCACACTAAAATATATCTGAGACAGTCAAGAACAGATCAGTCACAATCAATGACATGATGTTAAAATATCCCTCTGTCACATCAAAACCTTTAAAAAGCTTGCCGACCTAAATTTTTAAACATCAACAATTATGTGCAGATGCACACCTCACTATCAGTGCAGCAATCGGCCTGGAAAGCCCCATTCTAACCTGACATTGTTTCAACTTCTTCCATGGATGAGACTTCAAGCAAGGCCTCACAAAGCCTAGAGGAATCTAGTGCAGTAGCTTCTGGATAACTGCCAAACAGGGTCCATGTGCTCCTGTCTTCATTTAACTTGTCAGGAGAGGGGCTAAGGCATTTGGTACCAACCGAAGCTTCCAAATTTTAGCAGCTTCTGGATCATAAAGCTATTTTAACTCTCTTTTCCAAGTCACCAGATTTAAAACAGTTTTACAAAACTGGTGTGTGCATGTGGGTGCAAAATAAAGAATGGCAGAAGGAAACTGAACAGTTTAGGAAATTGAGGCCCAGAGAACTTTTTATGGTAATCTCTTTCCTGTGGCTGTAAAATTAATCCATATATTGCCCAGGTAAGATTGAAACTATAGGACACAGTGTGACATTTCCAGTATTTAAAAACATATTCATTCTGAAAAAATATATATCTCATACTGGCTGTGCAAACTATTCTTAAATGTTAGTGCCATCTAGTGTCTGTTTGCCTTAGATGACAACTATTGATTAAAATTTTTTATGGAAAGCATATAGAGCAGGGGTCAGCAAACTTTTTCAGCGGGGGGGGGGGTCCACTGTCCCTCAGACCTTGTGGGGGGGCAGACTATATTTTTGGGGGGGGGGGGAGAACGAATTCATATGCCCCCAAAATAACCCAGAGATGCATTTTAAATAAAAGGACACATTCTACTCATGTAAAAACACACTGATTCCCGGACGGTCCGCGGGCCAGATTTAGAAGGTGGTTGGGTCGGATCCGGCCCCTGGGCCTTAGTTTGCCTACCCATGATATAGAGCTATCCTATACTATACAGAATCTTGGATGATGATACAATGATAACATGACATGACCTATCAGCATTATTACTCAGCATCAAGAAGATGGCTGAGAGTATTATAAACCATCTACAGTTGGTAAATATAGAATAGCCATATTAAAAGGTGTTATTTTTCATTAATGGGAATACTTAATAAACCCAACAATTATGGTGACTGCCTTTTACTGTATGACACTGTTCCCTTCTTTTTGCATGTGTGCATGTATTTCTGTCCTTCTCTGTCTACACCTGTGCACAAATATTTATTTAGTTGATAAAGATATGTACTGATCTATTTGACTCCTAGTAAGTTAGCTTGGTCCCAGCTCCTGCCCACCTAGCAGTTCTAAAGCACGTCAAAGTGCAAGTAGATAAATAGGTACCGCTCCAGCAGGAAGGTAAACGGCGTTTCTGTGCGCTGCTCTGGTTTGCCAGAAGCGGCTTAGTCATGCTGGTCACATGACCCGGAAGCTGTCTGCGGACAAACGCCGGCTCCCTCGTCCTATAGAGTGAGATGAGTGCACAACCCCAGAGTCATCCATGACTGGACCTAACAGTCAGGGATACCTTTACCTTTACCTGAGTTAGCAAAAACGTATAAGACAAGTACAAATACCTGCTGGAAATGTAAAGAAAAAGAAGGTACCATTTACCATATGTGGTGGTCGTGTAAAGTAATAAAAGCATTCTGGGAAATGATATATAATGAAATGAAAAAATGTTTAAAATAACTTTTATTTAAAGAAACCAGAAGCTTTTTTTTATTAGGAATTATAGGTACTGATATCCCAAAGGACCAGAAAAGACTTTGTCTGTATGGGACGACAGCTGTGCGGATGCTACTAGCCCAGAGATGGAAAGAAGACAAAGTCCCGACCAAAGAGGAATGGCAAACTAAGCTGGTGGACTACGCCGAAGTGGCAAAACCGACCAGAAAGCTCAGGAATCAAGAAGACAAAAACTTTAAGAAAGAATGGGAAAAAATTGTAATATATCTAGGAGGCCACTGTAAGCAGATGAAAACATTAGCAGGATTTTAATAACACTTGTAATGTAACAATCACTGTGGACAATATGGGCAGATACAAAACATGGATCACGAAATAATATGAAGTTGAAAATGTTGACACTAAGACCCAAGGAGGGAATGGGGGGGAAGTCGGGCGATTCAGAGAAATCTCAAAATGTGGACATTCATTTGGTATTGTTATAACTTTATTTTTGTAAAACCAAATAAAAATTATTTTCAAAAGGATAAAACCAGACTTGAACTGATGTACATTTCTGCATTAAAGGGAGGGGTGAATATTGGGGTCTGTGCTGGTACTGATTCAATGATTACAGATTTGAGTTCCCAGGTGAACACATTAATTCTTTACTGATTTGATAACAAGCTAGTTTTTGTTGGGCTTATTTAGGAACATGGGGAAATGGACCATATAAAACCTCAGGGTCTGCAAAAGAGTAGATTGAGAGGGAACGGAATGGAATAGCCTGGAAGAGAGACTGGTTGGCTGACATTCCAGGAAGCAATATTTTGCTGCAGGTCTCACTTGCAGGCAACTACTTGCTAACTTGTAAATAGTTAGAGGTTAGAAGCCATAATGTTTACCTCAACAGATTGTGGTTTTGCATCATGGCGATGAGGTGATCGAGGGTAAATATCAAGAAGATGAGGGGGTTCATCCCCATGTAATTTTCGCATGTGATTTTTAAGAACTTTCTTGTATTCAAATGCATCAAAGTTTGTTTTCCAGAACAATACCTGTAAAAAGTCATAAATAAAAATATTGACTGATGTTTAACTCACACTTACTGTTTTGGTTTTGTGGTCCTTGCATTTGGCACGAGGACACAGGAGAGATACTGCGAAATACTTTGCCTCTCTTAGGCAGGGAGGCATCTCAAGGCAAGACCTCGAAGATGCACAAACAAAGGGGCAGGGGCTCAAATTATAATAATGTCAGTAAGACTGTTAAGAAAGTATTAATAAAACACAGTAAACTCTTAATTGTTTAGAGCATCTAATAAAATCATGTTTCAGGTTAAGAAATCAAAATCGTTAACAAACCTGTGCATCCACACCACCAGAGACAAATGTTTCTCCACCTTTTGAAAAGGCTACAGAGAGAACAGGTCCCTAGTCAAAAAGAAGAAAAGAAGCCAGATTAAAAATAAAATTAAAAGACTTCATAGTGTTTATAATTTTAATATATTTTCCTCCTCCCCTCCATAAGAATGCCTATCCTTTTCTTGCCTATCATCTTTCCTGTTCCTGTATAAGAGAGTCTCTGCCCCCATCATTCAGCCCAGACACTGAGGTCTAGTGCTGAGGGCCTTCTGGCCCTCACAGAAATAAGTGGAAGGACAGAGAACCAGGCAGAGGGCCTTCTCAGCAGTTGTGTCCACACTGTGGGACACCCTCCCATCAGATGTCAAAGAGATAAACAACTATATGACTTTTAGAAGACATCTGAAGGGAAGCTTTAAACGTTTCTGAGGTTGATGTCTCATTTCAACTTGTCAACTCAAAGCAAAAAGGAAAAGGAAAAGGAAAAAAAAGGAATTTTTGATTAATGTTGCCTGTGTCACAGGCAGAAATTACATTTAAGCCCCTCTCCTCTTCTACAATGCAGTTTATATTGAGACCATAACATTGTTAGCCATTCATTAGCATGGCCTTTTGCTCCCTTTGAAACAAAAATATAAAACACGTATGATGTTCATTACCCTATCCCCTGTGAAGTCCTACTGAGCTTCATTCTAAGCTCTCGGCCAGTTTCAAAAGATATACAGAACTGAGCAAGACTGCATACAAATTGGAAGCTCAGATAAACACATTGGTAACACCCAGCTTCACTTTTTCTATCCCTTCAACTCTGTTTAGGCTGTCTCAGGACTCAGCTAAGCAGATACCACTCCAAATTGCACGGTGGCTGCATCCCTGTGATAGCGGCTCATCTCTCAAGTCCTGTGTGAACTAATGCAGTCATGGCTGGCTGTGACAGGTAGTATAAAAAAACTACAGGGCACCAGGTTGGTGAAATCCAGGCCACTAAGTAGGATAGAAATTTAATAAATGATTAAGCCCAGGTTCTGATTCCCAGCAGAAGCGAAGTGCCTGCAGAATCAGCAACCTGCATTGGCACACTGCTCATTCGAATTAAACCAAACTTTATCTTCCCTTTGGCTTCACTTGATGTGTGAACCAGGCCTGTGTAACTCAGTTCAGTTCTCTTAGCCTTAAATCAGTGTAGGAAATCTGTTTTATTGTAACATGTGAAGTAAAACAGCCGAAGATACACCTACTGAACATTTTGTGTTTGCTAAGTTTGCTGAATGGTTGTATTCACAGCCCAAGCACATACATTGCCACACTTTTCACATTCCAGTAACTCTGTGTTTCTGCTCGAAACAATTATGTCTTTCAAGAAAACAGCAATGTATGAGGGGGTCCTTAGAAGCCCAAACAAGCAAGAGGGTAGAAGAGAGAACAACATGCTACCTCGTGCCCATGAAGCGTATACAAGAGCCTTCCTCCTAAAAGATCCAAAATCTTAACAGTACTGTCGCTGGAAGCTGTGAGGAGATAGTTGCCAGAAGGATGGAAAGACGTGCAGTTCACGCCGGCTCTGTGAACTGATTTAAGTAAAAAAGAATTCAGATTTTGATGGCAAAGAAAGGAGCCAATATCTGCACCGCAATCCACAGCATGCTTACTGAGAATTGTTTTCAAAGGCACTTACTCCCAGATACATGTTCATAAGAGTGCAGCTGAAAACTGATTCATCAATATAAATGAAGTTCATTCTCTAATGAACAACACCTTTTGTTTTACTTCTGCAGTAATCATTAAAATATTTTCTACCTATCCCTGCCTCAAACCTGACTTATAGCCACTCTATTATCCCTAAACCAGGCATTGCCAAACTTGGCCCTCCAACTGTTTTGGGACTACAATTCCCATCATACCTAGCTAACAGGACCAGTGGTCAGGAATGATGGGAATTGCAGTCCCAAAAACAGCTGGAGGGCCAAGTTTGGCCATGCCTGCCCTAAACTGTGCCTATAGTTCCCCCTCAGCTGCTTCTCCTTTGTGTTGCATTGTGGTTAGGACTACTTCATTCTATTGAGCAAAACCCAGCAACCCTGTGTTCTTCTGCAGAACTGCACATAAAGTTGTTAACAGATGCACTTAACAGTGCCCCTTAAGATGGAGGCATATGATCATCAACTGAGGCCCTTCTCCTTATGCCTCCTCTGCGAGAGGTCGGCAACACAAGAACAGGGGCTTTTCTACAGTGGCTCCCTGCTTGTGGAATGCTCTGGCTTGCGTGGCACCTTTGTTACATATATTTAGGAAAAAGCATTCCTCTTCTCCAAGGCCCTTGGATACCTAAACATCCCATGGCCTTTTAAACTGTTTGTGTCATGAAGGGGGGCGGTATTGTTTTGTTTGTTACTATGTTTCGCATTTTTGTGTTTTTAAATTGTAAGCCTCCCTGCAATCCTTGGATGAAGGGAAGTATATAATAATAATACAGTGGTGCCTCGCAAGACGAAATTAATCTGTTCCGCGAGTCTCTTCGTCTTGCGGTTTTTTCGTCTTGCGAAGCACGGCTATTAGCGGCTTAGTGGCTATTAACGGCTTAGCGGCTTTAAGAAAAAGGAAACAAACTCGCAAGACATTTCGTCTTGCGAAGCAAGCCCATAGGGAAATTCATCTTGCGGAACGACTCAAAAAACGCAAAACCCTTTCGTCTAGCGAGTTTTTCATCTTGCGAGGCATTCGTCTTGCGGGGCACCACTGTAATAATAATAATAATAATTAGAGCTTTGTGACTCACAAATCCAAAATATTCAAGAGGTAGGCTGGGAACAGAAGGCACAGAGTTATCTAGTCCTTGGGCATGGCTTTCAAAGAAGATGCTGCCTTGCTTGCTGTACTCCAGGGCAGGGATAATCAATGTGGTGCTCTCCTGATGCTATTGGACCACAAATCCTATCATTCATGTTCACTGGCTATACTGGCTAAGACTGATGGGAATTGGAGTCTGTCAACATCTGGAGGGGAAAATGTTGCTTACTGTTCTAGGGTAAAAGTCCAGCTCTTATAGCTGAATCCCTGAACCAGCTGTCTAGAAACGATTTTTAAGAAGGCTGGTTAAATGAATGATTTGGAAAACCACCCATTTTCAAGGGGTTTCAAACCATGTGTAAGGGATCTGACATGGGTTTCTGAGAGAATGGCTGTACTTTCGGATTCTCCTGCCCTGGTTTTAACTGAAGGAGCCTGTAGACCAGAGGCGAGGAACTTTTTGGGTTCCATGGGAAGTATCCATATTAGATCTAGCCTTGTGGACCCACCTGTCAATCACCTGACATCCCAATGCCATCAGGTGATTAGGACCTTTGAAGCATCAAAGTTGAGACTTCAAAGCACCACACAGAGCTTGCAAAGAGACCTGCACAGTGCTTTAAAGTGCCTGAGGCTTCAGCTTTCTGCAAGCACTGGTTATGCAAAAGAGATCCAGACAGCTCCAACTCTGCTACCCATCCGCTGGTGGTGGAGCCGACATCAGCTGTGTGAGCCAATCCTATAGGCTTTGGCTCTGCTGCAGGTAGTACACAATGAAATGTATTGTATAACATGAGTAAACAAGAGCTTTTGGCTTCTGAAAGAAATGAATCTCCACACACTAACAGAGAATGATTACTGGGTTAGGGATGGGTCTTTGGGTACAGAGAATCTGAACCCCCTTCAACAACCAAATGCAAGAAAAGCAGAGCATAGAAACACAAGCTGATTTTATTTTTCTCTCCTAGGTCAAGCTCAAAGTATCTACCTTATTGAAAAATCATAGAATCATAGAGTTGGAAGAGACCACAAGGGCCATCGAGTCCAACCCCCTGCCAAACAGGAAACACCATCAGAGCACTCCTGACATATGGTTGTCAAGCCTCTGCTTAAAGACCTCCAAAGAAGGAGACTCCACCACACTCCTTGGCAGCAAATTCCACTGTCGAACAGCTCTTACTGTCAGGAAGTTCTTCCTAATGTTTAGGTGGAAGATACTTGTGATTTTATCTACACTACTGTGCTGCCATCCTGTGGCTTAAAGTAGCAAGAACACTTAGTTCTTATTGAGGGAAAGCAGATGGATTCTTTTAAAGCCTTGATCAAGAGTCCCAGGGGTCAGCAAACTTTTTCAGCAGGGGGCTGGTCCACTGTCCCTCAGAGCTTGTGGGGGGCAGGACTATTTTTTTGGGGGGGGGAATGAACAAATTCCTATGCCGCACAAATTCCCTCACTTGGCAGGGGGTTGGACTCGATGGCCCTTGTGGTCTCTTCCAACTCTATGATTCTATGATTCTAAGATGCATTTTAAATAAAAGGACACATTCTACTCATGTAAAAACATGCTGATTCCCGGACCATCTGCAAGCCAGATTTACAAGGCATTTGGGCCGGATCCGGCCCCCAGGCCTTAGTTTGCCTACCCATGATCAAGAATAAGGGCTCATCCAGACTTCTGCTTGTCCTGCCACTTTTGCCTGGGAAACTCTGGTCTTTAGCACAGAATTGGAGCAAACATCAATCGGGTTTTCTGCAAGCTGGTATTTGCTCTGATTTAGCGCAAAAGAGCAAGTTTTCTAGGGGGAAACGGCAGGACAAGCAGAAAACAACTCTGACCCATGCTTTCTAGGTGCAGTATTGAGGAAATGTGGTTGAGCCCTGAAGTTTAAGAAAGAATATGTTGGTCAAAAAGGAATGTTTCATTAAACAAACAGCAATATCCAGACTATTAAACTATAAGAAGAATATATAGCAACTGTAACTAATTTTACAAAGGCATGTTACTACTTGGCTACACGTTTTAATTTTTGTTTTTCTTATTTACAATGCAGGACCGTATGAGAAAAATTGAGTGTATTTTTATATTTATATCTTGCCATTCCTCCAAGATGAGGGATCCACAAATTCACAAAACACATTGGGTAGCCCTCCCTGTTGTGGCATGTTTGGCAAGCTCCTGTCCTCCCCCTGAACTTCAATCTGAGGATTGAAGGAGAGGAGAAGGAGAGGTTCTCCCTATGGTTGAACCATACATTGGAGGCACTCCAAGTTACAGCACAGTGTATCACAGACAAGCCCCCACCTTTCTCCTGCTCTTGGAGCTAGGAAGGGGTGTGTGGGATTGTTCCTACGTATGGACCGTGCTTCTCTAAAGCTCAGGGTAGCATCAGAGGGAGCTGGGGGAAGGGCATGGTTGCGTCTGCAAGTTTTTGCTAGCTACCAAGACCAGCCAAAAATCTGGGGACCACTGACACTAGAAGCATACAATGGGTTATCCTATAAAGTAAAATAGGGCTGAGAGGTTGCAGATTTTACATGGCCACAGAATGAGCTTAAGAAGTGAGCTGGGATATTAATTCCAGCCATTGTGGTCCTCTATGGTTTATCATTGCAACAGAGTTGCCATCTTTTCAGATTTACACACTCAGTGCTTTGGGGGTCATCATCTACTATGGCCCTAAAGTGGAAATTGTGTCAGCATTTTGATCTTGCTAAATGTGAATTTACTAGAATGGTACACTGGGCAGTCTACAGATTGAACAATATGTTTCTCAAGAAGATTTAGTGGGCAAGAAAAGCCCATACTGATTCAAGGGCAGTGTTGACACCAAATAAAACCAAAGCAACAGCATAAATCGAACATAAGGGAACATACTTTTAAAATGGCTCATGCAATTTATATAATTACACGTTGCTATATTAGCCATATGCTTATCAAACAGTCCTCTTTTAAAATATTAGTTTTGCATTAATGTATGCTTCCAGATGCTCAGAATGCCAGATTTAAATTCCTTCTGAAATATTTAGGCCAAGTCTGTAACATAGGCTTGCTTTATTATCCCCAAGTAAAAGATAAGAGACAAAGGCTTGGCCAGTGTAGTTAGCAGCAGAGATATGAGTGTAACTGGAAACTTTCTGGGACACAGCCGGCACTCTTAGATACTAAGACCTCTACTAGCTTTTAGAGAAATTACGAAAGGAAGAGGTTTAGTAACCTTTTACCTCGGTGCTGCTGCAATAATTTGTTTATTCGAATGTCCCAGATCTTCACTGCATGATCGGAGCCTGCGCAAGCTATACACGTACCATCAGGACTGAAGTCCACATAGTTGGCAAATCTACAAGGAAACATTAAAAATAACGATTTGTCATTTGTTAAAGAACAATGCCATCCACTTGGCTTACTTTATTGGCCCATGTTTTTAATGAGTTTTCCATCACATCTTAAGGACTCAGAGCCATGCTATCTGCCCTCACTATTGTCATGTAAGGTAGGCCACACTGAGATACGTTTATTTATTTCATAGTACTTATATTATGATTGTAAAACAAAAAAAATCCTCAAAGCAGTTTCCATAAAAAATAAAATGAAGTTGTTAGCAGAAGCTATCATACTGAGCAGGATTTGAACCTAGATACTCCTTGCCAAGATACAATACTTTCTCTTGACAGCCATGCTGGGGTCACTTGCATGCCAGAAAGTCCCTCTTTTCACAGCAGTGATGGGATGTTGCTTCCCTGACTTTCTGGCCTGCTTAAACTCCTATCTCCTGCTTCCCAAACTCATGTCCCACTGAGTGAGCCCCTGGAGACTACTACTGTCAGTGTTTTTCTGTGGCTGCCTTTGTCATATTTCCTACCCCTTTCTCTTGGTTGCCTGGCCAAAGAGTCTAAATCTAGATGCTACCCCAGGATGGCTGTGTGCACTCTCAGCTTGCCTCCTGTTCAGGGAGTAATGTCCTCTCCTTTCTTTCTTTGTGCACTAGGTTGCATGCAAACACAGTTTTGGGGCTCGAGGAAATTTGAACTCCTACCTAGGAAGTGGCAGAAGAGGAATGGTTGATACTGGCTGTATCAGTGGGGCTGATGGTTAGGGGCACTGTGCACACCTAGGCTGGGCTCATCGTTGTGAGTTTATTGACTCCCTCCATCTATGGGGTGGCATGTGCATGTTGTCACCAAGAGTTCCTGACTGGTGAGCATCATGCTACGCTAAGTAGACTCTGCATGCCTCTTTAAGAAATCCTACTGCTGCCGCAGAGATTTTCTTCTCCATCACAGAGGCACAAACACAGATTGCATTTCCTGCACTTCACTTCCATCCACAAGGACAAGGCTAAAGTCTGTTTAGTCTTGCCCAATGGAAAATGGCCCTGATTCTAACCACTCCTTTCTGCCCACCTCTTAAGGTGCCTTGAATTTCACAAATATGTGAAACATACACTTTTGATCCCCTGCCATATTTCCATTGGCTGAGCTCCTCAAGCTGTCAATCATTCACCTCCCAAGTCCCACAACAAAAGTGGAACAGTTTTGGCAATGTTTTTGCTTTCACTGTTGAAAACCCAAGCGATCTCCACCATGTAAGAGAATTTAGCTTGTGCAGTTTACGCTAGCTTAATAATACTCGGTGTTTCATTTTGGCCTGTACTCTGCTTATTTCTTTCCTAAGCTTTTTATTTTTAAAACAAACTCAAATTAGGAAAACTAGGGATTGGCTTACTACTTGGCGTCATCCAAATTATTATGTGTTCCATATCTAAACAGCATACCTTCCAGGAAAGAGAAGTAGTAAAGGAAGGTATCTAAACACAGCAGACTGGATTGTACTAGGTTTACGTTATCTGAGACCAAGGGCTTTTCATTATAGCCAGAACATGGCTATAGAGCAGAATGGAAAACTAAAGCACACCAGAAGCACATCTAATACGTTACAGCACAGTAGATTACTCCGAAGAGCCTTAAAATACAGTGACAAACATCGTTACAAACCCCCTTCGGGCCTTGTCTCTGAGTTTGGAAGATTGGTCGTGGAGACAGTGCAAATGGCGCTGCACCTCCAACACTTTGCTTTTCACAACAACTGAAGAGGCCTCTAGCAGATCTGCAAGTGTCACTACAACACTGCCACATTTCCTTCCATATATGAAGACTGCTTACCCTTCATGATCTATTATATCATCAACACAGGTTTTGTTTCTTAAATCCCAGATTTTAACAGTTTTATCATCGCTGCAAGAAACTATTAATCTTCCATCTGGTGAGTATCTAGAAAGGAAAGAAATATACCGCAGCTTTAAAAACGCCGATATCTAGCATCTAAATCAATTGCCGCTTGCAAAGTTAGTGACCATTTTATTCTGAATTGAACAGACATGTGAAGCTGTTTTAAAAAGACAAAAAAGTTACTGCTTTTCAGAAACCAAGAAGGCAAAGCATGCAAACACTCACTTGGCACAGCGCACCCAGTGTGTGTGCTGGAATAAGGTAAACAAAAGACGTTGGCTGTAAACACTCCAGACTTTTACAGACTTGTCGTTGGATGCAGTAGCTAGAAATTGACTGTCGTACGAGAAGTTCACGCTACGGACTGCTGATGTATGGCCTTTTAATGGTGTGGATTCACCGTGACTGTATATAAAATATGTTGCACATGCATTAGTCCCACAACCGCATAACAGATTAATCCAATTTCCCCACCCCTCAACCCAAATCAAACCTAGCTTGTATCCTCAAAGAGACAGCTTCCCTTGCTTCTTTGTCCCAGTGCGAAACCCAAAACCTTTTACACAAAGTCCAGAAGACGAGAGCAGAGCTGGGGGACTCAAGGGCCAAATCGAGTCCTCCAGAACTTTCTGTCTAGCCCTTGGGACTCTTAGGCCACAGCCGGTCCTTTGCCTGCCCTGCTCAACAGCCTCTTTGGCTGCTTTTGCCTGGCTGGAATGTGTCTGCAAACTGTCATAATGCATTTTGCTTGCCTCAATGGAGATGTGTGTGGGGTGGAATATAGAAGCCTCTGACTTCTGCATGGGTAGAACACAGCCTATTGTAGAAAGGAAAGAATAACATCCATGGCTCCACCCATATTTGCCTCTGGCCCCACCCACCACTTGCATACAACCTCCAGAAGGTTTCCCTTGAAGGAATCCAAGTGGATAGCTAAGTTGGTTAGAGTGTGGCGCTGATAATGCCAAGGTAGCAGGTTCGATCCCTGTATGGGACACCTGCATATTCCTACATCACAGGGGGTTAGATTAGATGATTCTCAGGGTACCTTCCCAACTATGATTATATGAATCTGGCCTCTCTGAACTAGAGGAAGCAGTACTATGCCTAAGCCCAACATCTCTTCAGAAAACAAAAACCCTGGAAATATTTAATTTTCAGTAATACTTACATACATGGAATCCATAGCCTGGCTGTCCTATCTTGAGAAGCAGATGCCAGCAAGTTTCCATCTGGTGAAAACTGTACACTGGTCACACCTTCCAAGTGACCCACAAATCTGAAGGCTTTGGTGTTTGGCTTCAAGTTCCATATCATAAGAAACCTATCCAAAGAAGAGGTAGCTGGCAAGAAATAATTATAAAGCTCCACACTTAGATATCAATTTTGTGTTCCAACATAAAGGTCTCAGTTACTTTTACTACCAATTTCATGAACTGATATAAAAATAAAATACAGAATCTAATGAAGTCCAATCATTCTAGTTTGAGATCTAGGACAATAATTCCACAGCGAATTCAGCCAAATAACAAACCATGTTACCTATTTAGTGTTTGGATGAAGAATGAAAATGGGTAAGCAAATAGGGTTATCACCACTTATTTGCATATTTTACAAAGACATTATTGTAAGGTGACCATTGTTAAATGCACTGTTAAATCCTCTTGTCATAGAGCTGTGATACCATAAGCTTATCCTTGGTTAGATCATCACCCACAAGGCATTAAGAGGCCTGGAGCTGCAAAACGCTCAGAAGTGTTGGCATCTTGCCTTAAGTTGCCAGAGAAGGTGGAGGGCATCAAAGCAAAACCAGTGCACGTGAAACAAAGCCTGCAATTCTGTGTGCATTTCCTTGAACTCAACTGAGCTTATTGTTTCTCAGTAAACAGGGTGTAGCACACACTGCAGAGCAGCAATCCTATGTATGCTTATTTCAATAAGTGATTCACCCTCAAATAAAATGTGCATGGCTTACAGCCTCACAGTGCATTCTCAAGGTCACCCATAGTGCAATCCTAAAAACATCTACCAACAATAAATCCTCCTGAGTTCAATGGGACTAACTCCCAGATAAGTGTGTACAGTATTACAGCCTTAAAAGACTAGTTACCCAACACTTGCACTACCCTCCCAAACTTGCAATCAAGGCAAATAAATGTACCCCAATAAATGCAGAGGGAGGGCTCTCATTCTGATACCTGGTGTTTTTGTTGGGAAATATATATTTGCTGTTAATACAGTCCTTAACTCTGAAGTGTTGAAGACAAGTCATTTGGGTCAGAATTCCAAGGCATTCAGTCTCAGATTTACAACTGCCCAACAGGCAAAAGCTGAATAAATAATAGAGACCACACAAATCATTTGTTCATTTGTGCTTCAATAAGTAAGCTTACCAAGTGCTCTAGTAGTTGGACTGAAGGCAACACAGGTGACTGCATCTTTGTGGCCTTTAAAATGACGGATCAAGACCGGATCCTCCTAGAGGAGAAGAAAACCTTCTGTAGTTTTCAAAGTTTATTTTAAACAGTCACCTAATCTGATCATTGAATTGCTAAATCAATCAATCAAATAGCACAATCAAGCTGTTAGTGCCACAAGAGTTGAAGACCTGGTTTGCACATAACACTTAGCACAAATATGAAAGCTCCTGGAAATGAGATTGCAGCTGTTTTGTCCTCTTCCATGCCTGCTGCTGCAAGCTCAGCCGTGGTTTGGCTTGGTGCATTGTCTAAACCCAGGGCTCATAGTTATAGCCAAGCCTTTTTCTATGGCTTCTCACTCTGCTATTTTTAAACAAGCCAGCTATAGAAACAGAACAATGATACCTTGTAACAATGAACTTAATACATGAAATAAATGTGTTAACCTCTGTAGAAGCCTGTTTTCTATTCTGTAAATATATATATATATATATATATATATATATATATATATATATGTCTGTTTTATGAAGAAATAATTCATTGTCTCCCTTCTCTTACTCTCTAATTGTTCGGTCAAGTCATTTTTGAAGATACAGTAGTGCGATCCTAACAGAACTTTCTAAAGGGTAATGTTTGAATAAACATGTGTCGGACTACACTGTTAGGCACACACTATCAATGCACCTTTCCAGTCAGCCACGTACAAGATTCTGCCCAGCAAGGCTTTCTGTAGCTGTCCAGGTGGTCATGTGCAACAAAAACTGAGGTGTGCATGGGGTGTGTGGGATGGAAGAGCACAGTTCCAGGACTCCCCACCGCACTTCAAGCAACAGCAGTGACATAATATGACCAGCCCTCCTTTCTCAGGCTAGTGAGTGAAAGGATAATGAATATTTCAAGTTAGCATAAGAGCATAATAGCCCTTCAGGATCAGGCTAGTGTCCAATCTAGACCAGCACCCTGTTTTCACAGTGACCAACCAAATGCCCACCGGGAAGCCTGCAAGCAGGTCCTGAGCGCAACACACTCCCTTTCTGCGGTTTCCAGCAACTGGTTTTCAGAGGCATTATAGCCTTATCCTGCTTGAACTTGCCCAATCCTCTTTCAAAAGCCATCCAAGTTGGTGGGCCATCACCACTTTGTGCTCCCTTCTTGCAGGGAAGCACGGAGAAGGGCGAGCGAGGTGGGGGGGGGGCAGCCATCCATCAAGGGCTAGGCGCTCCTTCCTTTTGGTGCAACTCCTACCTCAAGCTAGCAGCTGAAGCGGCACCACTTCTTTTGCAAGGTCGCTCGCATTTATTTTCTTTTTCAATAGTTTTTATCAAAGATTTTGTGTGTGTGTCTTACCAAATAAAACAAATAGGTCGTTCGCATTTCTGATCAAAAGATGAACTTCTGCTGGCTGCAGATCTTTGTTTTTGTATATATATATAATTTTAATTAAATTTTCTGTTTTACAATTTAGAATACTCATTTAAACATCCTTAAAATATCAACGACTTCTCTTTCCACGGTTCATTTTACAAATCATAAATCCCTGCGTATTTTACATGAACTAAACCATTCAGTATTCCATTATTACATCCATCACAATTCATTTACACTGTTGAATTTATCTTAATGCTGCGTTTTCAATGGCTGGAGATCTCTGTACGCGTCTCCATGCTGCACCTCCTACAAGCCACGAAGAAAGCACAAAGGATTTTCCCTCCCAGCTCTTCGCAGCCAGCAGCTCTGCTAACATCGGGGGGCGGGGTGGGATTGAACCCGGGGCTTCCCGTGAGCCCCCGCGCTTCGTTCACTACACCCGCCGACGGAACTCCCCGCGACAAGGGAAACAACGACGGGGAAGAGGAGCAGCGCCCTGAATGCCCACCGTCGCTGCCGGCTCCCCAGGGGACCCGCCCTAGACTCTCCTACCAGCGCCGCCGCCGCCATCGGCCTCCCGGGGCCTCCGCTGCCCCGGCCAACCACCTTCCGCGGCTCTGTCAAAATCCCCGCTCTCCAGACCATATCAGTCGAGTCCCGACCCAAGGCTGGCCCAGCCTCACCCGCAGAGATACGCGGGCGCTCGAGGCGGGGAAGGGAGGAGGAAGGAGGAGGAGAGCGAAGAAGCGCCGCTCGGCCTCCTTTCGAAGCCGAGCTTGCCCATCCATGCCATCGGCGTTCGACGCGCCCTTAAAGGGGCCGGCTCTCTCCGAGGAAGCAGAGGCGGTTGCCTAGTGACGGCGCGCGCGTCGCGCAGCTTTCGCAAGGGGAGGGAGAAGAACGCAAAGAGGAAAGGGAGAAACGTCACCTAGAACTACGGAGAGAAGCGAAGGGAAGAGTTGTAGGCCACGACTCAAGGGGGTTTCTGGCGGGTGCGCTTCGGCTTGAGGAGCAGGTGAGAGTGACGTTAGGTCAGTTAAGAAGTTCAGAAAAATCGTACTTCATGGATCTGGGAAGGGGGGCAACTTTTTCTCAGCTCCCCGCTGGGGAAATGCAGACGCATCTATGCATATATGTGCATATGCACATCTATGTCTACATGCAGAGGAAGCTGGAGAAGTTAAAAGGTATGGTATGACGGATGTGCAAGGCTTTTTTTTCTCTTTGCCTTAAGCATGCAAACACCACCACCACAACCTACTTCTGATATGTGCTAAGAGCCTGGAATCTCTTGCATGCAAAGCGGTTGCTGCGCCATTGAGCTTAACAATGTGGCTGTCCAGTCTAGAATTATAAGTAAGGGAGAAATTCACCAGGACCAGTTTTTCCCCCCAGAAAAAGCACCAGCTCTTTAGTTCTTGGCGCAGAAGTTTGCAAACAGGGATTGGGGAGAGGGAGTAGCAATCTCCCCCCCCCCCCCCCACTGAAACTCTATGTCCATTATGTGTTAAATCGAATTAACATTTATATTTTCCATTTCCATGCTAAGCTGGGTAAAGTTCACTGCAAAATCATTTTCTGAAAGAACAAGGGCTTTGACACTAAGAAAAAAGTGATCGCAACAGCGGCATGCTTTGGCCACCACGATGCATGCAGGGTTTAGATTAAGATTTGTTATTTCCAGCTCATTATATAAGCTTTTAAAACTTAAAACTGTAGTGTAGTTAGCCTACCCAAGTGTCTTGCCATCTAGAAAAGCTGAATTGGTGTTCATCCTCAGAGACTCACTACACCAAGAACAGTGATACTAGGGGAACCAGAGGCAATCTGCTTGTGGGGCATGACAAAGAGCTCACTCACACCAATCCTGTGAGGTGGGGCAAGCTGGGAGGCACTGCTTCTTATATTTAGTCCTTGATAGGCTAAAAGGAAAGGTGGTGTAGAGATCCAGACTTCGAGTAGTTATAATGATCTGAGCTGCTGGTGGAGATACTATCCCAAATTCCTGACTTGTTACAAGTAGCCAGAACCCAATCTCCAACTCCCAGCATCTCTCCTTGAAAGTTTGGAGGGTGGGAAAGCAAATTTGTTGGGTAACATTAACATGAGCAGCTCCTGCAGCTGGACAAAATGTCAGAGTTCAAATAGAAAGATCATGTTTATTTAAATCAGTAGAAGAGTAGAAGAAAGGGGAACAAGCTTTAAAAGAAAGCACATATAACTAAAGCAGTCCAAACTATTTACGAAAAATATATATTCATGCAAAAGCAGCATAGGTTCATCCTACGCAAGTTAAGGCAGTCTTCTTCAACCTTTCGTTCGGTCCCCAGACGATGATGCAACACAACTTCTTTTATCTCTGACCATTGGCTGAGTTGGCTGGGAATGATGGGAGTTACAGCCCAGCAATATCTGGGGATCCAAGGTTAAAAAAGGGAAAGACAAAAAAGCATTGGATCCTCACTCCTTTTATCACAGGAAATATCTGTGGCAGGATCGGACTGGTAGGGTCCAGGATCCCAGCAGCAGGTGGAACTAGAGCAAATAGCAGGCAGAGCCAACTAATTCTGGCTTTGTCCACATCTTCCTCCATGGTGAGTTTTACAGGGATTGAGGAGGAGGAAGCTGACAGCCAGGCATCCCACCCCTCAACTGCTTGCAGGAAAGAAGACAGGCAGGTAGGGGGCAGGCTCAAGATATTTTGAAGGTGTGGCAGTACCGTATCTGCCCTTGTGGACAGGGCAGAACCCCACTGGGTTCCATTGAAAAGCGTTATAATTTCCCTACAATTCCTGAAAATTCTCAGCTTGGTGTCCAACATCTTGTAGCAGCAAGTCATGTGAAATAGCTTGGCCAAGTTCCACCACTCTGTCAGCTTACACAGAAGACTCCTGTACTCACTTCTTCCTTCTACTGACAATCATCAGCATGGGATTTTGATGAGGTGACTCTGCTCCTTTAGGAACAGCACCGTTCAAAACTTGAGTCACCATCTCAGCAGGAACACTTTCCTCCAGTGCTCAGATGTCATTTGACAACATTTGCCTTAAATTAATACATCATGAAATTGTAAAGAATTGCACACTTCCACCTCTTTCCACGCCACCAATTCTTTTGTACAGATTGTGGACAATTTCAGGGTGCCCATTCTGAATGGAGAATTGCCAGAAAGAAGTATGCTGCTTTCTGTACACACATGACTGCAACGGCAATGCATCTACAGCAAAATTTTGTTTCAAACGAACTTAACATTAGGAGATTGATGTCTATGCAACTGAAGTAAGAGGTCCTAATATAATGATTCTCTCCCTCCCCCAAAAAACACCTGGGCACAAAGTAAAAAGAGTACCCATTTTACTGCAAGTTCCCTAAAGCATGCTGGATAAAAACCCTAGAGAATTTACACTGATTTAATCATCATCGTTATTAAATTTATTACCCACCCTTCACTAACAGGTTCCATAGCAATGCATAGCTAGTCCCATTGACTATTCACTGCTTCATACATTGTTAACCTAAGATCATGAAACATCTGAGAACTGCTGCTGCTGCAGATATACCTGCCTGTACCAAGCTTGCCAGCAAACACTGCCCACAGACCTCCTGCATGTTAGGGAGATAGGCATCCTGTTTTCGCCACATGGTCTCCTTCCACCTCCTCAGATGTCTCACAAGGAAGGGAGTTCAGGCAACACGGGTCTATAAAGGTTCATTCTAGACTGAAGCAAGAAACCACTCAGACAGGCACCCTAAGGTGATCAGAGGGAAACAGTATATAACTGCATCATAAAATGACATTGCGCCTTTCAGACTTTACAGTCAGGAAAGACAGCTTCAAATGATTCATTTCTGGTGTCAACTCATTTGTTGCACAGAGCATTTGTAAGCCAAAGATGAAGAAAAACAGCCTGTGTTCAAATATTATTATTTTATAGATCCCCACCATTCCTGACCAAGTACTGTGAATGAAAAACCAGTATGTATTCTTGTGTTGTGATAAGAACTAGAAGTTTACATTCTGTAAATGTGCAGTTCATTTTATAAAAAAGTGCAATTAATATTCATCACATAGTTTCTTTTATTTGCCATACATGCAATAACTTCAAAAAGAAGAATGAATCGGGGGGGAAATGCAGCTCTTTCATGCCAAGATGCAAGAGGATTCCTTGTGAACAAAACTGTGTTCACCACTATGCATTATTTTTAACTTACTGGTATATGTAATGAAATGGGACAACAGCAAGCACCCTCTGTTTCAGTATTTCTAAATTATAATTTCTGAGAGATGCAACAGAATTTGAAAATGTAGTGACAAAATGGACAAAAGCAACAACTTCTAAGTAAAGATGTAAGATGTGTATGAATATAGATACAAATTATTTGTATCAAAGTAACAGCAAAAAAGAGACAGAATATTCTGATGAATACGGCAATCTGTGCCATCGAAGACATTATGCACGTTTAAAAGAAAGTTCCCTTAAACTGTTATTTAAACACCTGTGTACTTTAGTCACACGATATAATTTTGCAGCTAATCTTTGTTACTACAACTTCTGTTACTACTTTTTTTAGTTGTGTACCAAAATAGAGATATTTGGAAATTAAACTAAATTGGTAACAGGGTACAAATCTGCAAAATATCCCTTAATAAACGTATTTGGATATGTCAAAGATATAGTAGGATTAGTGGATGCAGAGCAAGTAAATATACTTGCAATAAATATACATTTAATCATCTGTTACAATTAGAAGAAATAATTTATTCTCAAGATGGGTAAATAAGTAGATTATAAGAATTTGGGAACTGGTCCACAGGGTAAAGTTAACATTGGGAGGGTACTTGAAGATAAACAGATTGCTTCATTTTTACTAGTGTAAATAATAATCCGATATACATCCATACAGGCTATTAGAAACAAGTTAGTGATTTATAGAATAATTCGTTTGCTTAGCAGTTTTTATGGTTCCTTTTACGTTCCTTTTGTTGTTGTTGTTATAAAAATTAATTAAACATACTTGAAAACTTTATTTTTATACTTGTATGTTATACCAATAAAAACCCCCACTAATTTGAATAAAGCTGCAAGGTTTATGTTATTTAAAATCTAGGTTTAAAAATAAAGTTCTCCTGAATTAATATCCATGTTTTTCCCCTTCAACGTGCTCCCACATTTCTGAGAGATGAAAATTTCCAGGGGTAATACTACAATATTTTGTTTCCTTTGGATGAGAATGTGCTAGAGACTTGGGGCAACGTTATTATTTATTTACTAATCTACGGGACAAGCATATCAGAAACACACAACAAGTAGCTAATCTTCTAGCCCTACAAAAGGTTTTCAGATCATGCCCTTGCATTCAAAATCGCTTCACTTTTAGCCAGTTTATAGCTCCTTTCTCCCCAAATGTAAAATTGCAGCAACTTGTTTCAAAGTTTTTTCCTATCTCTTCTCCAACCAGGTTGGTGAGTATTTGCATTATTTGTCATTTGGGTTCTATTCATGGAACATCATTTGCCATTAGACAAAAAGCAGAGACATCACCTTGCCAACAAAGGTCCGTATACTTAAAGCCATGGTTTTCCCAGTAGTGATGTATGGAGGTGAGAGCTGGACCATAAAGAAGGCTGATTGCCGAAGAATTGATGCTTTTGAATTATGGTGCTGGAGGAGACTCTTGAGAGTCCCATGGACTGCAAGAACATCAAACCTATCCATTCTTAAGGAAATCAGCCCTGAGTGCTCACTGGAAAGACAGATCCTGAAGCTGAACCTGAAGCCACCTCATGAGAAGACTCCCTGGAAAAGACCCTGATGTTGGGAAAGATGGAGGGCACAAGGAGAAGGAGACGACAGAGGACGAGATGGTTGGACAGTGTTCTTGAAGCTACTAGCATGAGTTTGACCAAACTGCAGGAGGCAGTGGAAGACAGGAGTGCCTGGTGTGCTCTGGTCCATGGGGTCACGAAGAGTCGGACACGATTAAATGACTGAACAACAACAACATCCATAATACAGCTATGCCCATATATGAAATACAGGACAAGGAAGAACTGCATTTACACCAAATGATAAATGACCTGGGAAAGATAATGATGAGAATCTACTGAGGTTTTAACAAGAGGAAGAGTAGGATGTAAACATCAAACTGCCAGTGTCTTCTCTAAAGTGTGGTGCAATGGAGAGGGCAATTCCAAAAGGCTTCAGAAAGTGATTAAGGGAGTTGAGCAACTCCCCCATGAGGAACAGTTATAACATTTGGAACTTGCTCTCTAAAACTTAGTAGAAGTGCCAATTATCCAAATAAGCTGAATTGCACCATATGAACAGGGCCACAATTGTTAATATAGCCTTCTTCAAGATTCTGGCTCTTTCTCTCACATCGTAATTTCTGTTTCTGTGCCCTTACAAATCCAGTTTATCTTCCCTTGCCACCCTCAATTCCAAGGCAAATATTCAACATTTCCCCATCCCCCCCCATCTTCAATAATCCCAAACACATGCACACTACAGAGTGCATCCTGTCCTGCTATACCCAAACATCCCAACAGATCGCAAACCTGTCAGAGAGTAGCTCCTAAGTTTGTGCTACTGATTTGGTTCAGAGGAGATTAATAGTAGAAATCGCCAACATGGTGCCCTCCAAAAGTTGTGAGCTACAACTCCAGTCACTCCCAAGCATTGGTCATGCAGGCTGGGACTGATGGGAATTGTAATTCACAACATCTGGAGGGCACCATGTTGGTCACAAATGTAGGCAATGTCTAGGAAACCTAAGGCCAGGTGCCAGTATTTTCCAGTGTCTAGGGACAGAGATGCACATCCATGAATTTGGCAGCTGATGTTGACTGAACCTGACTTTGACAGGGCAAAAAACACTGAGGATGATTGCTTTTAAACTCATGGATGTTAGGTTTAGCCAGTGCGGCGTAATTGTTAAGGTGTTGGACTATGACCCTGGAAACCAAGGTTTGAATCCCCACTGGGTGACCTTGGGCCAGTCACTGCCTACGCCAAAAGGTGCAGGTAACTCACTGGAACTCGCTGATCCCCAATTATGATGGGGATCGGGGATTACAATTGTTCCCCATGAACAAGGAATTCCCAGGAAGTGTGGGTCATAAGCTCACATTAAGTCCCTGCCCTGACAGGATTGAAATGGGGAGGTGGAGCATGTAACACCTTAACACAGTTGGTGGTATGAAGTATTCTTGGCCACTGATCAAAGAAGAGTAAACCACCCACACTCTCAGAATGTTTCCAGTTTTGCTTAAAATCTGATACCTGTCTAGCCTAAAGGTAAAGGGACCCCTGACTATTAGGTCCAGTCGTAACCGACTCTGGGGTTGCGGTGCTCATCTCGCTTTATTGGCCGAGGGAGCCGGCGTACAGCTTCTGGGTCATGTGGCCACCTGTCTACAAATGTTTAAAATTAGCTGACAAGTCCAAACATCGACCCACCAGGTTCAAGCTTCTGTAAAGTTATTAGATGTTGCTGGTGAGCAGCTACACTATCTAACTGTATTGCGTCCAATTCATGGCTGTGCAAGACCAATTTATAGGTGACTATCACACACATAACCTGGAGCATCAAAGTAAACCACTGATGCTTTTTTTGGTAATTATCAGAACGATTCTGCAAAACAAGAATATGCCTAAGATGTGACATTATTCTAAGAGCTGGAGAAGAATGGTTATTAGCAAAGCCAGATAAAAATAAACATGGTTTTCACCTGAACAGAACTGCGAACACACCTGCCCACACTTAGCTGGAATCTTCTTATAAAGACAAGATTAATGATGGCCAAGTATGGTAGTTTGATGAAATGTATGAAATTCCAAGGCAAATAATTAAGAATTCTGGATAACAAAAGTACACAAAACAGAAGTGGCATGTTTCAAGAGGGACTATTAAAGGGAAAACATAATATCTACTAAAAATACCGTAATAAAAAGGCAATGGCTATGCTAAGTGAAAATAACATTACTTGGTCAAATTCATTTGGATCCTAAATTCAACACAAGCACTTTTAACATAGGATTCACAGTAAATACAAGGAAGTCTTCTAGTGTGGAATTTTACTGGAATTTTACTGTTTACAGGCCCCTTTCCAACATACTCCATTCCACCGCCACCCCTCCAATAGCCAGCATTCTACGGCCACAGCATGCTTAGACCTCATTAGGGATGGACGAATCTGCCAATTTAGGTTTCTCTCTGTTTCTTATTTCCCCCCATCTCAGATTCACTTCTCCACATTTCCACAGCCATTTCTGAATTTTCTTTTTTAAAAAATCTTCACAAAAATTCAGTAATTCAGAACACATTTCTGCAAGCAATTTCACCTTTTAAATGCTGTACGTTGCCTTCACTAAAGTCTGCAATGATACATACATTATTTGGCTGTAGAACTGCATTGTAAAAATCAGAGAAATGCAAATTTCAAAGGACGGCTTCACAACCTAGTGCGGAAAGTACAAATTAGGTAGTTTCTCATTAAAATGCAAACAGAATTGAATTTCTAACCCTAACCCCCTAAATGCACTGTTCGGGTTTTGTTTTGCTTTTTTGGGGTCTCCTCAGGGTTTCTCAAGTATTTTGCTTCCCTCGCCACCCTGTTTATAGCCCCTCTTGTGCATGAATTATCTGTAAAAATGATTCACACTCTGAGAATGAGTTTGCTATTGGTAGATAAAATGGCTTACATTATAAAGTGTCCGGCGCTTCCTGCAAGGATCACTTCTGCTAATGAACGAATGTAAGATACAGCCAGTTTCCACCCAATCCTTCTCAGTGACAGCCCCCCTCAATGAACCATTACAAGGGGGTTTCCTGGTCCTTAGGAGAAGCAGAGTGAAAGCATGAGATGTCCCATGGGAAGGAAGCAGAAATGCCCCAGTGAATGAAATTCTTTGGAACCAAGGCACTAGTTACTAATTTATATACCGGAAGTGGGGTTGACGCTTACTGCTGTTTTTAGACACAGTTTGGGTGTCTAAAGTTCAATGGGCATGTCTAATGAGTTTATCTCATACTGATGTTAAGGGAACTAAATCTGTGAGATTTTAGAATATGATGCCACGGGAGACAAGGATCATTACGTCAGCCAAGGCCTTAAAATCATAGACTAACTGCAAACATTGATAGTCAACTAATGTAAGATTATCTTCAAGACTGCCTGCCCCCATATACACCTGTAAGAAATTTTATTTACGGTGAACTATCACACGGCAATGACTCCCAAACAGGCATTTCCTTCTGTTGTTCCTGTACTAGGGATGCCTTCCCTCTGCCATATGTGAAGCAACAACTACCAGTTGCTTCAGATGTCTTGTAAATATCTCTTTTTTCCCAGGCTGTCCCTGATCCATATGATTGGGCTCCCTTTGTTTGTATATGTTTATATATATGTTGTATATGTTTTGCTGGTTTTATATTGTATTTTTGTATCAAGAAGATATTGTTTATTGTTTTATGTTGTACTACTTGAAATATATGTTTTTAAAGGCTTTTAAATAAAAAATAAAGGCTTTTAAATAATAAATAAAAGGTAAGTGGTGCATCAGCAAGTATTTCCGAATTCTATCAGACCATTATTTGGAGAAATGAAATACATCCTCAACCAGTATTGTGGGACATTGCCCACATCTGGCCCAGATATACAGGAAGAGGCACTAAGCCAAGGTTACAAGAGTTTAGAAGCATACCCTACAACACTGCAGAAGGTTGGACTAGATGACCCCACCAGGTCCTTTCAACTCTACTGTTCTGTGATTCTATGATAGTTTGATTTCAAAGTGTGAGTAATTCAGAAGAACAGAATATGTCTGTAGCTGTGATGCTCTGCATTGTGGCCTGCAGTGTTTTATTTGCAAATTACTTAAGCTACTACAAAAAAGCAAGAATGTGGTTTCAGAGAAAATACACTGCTGTTTTTGAGACTGAATTTTTATTTCTAAAAATTCATGACAAATTAAGCAGCTTATGTGAGACTATAACTGGATTAATGATACTTGGATAAATTCTATCTGTTATGATCCTAAATTAGTCTTCCTCAACCTCAGCCCTTGATGTTTTTGGCCTACAACTCCCATGATCCCTAGCTAGCAGGACCAGTGGTCAGGGATGATGGGAATTGTAGTCTCAAAACATCTGGAGGGCCAAGATTGAGGAAGCCTGTCCTAAATCAAAGACTAGGTGTCTATGAAAAGTGCTAGAATTTCTAAACACTGCAAAAAAAGAACAAGAGGAAAAATGATCATCTTATGGAGAAAACACAAGAGCTCAATGCAGAGACAACCGAGTGAAAGTTGTCATGAGTTTTACCCTTTTCTATTGGAACTACCTTATAGTCTTAAAGTACACAATTAGTTTTGCTCTTTATTCACAAAGAAAAGCAATTCGGTTGCAGAAAAGAATTCTGCTGAAAAACCAAGGAACAGTGCTTTAAATTAGTCATTACTGGAGCCGACAGGTGTCATATCACTATAAGTTCATTTTGCATGGCATGTTTACAGTATTGCATGACATATTTACAATAGTTAAAACACTCAGCTGGAGAAATCCAACTTCTTGTCTGCTGAGCAACTGGATATTGTAACCATATCCATGTAGCTCACCTGTGCTGGAGGAGTCTTCTAATTTCTATTCCAATGATGGTGCAGCAGAAGAATTCTTGTATGGGGACATACCTGGAAAAATGAGTTGCCTATGTTCTAAGTTCCTAGAATGTCAATTTGACCCTTTCAAGCATGAGACACGTGCAACAACTTTCACCAAGTTCAATTAGTTCTGGTGCTAAACCTGAATTGGAGGCTTCACCAGATTTTCTGGGTCTAACATTATGTGGATTGAGTTCTCCGACCCACTCACAAAAGAATAAAATATTTACATAAAATTTGGATACGCTGTGTGTGAGATGCAAATTTGTGTCTTCTTTTGTGAGAGGAGTGGAGAGTCCAAATATAAATCTGTGGTAACTCCTGTACTAAAATGTCTGACGGAATGTGAACAGGTGAAACTTTCCTCACAATTCTATTTCCATACTAGTAAATGCTTAACCTGTTGAATTATGGCCTGCCACACAGCTGTTAAAGGCATAATAATTTACCTCTGATGCCAACCATAAACCAAAGCCTAGGCTGCAATCCTGTACCTGAAAATCCTTTACATGAAAATAAGCCCATGAAACACAGAGACGTACTTATGTGAATATATGTATACTGTACCATTGTACTGTAGGATCAACTATGCAGTGAATTCTGGGCGGCTTTGGGAGAAATGTAATGAAGTAAATGAGTGTGTGTGAGTGCCTGGTGGTTTAGCTAAGTAGGAGATATGCCAAAGCAACTTTGCGAAGTTTTCACATTTTGCACTTTCCGTTGGGTGAGTAGAGATGATTTAACAGCCACAGTAGTATTTGCAGAAAATCGCTTATTGTGAGTACCTGGTGTCTCACGAACTCACCACAGCAAAACTGCATCCTGGTTGAAAGGGGGGGGGGGAGGAATGGCTAACTACAGAGATTCAGAGGACTATGAGTATGAGACAGTAGCAGAAGAAATGCAGTAAAGGAGAGGAAAAACAGCAGCTCTTTAGGACTCTAGGAATCCTCCTATTGCCTATCCAAACAACTCATTTGTTAGTCATAGCTCTGACTTCACTCATAAGCTAAAACACTGAAAGGCAGCAGCAGCCAGGCTGGTTCATCTCACAGAAATCACTAAGTAATTACTTACTTTGTAAACGTTCTTTGTAGAAGAGCTAGAGACCTGATAAAAAAGAAAGCTTGTACACCAGTAACCTCTTTGCTTGTCTCGTGGTGGGCCTGAATGTGGCTCCATTATTTAGTCAGCGTTCACAAGTCATTAAAAAACTTCTGCAAACAGAAATTCTGTACAAGTTTCCATATTATAAAAATAACACAGTACACATCACACACAACTCTAAGAAACAGATGCAAAGCTGGTTGCTTATTTAGAATAAAGTTATATATTTCAAATAAAATAAATACTTTCAAAAATTTCAGTCCCCATCCAGAGACAGATAAACAGCACATTTATTTATTTAAGTTACATTGAGCAAGCTAAAAAAGCCTTACAACCAGAGAAAGCAATGTGGGGCTCAGCAGTTGAAAAGCGGCAACGATAGTTTGATAACTAACATGTTATGGTATGTTGCTTTCACAGTAGTAACGTTATTGAACAAGTAGTCCCAATTTCAGATTACACTTACACTTGCTATAAGACTCAATGTACTGTTGGTCAACAGGATCAAAATGGATAATTTGTACACAAAGTCTACAGTTCCTCAAAAAAAGGTCTGAAATGTATAATTCACAGTAGATTTTTGGACAGTAGAGTGCAATCATGACTACCATTCAGACAGAAAAAACCCCAGGATTGTGTTCAAATAGCAAGGTAAAAATGTAACAAGTACTATTACATTGAATCTCGACAGTTAAATTTCACTTATCTATATCTGTTGCAGGAACACTCTCCTCCTGGTTACAAGATTGTCACCTTCCCAAACTGTATTTCCTCTTCACTTACAAGAAGGAACCTCTGGAATAGCTGTTACATAAAAGTACAAATGTAGTGTGACTATATGGTGAATTTTCCAGAAGGGACTAGGAGAAACCATTCATGAAATTTGAATGAGTGGTTGACAGTGGGATACAATGTGCAAAACCTTAAGGATGGCTATATATGCTCACTGAAGAGAGTTGGTTCGATACCAAAATCCTAAATATTTTACTTGAACATTTGTACATCATTTCATTGAAAAACTGAAACAATATGCATTTGATGCAGGCATTACCTCCCCAGTATGATGTCAACTCAAGCACTCTTAAGTGTAGCCATTTCATTCTCGAGTTGTTTAATTCTGCACACTACATATATGGTGCGTTCTCTTCTCTTTACCTTGTTAGGTTAGCTTCCCCAGAACTACTCTCCTCCAACTAGGTCAAAACACCACCTACCATCAGAGCTGATGCATGCCAGGTTCCCTTATGAGAAAGGCACAGCTCTTACAAAAGGATTTAAAAACAGATCGCTTTGAAGAGTGAAACCTGGGCGCCTTCAGCCATGACTCAGAACACACAAAGAGCTACTGTCAAGGGTCCTGTTTCACTTTCCCACTCAGCAGTACTTTCATCAAACTACTTATCTGAGTTATTTATTCTTCTCCTCTTTGTTTGGCTTCACTGGCAAAAGAAAAAAAAGTATCCAAGACTTGCAGGAGGAGAAAATGCTTTAGATGCAGAAAAGAAATCCCAAAAGGAGGAACACATTGTTACAAAACATTGCTTTTAGAAAAACCCAGCTTTCAGAGACTCAAGTGTATGCTTTCCAGCTTCTTGCTACCTGTACTATTTTTGGGCCCCCAAAAAACTGCTTTATAAGGATAGTCAATACTTGCCATCTGACTTTATTTCCAAGAATTCTGGTTTTCTTTTTTAAGTAGTCATGGGTAACCTTATAGGAGAACACATTTTGCTGCCAATATTCAGACCTTTAAGCCTTGAGAACATATCCAGCCTGATTCGCAAATCTCATCTGTTGCACCAATGAGAACAGTGAGTGATATTCAGCACTGCACCAGTGAACATGGGACAGGACTTCCCCTTCCCTTGTAGCCACCTCCCATGCCCCCTCAAGCTGCTCCACTGGGACCCCTAATCCTATGGGGCAGATTCTGGGGGCATGCAGGGGGAGGAGAGAATGGTGAAGTTTCAAGTCCTATCGCACAAGCAAGACTCACTTGCAAAAGCGGACTGACACTGTTGGATATCACCCAGTGTATTTTTTTTGAAAAACTTTCATTAACTTCATTCTCAACGAAGCCACCAAAATCTATTTAAAAAAACAACAATTTGTAAAGATGCTGAATCCTGTAAAAAACATTGCCGCATATTTATTTTAACAAAAGGGCCGATTTATTAATTTTTTTACAAATGAATTTCAAAACAAAAAGAAAACATTTATGCTACCTACTCATGACTTTCCAAATGCCAGCAGCCCTCATGCTGTAAAGATACTAAAGATCAGAAAAAATAAACAGCTTCACTCACAGTTCACCAAGACAGCACTAAGCTACTGTGTTTAGACAAAAACAAAAAGGACTAAGGTTCTGATGTATTTTGATTTAATCCATTTTGCCTGAGATAACAAAAGTATTTCAAGCAACTTCCATCACATTGTCCTGCATTAAACAATCCTCTACTAAATTCTGAACAGAAGTTATTCAGTAAGTTTCTCAATTTGTAAATTTTTTACAGTTGCTTCAAAACCATTAAGTAGTAAATGTTTAAGAAACTAATTAGGACAGAGGCCATAACTTCATCAGAACACCACTGCTCATGGTTTTTTTTCCTGTTTTTTGTTTTTACAAAGCATTAGTGTTACCTATTTGGCTATTAGTAGTAGCAATTTTATCTACAATATTTAACAAGGTAAGTTGCAGGCAAAAATTTAGTACAGTTTCAATAGAAACACCCTTTCCTGAAAATACAGCAGTATTTGATGGACTAATATTTTCTGCATCATTTATAAGGAAGCTTCCCATCTATGAACAGGAACAAAAAAGTATCTACAAACCTTGTAAACAGATCTGTATCATTTATAAACATAAATAATCCAAATTATTAACAGCCAACAGCAGAAATGAAAAATCATCATCAATTCAGTGATCCAGAGCTCCCTTGCCCTTTCCAGACCTCTCCTCAAAAAGGAACAAGAAACGAAAGCTCCGCTAAGACATTCTTAAGGGCCATTTTTAAGTACAGCTGATGATCCACAGGTCACTTAAACCAAGTTACTGTTTATCTGTCAGAGTTCATTATTACTCCCACCCCCAAAAAAGCACCCTCAAGTCTGGCAGAAAGCTTTTTTTAAAAAAATAAATCTACATTCGTACAAGTATATCTTCTTGTTGAAGTCCAAGACAAGAATACCATCTTGCCCATCTCAGTGAGTGAGAAGACCCAGTTTCAATTTGTTTCTTTACAATGCAGCTAATGTATTAACATTCGGCTTACAATCAGAGTGATGTTTCCAAACTATGTAGTGGGCTCCCTGGGGATGAAGAGGTAGCAGACTTGTTCAAGTCTGTTGTAAGATGAATTCCACTGTCAACCGCATTGTTATTTTTGTTGGGAGAGGGTGGAAGAGGAGTGGAGTTTCGTTTCGTTGGAGCATCATCTTCAGCATCGGTATCATCAATAAGGGGAATATGAGTCTCAGAATCTTCTATGCTAAACTCCGGATGCGTCATAAAATTGTGGATCGAACTTCGTGTCTCAGGTTTTTCTAATCCTTCATATAAGGAACTACGAAATGCATTCACCACTCGGATCTGCAAGGATGAAAAGCGTAAATGTCAGTATACAGCTGATTGTTCTAAAGGGAATACGGTTTTTATGGGTTTGAATCCACAGACAGCTAGACATGAGTGAACTGAATTTGTATGTAATGCAGTGGAACTTGCAATAGACTGTGAAAATAAAAATAAAAATGGAAGAGCATTTCAGGAGAGCACTGCCAGGCTTCAGTAGGAATAAAAATGTCAAGTGCCCTGTAAAAAATGCAAAACCCTACAAAGCTGAACTGGTGCTGCACTTATAAATTAAACATGGGCTAAGCGATTAAAATATATATATATTAAGCCAATCTGAAAAATCTACTCCAATTTAAATGAGTAAAACATTAGACTTCTGAAACCATAAAGATGGCAGGAATTTTGGAAGTTACTTTTCAATCATGCTGGGAATTATGGTGTCTCCTGGATTTATGGAGTGTCCAAGTATGAATAAGTCAATAGTAAGCAGTGTCAAAATTGCTGACATTCCTTCTAATATCAAGAAAGGAAAAAAAAAACCTTTACAAATGTAAATATTTGAGTATATACCACACAGAACACTTGCATAGTCATTTGTATCACAGTTTGCAGAATCAAGAAGAAATACAAATATAAATACTATAAAATACTATCTGTAAGAGGCATGTATTTCAACCATATTATATACACACAAGCATCACAGTCACATTCAAACGACACCAGAACATATGAAACAGCTGGTCCATGATTTATGAATACAGATTTTAACCTTCGTAAACTCTATAGTGTAATTGTCTTCCAAACAACTGAAAAGGGCAGTAATAAAAGACCTCCAATATTTGTTGCAGCTCATTTTGTTTTACAGTGAAAAGGCTACAGCGAAAAGAATTTGTACATCTCAGTTTGTCAAATGAAGTTTAATACTGTGAACAGGTATGAATGTAATGCTATCTTCTAAATCGTAATCCCATTATGACATTTCATATTATAACTTTTCTGCTATGAAAATAAACCATCTGATCCTATTCCAAATAGTACCTTTGCAAAACTGAGAATCTGTGTTATAAAATGACTGGTGTTTTCACTTGTACTGCACGTAACTTTGACATTTATGAAAACATCCTCATTACAAATGGAATGCCAGAACACACATTCTTTAGTCAGAATACATATAGAACCAAGGGGCAAGATTCTATTTTAAACATGAGCAATTTTTAAAATCCATAACAATTTTTTAGTAGGATTATAGATTTTTGAACCATCACCTCCTTAGCTAACCAAATGCTAGGTCAAAATGTGTCAGACAACTTATGCGAAAAGAATGTTTACATGATGTATTCACATTATCAGTTTGTTTCAGGGAAGGGACTTGTGCAAGTTTCCTCCTCAATGTTTATATTCTAATCTTGTGATATGCCTGTTCATAGAAGAATCTCATACCCCAGTCGGCCCACCCTCTATGTTGCACTAAAATTCTGCATTTCCAACACGACAAGGTTTCCTTTGCTATCAGAAGAAAAGTAAGTCCAAGGGAAAAAAATTCTTGAGCTAATGCATCAAAACTACTAGGCAGAAGTCAACTGCAGACCATTTTAAAAGATCTATATTGGAAAGAGGTGTTACCTTTCAATACACGAACAGCAGCAAGCATGTTGTGTACATGTGAGTTTGCATGTACACATGGAAACTCTGGACTTCTGTATCAGTATTCATATAGGGCTAAGCAGCATGTGGAGGCCAAAAGACCACCAAACTGATTTAGACTGGTCTACTGGGAAAGACAAGGCACCCCATTCACAGAAAGGAGATCGTCACCAAACTATCAATAGAAAGCAACAGAAATAATTGCTCACCCCTACACTTTCAGTATTATGGACACTATTGGAAATACCATTTCTATTTTTGAAATATCTGATGTTAGTCAAATATTTCATGTAATTTCTTTAAGTTTGATGTTTGAAACATACTGAAATTCAAGCACATAAAACTCTTGGACCGGGATCCAAAAACATACAAATCTCACAACATCAAGACATTAGCTGCAGACAAAGAAAACTTCCTCTTACTACAAGAGTTTGCAAACAAGCCTGTGGGGCCTTTCCATTTCTATGGGTATCATCCCTCTTTCATGCCACTCAAATACTTCATGAGAAGCAGTATTTCTAAGAAAGATTTCTCAGGTCAATGTCAATGTAATTAGGCACCTTTGTTATTTTGAAAACAAAAAACCCACCAGGCACTTTCATTATTGGGGGGGGGGGCATCCACTTTTCCAGGTATATACCAGGCTTGAGGTATTTTAACCCAAGTATTTAAAGTTCTAAGTTACGTCCTTTCCATCTTAAAAGTATTACTAATTTTAGAGGGCAGTTAGCACATACAGTGGCAATATTGTGAGTGAAAAAGGCACAAGAAGAAGAAAGCTGAAGAAATAACCAAACTGAGGTTTACATATAGTTGCCAAGATAACCTAGGGGGCAAAATGCATCAAATTACCTGATATAAGTAACTGACTTGAAACAACTACTTTGAATTAATGAAAATATTTGGTTTCAAGTCTCAGTAAGTAACTGAACTCCTGCAACTTTGAAGGAAACCCCATGTAAAAGAAAGAATGTGGCAGCTAGACTGGTCTGGGAGCGGCCACTGAGACCATATAACACCTGTCCTGAGAGACCTACATTGGCTCCCAGTGCATTTCCAAGCACAATACAAAGTGTTGGTGTGGACCTTTAAGGCCCTAAATGGCCTCGGCCCAGTATATCTGAAGGAGTGTCTCCACCCCCATCGTTCAACCTGGACACTGAGGTCCAGCTCCGAGGGCCTTTTGGTGGTTCCCTCACTGAGAGAAGTAAGGTTACAGGGAACCAGGCAGAGGGCCTTCTTGGTAGTGGCACCCACCCTGTGGAACGCCCTCCCATCAGATGTCAAAGAAATAAACAACTATCTGACTTTTAGATGATATCTGAAGGCAATCCTATTTCAGGAAATTTTTAATGTCTAATGTTTTACAATTTTTTATGTGCTGTAAGCCGCCCAGAGTGGCTGGGGAAACCTAGCCAGATGGGCGGTGTATAAATAATATTAATAATTATTATTAATACAAACCCTCAATATTTTATGCATGAGTTATGCCCAACATGTTTTGTACTTCCCTTTAGCAAGGATGTGAAAGCCAGCTACTTACATTTGCCAGCTTTAAACATTTAAATGAACTGTATTGTATATCTTCCTGCAAACAGTCATTCTTGAAGGCATATACTCAAATATTTATAACGGTTTCCTGAATATTTTTTAAACTCCCCTCTGCAAGAATCAAGGCACAATATGTGCAGGCTCACAGCTTTCATTGTAAATCAATAGTTGCAACTGTTCCACCTGTGTTGTAGCCCTCTACGAAAAAAAAAAGAGTTTCGAGGACTCCATTTTGTGAGAAAAAGTATGAAAAGTCTTAACGATGAATTTAAGGACTGAAGAAGAGAATGAAACGTTAGGTGTGTGAATTAGGAAATGTTAATTTCATGCACTTAGGAACACGCACTCACACCCCACAGTAGTAGAAGCAGTAGTAGTAGTAGAAGTAGTAGTAGAGGAAAACACTACATGTGTAGGGGTAGAAATATTTGTTACATCATGATGCTGGCTGGCGATGGAAGGTTGCCGCCTTAGAGCCCCCTGAATAGAAGTTCCACTCTGGAAAGCATTCACTACATCCATCTGCAAGGAATCAGAGATTGTGACAGCTTGCTCAGCAAGAGAGAGAGAGAACAAGAGAAAGGAGCATCCCATCTATAAAACATATAAAAAAGTAAAGAAAAAAAAGGCACTTTTATAGAGCAGGTAAAGAAGCAAGAGGCGCATTTAGAGATGAAGTAAAGAAGGAATTTGAGGGATTAAGGAGCCAACCATTTGACCACATAGCAAAGAGTTCAGTCACACCGTTTATAGCTACCCCCCAACCAATGCCAAGAACAACGGGAAGATTTATAACCCCCTCATCCCTAACCATCTCCTACCTGTTCCAAGACCATACCTGAGTTTGTATCCTGTTTAGGCCCCTAAACCACAATATCTGACCACGCCGCAGTTCTCTTTCAGCATGATCAATCTCCTCTACATCTTCTGCCAACTCTTCTTCTGGAATCTCTTCCTTCTGGGTTCCATGACCAGCTTCTTTAAGGAATTTCAAGTGGCTGGTTGGAATTGTTGATATCAACTACAATCATGAGAAAGAAGTTAACAGGCTTGTCAAAGCTAATTATAACACAAGCTGTGCTGAGGAATTCTGGGAATTCCAGATAAACAACTGAGATTTCCCACCCACCGACCACAACATTTACTTGAAACCTTCTTTTCTAACAAAGCAGAACATACAGTGACTAACTGGGGTGCAGGGAGATAAAGGAGGCTATGGCAAACAGTAGGTAGAAAGCACAGCAGCAATAGATGCAACCAAGGCAGTAACCGACAACTCACAGCAGCAGGAAGAGAGATTGCTGGTTGCATTTAACTGTGCCACTCAGTTGACAGCATGGCTTGCATCAGGTGAATGGAGACAGAAGCAATTTTTAGTGATTTCCCCCACTTGCACCCCACTGTGTCCTTCCTAAATATGCTCCAGAGGGTTACCCCAGCCCTTTGCAGCAGGTTTAGGGAGTCATGGGAGCTGCAGGGAGGAAGACAGAATTGCCAAAAACTTGCTCCCCATTCCACGGAGAGAAGTCTTACCATCAGGTGAGTGACACTGCTAGCAAATTCTTCCTTTCCCTAAGTTCCCTACAAAACTTCAAAGTGGGAGTAATGGAGCAAGTTGCTTACAGGTGGGAAAACCACACTTGCTATAGGAGGAGTGTAGGATGCACACACACATATTTTTCCAAACAGAAGAACTGATAATTCCAGCAAGTGAACTGTACAAAAAAGCTGTTGCTTCTTACCTGGCCCCAGAGAAGTGTGCCCATTCCTAGAAAAATTGACCAGAGCCACTGTTCTACTGTAAGCTCTGAACAACTGAAAGGTTTCCCTCCAAACTGCACAATGACGATCTGTTAAGAAAAATCACAAATATTATCACTACTTTATTTTTAAAAGTCGGTGCTGGCTATGTTGCACCAAATTATTTGACCCATCTATTCCGAAAATAAAATTCTGAGCTATTTTTCTGTTGGATTTTTAGAGCCCCCCAGAAGCTTGCTTCTGCCAATGCATCTGGTCTACTGTTTGTCGCCACCACGCGCATCTTTTGGTAGACAGCTAGGTCACGATTTGTGAAGCCCCTGGGAAACTGTGATGGGGTGATATTTTTATCTCTGCTACCTGGAATGTTATTGTTTAATTATAGTTTTATATTGGTACTTTAATATTTTATTTTATTATGTTGGATTGTATGTGCATTGCCCTAGGTTTCCTTTGGGAAGATGGGTGGAGGAAAAATGCAATGAAGTAAAAAAATCAATACAAACCATGAATGTGCATTATTTGCATTTTAAGGGGCAGTTACCAGGGCAGTTCTGGGAGAAGTCATTCATTTTTTTGGAACCATACAAACATATTTAACACTCCAGTGCAGGCATCCAAAACACTAATTACTAATTCTGCCACATTCTTAGATGGATACACTTAGCTTTAGTTGACAGCGGACAGGATCAGAGTCAAAAGTTCAATCTTATCTAACATGCAAATACAATGCCCATTTAATTGTGAAATTAGAAGCTGGATTTAAGTCACATATGAAAAGATCAGATTTCCAAACAAAATTGTCTTAACTGATCGTGTTGGATCTATGAATTCATCAGAATAATGGGCAGAGATATGGACCTTAACTGTCACCTGTATTTTATCTCCAAATTTAAAGCATTTCTAAAGATGTCAGCTGAATTACATACTATGTTAGACCTGCTAAGGATGCTGTATCCTAACATATACATATACATATACATATATACCGGTATATATATATAGAGAGAAAAACTTTGGCAACAAAAAGTAAAAAATTCTGTATCAAGTAAGTTCAGTAACCAACCCACCTGTACAATAAATGTGCCCAGAACTATGGTACAGAATATAGCATTATTGAAAATTCCTTCAAATACATTCCTTTCACCGTGGATTTTTCGGGCATTTATTTCATTAAAAAGCTGCATCATAACAAATGTATTAAACACAATAGTATAGTGCTCTGAAGGAGGTGCGTGAAGAGGTGCATTCCGTCCACTATCAATGTCAAATATTTTTTCACCTGTGAAGGGGAGATTAACACTCTCAGTATCTCGTGCTGATTTAGATGTTCATGTAAGGCATTACCATGTAAACATCAAATACTGAAGAGTTCATTCAAAAACTAAAATAGCTATTTGAGAAGCAGTCAATAGAAAACACTTAGCTTCTAAAAAGTTAAAGCTTAGGAATCTAGAATTCTTACCAGCAAACAGGAGTGTAAAGACAACCACAAGCTGATAGCAAGCATGGCCCAGAATATTCTTCATCATCGTTCGCGAGATGAGAGGTTTATTTCTACCGTAAGGCTTCCTCAGCAAGAGAGCTTCTGTGGGTGGTTCCGTTGCCAAGGCAAGCGAAGCCAGTGTGTCCATTATGAGATTTACCCATAACATCTGAACAGCTTTAAGTGGAGAATCCTACAAAAACGATACATTTCCTAATACATAAACACAAATATCCTAGAAACCAACAAGCCATGCAGCAGTTAAATGTTTTCTCCATTGAGGTTTGGTACTGTGCTTTTAAAAATACATCTAGTAAATTCACTCTAAAAAGCTAGTATCATCAGTTTATACAAAGTGTGCATTTTCACTAGTTGAAAATGAACACATAATACCTACTTGTGTAATACATGCTCCTGTGAAAGCAACAATTACTGCAACTACATTGACAGTAAGCTGGAACTGAAGGAATTTGGAGATACTGTCATACACATTTCGGCCCCACATAACTGCTTTAACAATGCTTGTGAAGTTGTCATCTGTGAGAATAATATCGGAAGCTTCTTTAGCTACATCAGTTCCAGCGATACCCTGAAAGAAAAATCCCAAAAAAGTCACAACATAATGAACAACATTCCAGCTATACACATTGCAGTTAAAAAGTGCACGCACAAGTCCTGAAAACACTGGTCCAAAAATTACCATCTTCCAGTGGTCTCATCCTTTGCTTTTAACATATATTTCATTACAAAAGCTGTTATTATGATGCACTATCTTGATAGCGAGTTTAAGTAATATCAAATGGTAAGAAGAATAACTATTGTGTCATATCCAATTGTTTAGGCTAGACACTGTCAGCATTTGTATATAAAAATCAATTGCAACAATTATTAGTTCGGGTTTCTATCTGGAGATAGAGAGTTGTTGGCACTAATATTAACTGACTTAATAAAACATGCAATCCATTCCTTTGCACATGCGGAAGAAAGTCTGATTTCAATGAGTCTTAGTCTAATGTACTCACTACAGAATTGCAATGCATAGACTCTACAAATCTTGAAAGTGAATTTCATCTGTTCCCATTAGGGATGATTACTGATGAAAAATGGCACATAAGCTAGTTAAAGCTATTCCAGTACAATAAACCCACAATGTAAGTATCTGAAATGGCACATTTTGGCTTCATTTGCCCTTTATTTTGGACATTTTTTGCTTAGATGAAAATAGCCTGACGCTCTAAAGCCTCTTTTGTTAGCCTCCAAAGCCACTAGGGGGCACAGTAGCACAGCTCCTGAATGTTCCATTCACATTAAGCAAATTCCACAAGTTCTAGCTGAGGAAAGCAATAGGTTTTGGAATCTAGGCATGGTCCCTTACGTATCATTCCAACAAGGAAAGTAGTCAGCTACTTGTGTCAAATGATTATGATCCACAAAATCAGAAAAGCTGCTAGTGTTAAAAACTGTTGGCAGTATAAAGAATGTTACTTATGCAGCAACACAGCTACTTCAACTAAAAAAGGAAGGGTAACCTTAAAATGCTACTACATATGTGAGTGGTATGGAGGGAATCTAAAGCTTCACCTGCCACAAGAGCAACAAGACTAATTCATTTCTACTTCTTGGAATGATCAATGAACCAGACTCAAAAGAAAAAAACCACACACATAGAAGCATTCATGGTTCAGCGTCATGTAAGTGACACCAAATTCTAAAGAGATAAGCTAGTCTACACTCATCTTAGTTGCAGTGGCACAATTCCACTATGACAAGGAAAAGGAACAGAAGAAACCTGATCTCAGCAATAAATGCTCAAATGTAGTATCAGCTTAGCATGAACCACATTAACTTCTCATGACCCAGCACGCTTCAGATTAAAATGGCCAAAAGTGAGTTTCATACAATCTGACCTCAAGCAGCGACAGTAAAATTTCTCTCTGAGGTTTTCTTCACATTCCGTTTTCCACTTCTTCCCCCACTATCCGTTCAGAACAGTCCCCCGGAATGCTCAATGATGGCTTTATATGTCTTTACACAAATTAAGAATCCCAGCTATTTTAGCTGGTATTATCAAAACATAAGTTTATTGTGCCATCTCCACATTAATAGCTTCAGGTTCCTACTTTTGATTTTAGATTCAGAGACACAAGTTACTCCACATCCCACCCTTCACCAAGAAAGCTGCAACATAATATACTGAAAAATCAAGTTGTGCTTCTATCCCAATTGACACAGTGAACAGATGGGAACCCAACTGCAGTCCTGTTTCACTTTTCATACATGTGTAATCCTGTATATGGACATTGTAAGTTTATGCAGTTTCCCTCTTCAAGGTTATTTCAGAATAGGGTTAACAGAAAGCCAAGGGAGTTGCAATCAGTTTTGCTCTTGCCACTGCTGAGTGTAAGTTAGATGTATTCAATCTTTGGTATAAATCCAAATGTTCATCACAATGAAAACTGGCAGTACAGCTCAGCAAAGGAGCACTTATCAAAATCAGTAGACAGAAGTTTAAACTTACCATGGCAAAGCCAACATCTGCTTTTTTCAATGCTGGACCATCGTTGGTACCATCACCAGTCACCGCTACAACTTGCCTCTGTTCTGAAACTGTGCTGTCTATTATACCTAAAATGGAAGTACAGATATATGAATTGCCATCAAAATACAAATCATGAGCTGCTGTTTGGCCTTGACCTAATATTAACCGTATTAAGAAGAGATATGGCCTCCTGATCCTAAAGACCTTTATCCAGTCAGTGAATAGATGTCCTTGATTAAATGGTTTAACAAGTCTTTTCTAAAATACTTTGGTTAACACCTCTTTAAATTTTTGCCCTTCAATGCCTGCAGAGCAGGGTTACAGATTTGAAGGATGACCTTGACAGCCCTAGATACAGGATTGATATGATCAATACAAGTATCATGGGCTAAAATAAAAAGTTTATTCTCCCCGCTCCAAAGGAAAGCAATCAGTTATAGTCCACCCTTCTATTTGAGAATGCTTATTTACCTTTTACCAGTGTGTGTTTGTCAGTGGGGGACGACCTTGCAAGCACACGAAGCTTGGGCCAAATTTTGTCTATTCTCTCTTGTTCTATCTGCAAAGATAATTTAGATTAGCTTTATAACTAAGCAAACTTTCAAAAACCAAAATTCAAGGGAATAATATTAACCAAACCTACCTCTCCTTTTTCATTACGTATTCGTCGGTTGAATTCTTTGCCTTCTAGGCATAAGAAATCTTCACCAGGATGCAAAATGCCACATTTTAAAGCAATAGCACGGGCAGTGTTGATATTATCACCAGTAACCATACGCACAGTTATACCAGCACGCTGGCATTTTTTTATTGCATCTGGTACCTAATTTTTATTTTGAAAAAAGAATAGTTTATGAAGAAGCTTTGCTACATGGACATGCTTGAAACATTATTTATCCACAACTCTCTGCCCTCCAATCTCCTGCTTACTTAATCTCAAATTGTCCTTCAGTTGAAATAATATGGCGTAACACAGTTCCATAGATAATTTTGTATCATCATGTTATTCGGCATATATTCCAAATATAATCATGTATATTTGGGTGTTAATGGCAACAACTGGGCACCTGTAACACTTAAGCTCCTATAGCTTACAGTTAACTTATTAAATGCACTTACTACTAAAAACATTTGGGTGTCCCATCTTTGAAAGGTTTTAAGGCTGAGAGAGAGACTGGGACTGAAGTCTCCTGTTTAACTAATGTATAAAATTTTTCTTGCTATTTTGAGACAAAGCCTAATTCTCAGACATTTGACACAAGTTTTGTTATCAAACCCTGTAACACAGCAGACTACTTATGAGGGTTCACTTGCTAGCTAAGAGAACTACGACTTAAGCTTGATCAGCAGGGCAGGAAAAAACATTCTGCAAATGTCTAGTAACTTTTAGATTAAAAGCACATGCTGTTTATACTGAATATTTTTCTCATTTGGGGTATTTAATTAGGGTTTTTTTTAAAAAAGTAGCTGATTTCCACCATCACCACCTAATGCATTGGAGCATGGATAAAGACATGTTCTTAAAGAGGCGGGATCTACCTCACCTCACACAAATTCAGGATGTGATATGTTTCCCTAAAAATGACACCATCTGCAGCAGTTACTTTTCACTCACAAAAGGGACTTGAAGATCGAACTCAAGCCAATCAAAATGAAGATGTGAATTTATCTTTATTTGGTTATGTTAGGTCTCGGGAATTATTTTAATGCCTTGACATGCTTACACCTGTTTTCGAAGTAAAGTATGGCATTGTTTCCAAACACTGGCAGAACATTAAGTTATTACTTTAGCAAATAATGTTCTAAAACACACTTTAATGAAGAGTTTCCGCCTACCTCAGGCCTCACAGGGTCTTCAATGCCTACAATAGCAATACATGTAAGCCCAGTGACAATGTCATTTTCATTGTCCCATTCTGGCTCAGGTTCTCCAGCTGGGAAGTCTCTGAATGCCAGACATATGGTTCTGAGTCCCTCTGAGGCCATAGGCTCAATCACAGTTTTTACAATATCATCACGGTCCCTTGGCCTGAACACTTTGGGTTCACCATTCGCGCTCAGTATCTTGAAGCACCTGAAAACAAAATAGAAACAATTTTCAAGATTCAGAACACTCAATAAAAAAGGTCATCTGCATCGCAGGTACCGTAATTTTCGCTCCAAAACACGCACTTTTTTGCTCCTAGAAAGTAAGGAAAAATGCCTGTGCGTGTTACGGAGCGAATGCACTCATGGCTACCGTCAGTCAAGCAAAGCGGGAGCTGCTTGTAGGGCTTCTGTCCCGCTCTAGCTTTGCTTGCTTTACAGCCAGGAGGAGGGGGAGGAGCTGGGGAGGAGGGAGGGAAGGAGAGCCATGGCAGCAAAGAGGGCAGCAGCCGCTTACACGGGAGAAGGGACAGACGGGAGCCATAGCGAGCCGGAAAAAGCGCCGCATAGCCAGCAATAGCTGCTGCAGCCTCAGCTAGCAAAGGTCCGTGCGCTCTCTAAACGGAGCAACGAGGCTGCAGAGGGACGGCAGGGCACAGGAGTCCTCTGAGCCACGAGCGCAGTGAAAACCAGTAAAAAAGTTTTTTAAAAGGCTGCTGGGGACAGGAGGGCACGGGATGAGGGAGAGGGGAAAATTACGATTCTCCCAGCGTCTCAGCTGATCCGCTGAGCAGGACTTGGGTTGCAGGGGATTTGCCATTAGCTGCGTAAAGCAGCAAAGAGGGAGAGAAGGAGCAAAGCGGGAGAGGAAAGGAGCTGTTTACACTGCTGTAAGTGGCTGCTGTCCGGTTGGCTCCTTTAAAGCAACAGTGCTCTTTCCCTCCCCCCTCCCCGCTCAGCTCGCCGAAAAGCTCCTTTTCCACACACCCCACGCGAGCTCCTTCTCCCCTTAAACCCCTCTCCTGCATCATTAGCAGCATCCTTCTCCACACACCCCATGTGTGTTCCTTCTCCCCTTAGACCCCTCGCCTGCATTATTAGCCGCATCCTTCTCCACACACCCCACGCGAGTTCCTTCTCCCCTTAAACCCCTCGCCTGCATTATTAGCCGCATCCTTCTCCACACACCCCACGCGTGTTCCTTCTCCCCTTAAACCCCTCGCCTGCATTATTAGCCGCATCCCTCTCCACACACCCCACGCGTGTTCCTTCTCCCCTTAAACCCCTCTTCTGCATTATTAGCAGCATCCTTCTCCACACACCCCACGCGTGCTCCTTGTCCCTTGAATGCTTTTCCTTCCCTCCCCACTTAAAACATGGTTACAAAGCACGGATCCACATGGATCCTCAGGATTTTTGCACTGGGTCACCCCAAGTTCACCATCAGATCACATAGCATATCCATGGCTACAGCCTGCACCAAAAAACACACACGCACCCACTGTTTCATGGGGCTGCAATGGCGCAAAAACGTGGTTACAAAGCATGGATCCACATGGATCCTCAGGATTTTTGCATTGGGCTACCCCAAACTCACCGTCAGATCATGTCTGTGGCCACAGCATGAACCACAAAAATCATAAATACACTGTTTCGTTTAGAATATTTGTTTCTTGTTTTCCTCCTCTAAAAACTATGTGCGTGTTATGGTCAGGTGCGTGTTATAGAGCGAAAAATACGGTACTTTCTGGGGCTAACATTAAATATTCCTAAAACTTGCAGCAGCTAGATACACATGCATCCCAGCACAGATTTCATGAAGAACTTGGTTGCCTTGTCATCCCACCTCCCAGTATGTGAACATTTTTATGCCAATGCTTGGTGGTGGCGATAGGGAAGGTAAAGGCTAGCGAAGGCACAAAAGTGGGGGAGGGGGAGGGATTCACAGTACGGCATTCCTACCATGTTCTAGGAGTATCTCCCAGGAGTTTATCCTGCTCCCCTTTGCCAGCATCTCACAGCCCAGCAGTAACAAAGGTAAGTCAAATGCACCCAAAATGGGAAAGGTTTTCACTCAGATGTTAAAAACATTAGGACAAGGCTCAGAAGAGTAGCAAGATCCGTTCCAGTAAGAGGTGCTGTAGTCCTGGCATTGTCATATTTTATATATAGGGTAAGTGCTTAGCAGATCATAAAATGCATATTCATATATTCACAAGAATGTCAAGGCTACAAGCCAACTCTACAAGTCTTCACAAAAGAGGGAACTGTTCACGAACTGAATTGTCATGTTTTCCTACAGACCCCCCCTTATCTTCCGCAATCAGTTCAGTGTGACCTGTAAGATAAAGTACACAATAGCCTGAACTGCAAAAGCAAAATGACTGTTTCTAGCTCCCTTTTCACCCAGTCCATGTGAACAAGTTTGCCCTCACTGACCACCAAACTTTGCAATTAAAAAGTAAGAAAAGAATGCATTTCATTCAGTAGGCAGATAATGAAAACTATCATCTTAAAGGGAAGACGAGCAGGAAATACTTCACTGTTTCTATGATTAAGCAACAAGATTATATATCTAATCTCTAGCAAAAAGTAGTAATTGCATCACATGACTAATGAAAGTAAAATGCAACTTTGTATTCACCAAAGACTTGGAAAGTAACTAGCTTAAGTTTGGGTCAATGAAGCATTCAGCTGTGTTGCAAGCTCTATACCAACATCTTATAGGAAAGGTTTCTAAATTAGCTAGTTCTAAGAACTCCCGACTTGGACAATGAAGAAATACAGTGCTGAAAAGCCAAGGAACAGAAGGTACCATTTCAGGCATTTCATCACACCGTTACATGATAAGAGACCACAAAAAGTTAACTTGCTTTTTAAGTACTATCTCCGAGGCACCCTTGCTGAATATCCGGAAACTGCCATCAGAGTTCTTTAACACAGTACTCATGGACTTTCTAACAGAGTTGAAGGTGTAGACTTTGTAAAGTGCCTCTTCTGGTATTTCGTTTCTAACATCCTGGTAGTCTCGTTTCAAATCCAGCAGCAGTCCCAGCAAGGCACATTCAGTTTTGTTACCAACATGGCGGGGCAAGCCACCTTCCTTTTCAGGAGGCTGAAAGACAGAATAAACCCTTGAGAAGGAATTTGCTTCTGGTTCAAGGAAATAAGGAATAGGCAGCAGCTTAGAATTCAGCATCTCAGAAATCATACGCTGAAGGTTTGCAAGTTATATGCTGAAACTGGATGCAAATTTTAGCTTACACACCTCTTTAAAGAATATGTCACTGCTTAGGGGCAGTTTAATGTTCATAAAGTGCAACCAATAGAAAAATTTATATTACTAATTTGTCTTCTCAAGTCAGAGCACAAGCACTACAAGTCAGAGACAATTTCAGGAGTCATATTAGTTCTTAGAAAGCTGTTAAATTAGACTCAACGAGTAACTGAGGGTCAGTTCTTACAGACTGGCAGGATAATGGTGCAATGAGAAAGGTCAGGTGCACATTTCAATACCAGGCAAGACACAGAGACACATTTGTAGTTTGGCGTTCAGCATGGAATGGCCCTTTTACCAAGGCCAAACAAAAATAAAGGATAGTGTCATTTGTAAACATGTCCTTAAATCAGTACAACTGCTAGTTTGCAGGTATGTGGGCCTGCATAATACAACACATAAAGCCAAACTCAATTCACTAACCATGCTCTGTAAGCTGCTCAATAAACTTGTTTTTGCTGCCTACCTGAGACTGCAAAAACAGGGGGTGTTGAGCACTGTCAGGCCACACAGAGAATGGTTGGTGTTTGGCTTGGTGAGTCTGCTAAGGCAATTCTTGCATATTTCACTGCTCTTCCCAATCAGAGCAACAGATAAAATACTGAAAGGACAAGAAAGCTAAAATGACAAGTGAAACTTTGTGACTCCAGAACAGCTTCAGTAGATCATATACATTAGTACTTGAGAAATTTGAACTAATTAAGCCATGAATTAAGTAAGCTGAGGCATAAAATTATCAGTTTCAGAATTAATTGATGCTATTTTATCCAGAAAATAGACAAACTTTTAAATTATTATTATTATGCTTTTATTGTTATTGCTATATCCCAGGAAATACATTTCAACTCAAAATGCATTAGAGCTGAGAAGAGCAATGTAGAGCCATTTGGCATTTCAAAAACCAAATGCCAAAAAATTATTTAGCCAAGGAAGCTCAAATATCATATTAACATTCATTTTAATTACCGTATTTTTCCGTGTATAAGACTTCCCCATGTATAAGACGCCTCCTATTTTTGGGGACTCCAAATTAAGAAAACACCCCTCAGCACTACCCGTATATAAGACGAGCCCCAATTTTAAACCTAATTTTTAGGTAAAAAACCCTAGTCTTATACACTTATACACGGAAAAATATGGTATATTCCCAATAGTTATTCAGAAGGATCAAAGCTTTCCCATCAGCTTAGTAATCTTTCAGTAATGTACATATATGACATATATGACTTTAGTAAACATGTTTATTATAGAACTCTGAAGAATTTAAATGAGAACAATCCTTCAAAAGTTATGAGACCTATTGTTTCAATGGGAGATGCTTTAACTCTACCACTGAATCAATAGTTTCCAATACACACTTACCAAGATTTTGGAAGTATAAGCAGAGTTTACAGAGATTCCTGTTACAAGGTATGACAAGGTTTTCTCAGGAATAGCTTGTGCCTCAGGAATTTTTTTATAATGTTTTTCACTGATGTAAGCTTGGACTACCGTCATTCTGTTCATTGTCAATGTTCCTGTTTTATCTGAGCAAATGGCTGTTGCATTTCCCATTGTTTCACAAGCATCCAGATGTCTGACCAAGTTATTATCTTTCATCATTTTCTATAAAAAAGAGATTAAGTCAGTCTAACAGCATTAAACACATTTTTAGAATTCACTTGTCATTGTGCATGCTGAGGTTGAGATTCCTCAATAATAAATATTCAATGGATATCCCATATTTAAGCTTTATAATTAGTACCCAGAGGGTAAAGATAAAATCAATTGACAGATGCACCGACTGTAAGGGTTATTTTAACAAGCATATTCCTTGTGTTTGGAAGAGTTACATTTAATGCTGAGTGATTACTTTATGACCACAGTGTTTGTAAAGATAGGTTGATGCAGAACAAACCAACAGAACAAGCAGATAAACCATTCAAAAACAGTTCATTGATCCAGTTTCTTAGGAAAAACATCTATGAACATATATCTATACTATATAATGTACTACCATACAAAAGCATAGGTTTCTCACACATACCTTTACAGAGTAAGCCAGTGAGATAGTAACTGCAAGTGGAAGACCCTCTGGAACTGCCACAACCAGGACAGTAACACCAATGATAAAGAACTTTACAAAGTACTGAATATATATTGGTGTACATTCAGCAAGCCAAGGACGTTTCTGGACCCAGAAGGTATCAATTACAAAATATAATACAAGAATGATGACTGTGACTGCAGACATCAGCAATCCTTTTAGGAAGAGATGAGAACCAGTTAATCATTCATATTATTGACAAAACTCTAAAAATAGGTCTCAAAAACTCATTTCAAAATTTTAATACAAAGTTAAGTTTGAGAAAAGATCTACAGTTGAATGCTTGTTCATTAAGAATCTGGCATTAAGGATGAACACTAAATAAGCCATACCTGCTTTGCCAATCTGAACTGCTAGCTTAGTGAGCTTTCCTTGAAGAACTGATTTTTCTTTCTTGGGCATATTGTTTCTTTTTTTGTCATCTCCATCACCACCATCTTCACTTTTTAGGGGCTGCATTTCCATCGCTGCACCATCCTGAGCTTTTGCTAAGTTTAAGGGGGGAAATAATAGATAAACCACCACTCCTAACACTATAGAGTAAGCCTCAAATTAAAGATTTAGTCATTGACATTTATTCTATATCTAGAGCAGCATGTATTTAATATTCTGAAATTAAAGGGGTGAAGAATAGATAGCAAGACTGGCTTATGTGACCAAGTGACTCCCTACTCCATGTTTGCCTGTTTTGCATGCCTCCAACAAAAATCCTGTTACCCAAATTCTGCAAACTACAGAAAACTCTAGGAAAAGGAATGGTGTTTGCTTAGCTTTAGGCACATGTCAAATGCAGGGGGAAGGCATACATGCATCCTTTCCCCCAAGTTTTTCTCCAGTTCAGAGAACTCAAGGGGTGTTTAGTGGAGTTCTCTTTATTCCTGCTGAGACAAAGACAAACAGCATTCTGCACATGTCCAACACAATGACGAAGGGCACTACTCATTGCCCTTCTTACCTGAGTACTCCACAGGGTTGGGGTGCATGAGAGAGGGGTCCATGGCAAACAAAGAACTGGATACAGTTATTTGCATCTCAGGCCACAGAGAATGAAAGAAATTGCTTTGAGAAATAGATTTATTACAGCACAATGCCTTGTGATATTAAACATGGGTCTGTTGCTGAAATGTTCACTCACTGGACATCACAAGCAGAGACGGGGAAAGTACACTAAGGGAAAGTGACAGTGGGCTGCCATTTTCAGACACAATCCTGCATTTATAAGAACAGTACTATACCCTCACAGAACACGGCAATAGAATACTGACTTTTCAGACTATCAACTGGCTTGGACTTGCTATAAAACCATTGTCAGATTGAGAGGAGGCCACAGAATTACATCCTCACTCCGCCGCATCTGAGAGTGAGCCACTTGGAACCCCAGCTAGAACTCCGTATTAAGCAAAAGTCCAGCTTAGCTTTAACTTTGGTGAATATTGGCACTGATCGAATTCTTAACTGCAGTTTAAGCTCTGTGTTGGGAGAAGGAGCACATGAGCCTGTGGTCCCTTTTCAATCTCTTAAACATATTTAAGAATATGGGAGGAATTCAATGTTGTGCTTTAACAAGCAGCTTGCCATAAGGAACAATTGTTCCTCCCTTCCCCTCACATGCTGTTCTAAGGGTTCTCCTGAGCCACCCCCCCCAGCCATTTTTTTTGGATACAGACAGCAGAAAGGGGAGAAGGTTCCATTGTGCAAGTGGAAGTCCCTACACAGCGCTTCCACTGACAGGGTGCATTTGCTGAATCCATCAGTTCCATATATCCTAGCATAAGATTGTGAGGGATAGTTACATATATTAGATGCAAGATTAAGCTATGTATAGTTTTAAAATGTGATGCACAACTTTTGCCTAAAAGTTATGGTTAATCCGGCTTGCTCAAAAAATCAAGTTAATGTTGTAAGTACTGTTAATTACCTTTGTTACGATTTTCAATAGCCCCATCTTGTTTTTTACCTGCCAATAAAAAAATAGTTGTTTTTAGAAATCTAGGATCAAAGCACTTTTAGATTAGGATAATGAGATCTTCTGCTCAATTATCTAGTCTTAAAGGGCACTGCTGCACCAACAGCATGAAGAGGAGACTGTTTATAATTTCTCTTATAATTGCGAAGTCTGCGTAAGCGTTTATTGCTGTGCTGGACCAGGCTCTTTCACAGTAATTGAGCAGTTTTCTGGACTTCAGGGATGCATACCAATCTAAAGCCATACTAAATGTATTAGCAACTAAATCAGGTTCTTTTAAATGCCAGGGTTGGGAAAGGGGCTGATAGCCATCAGGATCACAGCATGCAGGGAACTGTGGCTTAACCCTTCCCTCCCCAGTCATTATATCAATAAAGATCCTTCCTCACACCCCATTCACCTTAGGAAAAAAAGCTCCCATTGACACTACTGGTGGCAGGGGGCAATTTTCATTTCAACTGTGGCTGTGAAAGAAAGGGTTAAATCTCCTGCAACGTTCCCCATGAAGTTCAGCTCTCCCTGTGCCTAGTATTAAATATTAAAAACTTGACATAATTGCTAATGACACGTTTAGAATAATGTCTTGCTTGATACCAAGGTGCAGATCCCAATGTGTTTCAGAAGACAGTTGGAATGTTCAGGTTTAATTTCACTTAGAATAAGCCTGCAATTCTTTACATGTAACAGTGTTCAACTGTTCAGAGGTGCCATGCTTTAGGGGAACTTTATGCCTCTGAACATTGTGACAGGAGCTGGAAGGTGATTAGTTTCATATGTAAGCTTACAATACATATGTACAGTGGTACCTCGGTTTTCGAACAGCTTAGTTCCCGAACAACTCAGAACCCGAACGCTACAAACCCAGAAGTAGGTGTTCCGGTTTTCAAACTTTGCCTCGGAAGCTGAACGTGCTCCTAAGCTTCCGTTTTCACTGTTGTGCAGCTCATTTGAGTCCCCCACATAGTAATTAAGGATTTTTTCATCCTGTTTTACCTTTGCATGGCAAATTTAAGTCCCCCCCATCGTAATAAAGGCATTTTTCATCCCGTTTTACCCTTGTGCGGCAAATTTAAGCCCCCCCATCATAATAAAGGCATTTTTTATCCCATTTTACCCTTGCGCAACTAATTTAAGTCCTCCCCCCCCCCCCATTGTAATTAAAGCCTTCCGTTTCTGATTGCAGTGTTCTGAGGTGATATTTGGTGCTTTTGTTTCTGCTATTTTTTATTTTTGTTTGTGTGGCTTTTTCATTTTTGTGACTGCGGCTTGTTTTTCGTTTTATGATTGATTGTGTGACTGCGGAAATGGATAAAAGCCCCCCATCCAAACAATGACTATCATCAGTGCAGGTAGGGAAAAAAAATTAATTTTTATCATCTACAATACTGTCTTATTTATTGTATGTATTGTATTGTATTTATTGTATTGTATGTACAGAACATTATTATTGCTTTCATTTTATGGCTCAGTGGTCTTGTTAGTAACATTCATGTTAAATTTCTGTTTTAGGGGTTGTTTTTAAAAGTCGGAATGGATTAATCCATTTTGCATTACTTTCTATGGAAAAGTGCACCTTGGTTTTGGAATGCTTTGGTTTTGGAACAGACTTCCAGAACCGATTAAGTTTGAGAACCAAGGTACCACTGTAGTTATAAGCTCAAAAGTTGAAATCTTCCTCTACCCCCAACCTCAAGGAGTTTTTATTCTATTCATGATAAACAGGGGAAGTGGGGGATGATTATAACAAATCAGATTCTTTTATAGCTATAGTTCAAATGAAATGAGAAGAAATGCTTCTGCTACTCCTTTTACTGGTTTACCCAGTACAAGCATGGAGTGTATACAGCCCTAAACCGCCTCGCATTATAGTATTGCTATTAATGCAAGTCCTGACATATCAAGATTAGTAAAGGTGAGTTTGACATTAATTCAAGTAAATGTGGAGAGATTTCTCAGTGTTGATTAGGTTCACACTAAAAAAAAAATTTTTTCTGAGCTAGAGCCAGGTCATCTATGAGGTGCAATACAAACCAAAGAGGTGAATATCAGTTTCCAGGTGAAGCAGTGTAATTTTAAACAATATCTGAATATTGTCCTCCATGGCAGCTGTGGTATTATACCTACACCTGTATAGGTATTACAAAATAAAAAAAAAAAAACTCAGGGGCTAGAGGAGAGGGTTAACTTCAAAAGGGACACAACAAATGATATGGCCTTTCTTCAAATATATAAAAAAAACCATTCATGTCTTTTCCTTTAGTATAAAAGAGGGAACACTCTATAATCTATGGAGTTTACTAATATCAGACAGGCCTCACTTAACACATCCTATTTTTGTGATACTGTTAAGAGCACTTGAGTGATTGTATTAAGTGAGTAATGAAGTGTCAGCTGAAGCAAGTTGGGAATGTTAACTTGAAAGACTTCAGAGACAAAATTGACTATTTAATTTTCAAACTTACCCGCTTGGACAATGGAATGAGTGGAAGCAGGAGTTCTATGTAGTTATTTTGTACCTGCCTACATTGTCATTCTGCATGGTCAACACCACTTGCAGACATTCTTACAGAAGAGAAGCCAACTACAAAATATATCTCTAAAGTCCATCCAAAAGTTCATGCTTACTTTTCTTGTCCTTTTTCTCTTTTTCTTTCTTTTCTTCTTCGTCGTCACCTCCAGCACCAAGCAAGGTAAAGATAATTCCAGTTTGTGAGTTTACACCTACAGCAGTAACTACCATTCGTCCAGAACCTTCCATTACATGAGTACCTGAAATGTGAAAGTATTCATATTCATGAAAAGTTCCAGACAGACATCTGCTACAAGTTAGCGAGAAACTTGTTACAATACTTCCATTAATTTCCTATAGCAGAAACACACCTTTGATCAATAAAGGATATTCAGAAAATATAAAGAAGTAAAGGGTTTTATAATACCCAAGAAACGCTAAGCCAATAAAAACCATTAAGTAAGACTACAGCCATTAGAAAATTTTGTGCCTACCAACAGCCAGCTACTGGCTAACCAATATACAGCTGATGTGCAAGATCACTGATAAATGCCTAAAAACTGGCACTATTGCAGTTATATCCCCCTTTCATAGCCACCTTTCAACTACATTCTCAGGACAGCATACATAGGATTACTCCCATTTTAGCCTAACAATCTTTCAGGAATGGGTGTGTGTGCAATTTTAGCAATAAAGGAGTGCACAAGTAAACCCAGAACAGTTACCCTTTACATGCTGAAATCCCCCTGCAACTATTTCTCCCCCAGCCAAGCTCCTCCTATACAAATCTAGCTGAAGGAAAGTCACATGGGGGGCAGGCTGCAGAAAAACAAGCTGGCAGGTGAGCAGGATTTGTGCAATCCACATGTGGGCTACATTTGTGCTTATATAAGATGCATGCCTACCAAGTTCACATGCACACATACATCCAATGGGATGCATCCAATGTAACACTAAGTTAAAGTGACTTTAACTCCACTGGTGAAATGCTTTGCACCAACAGAATGCTGTTGCACAATCTACTGAACAACAAAGTTACAAACAATGTGATGTGCAACACTAAAACTCATGCATATTTGGGACAGCTGAATATTCCTGCATCACAGGGGGTTGGACAAGATCATCCTCAGGATCCCTTCCAACTCTACAAATCTATGATGTTAGTTTCCTGATAATGTGTTGCTTATGTTTTATTCTAGATTGTTTTGTTTAATATTTTATTGTGCTGTAAGTATCTTTAAGAGTTTTTTCTTAAAAATACAAAGTGCTATAGAAATGAAATTATTATTATTATTATTATTATTATTATTATTATTATTATTTCAGCTACATCTGTAGGGCCAAAGGTTCTCCACACTTGATGTAAAATATAGTGCTGTACTGTACTTCTTGCAGGAGAACCACTAAACACACATTTCGGAATGAAAACTTAGTGCAGCCATTTCTGGTTTCTGACCACAATATTTTAAGAATGTGGCCAAGAACTAAAGGCACATGCACTTGATCCTTCCTTGCCAGCACTATAGTGGGGCACCCTTAAGTAGCCCAAAACTGCTTTGGATAAGGTGCAGGAAAAGATGAGAGCTGCCATTGCACCTGTCTACCAATTTCTCCTTTAACTACTTTCCCATTCCCTATGGGTTTTTTTTTTGGGGGGGGGGGTATTAAATGTGAGATGGGGCAGCTGAAAGGAATGTTTGAGATTCTTGGAGATGTACCTTCTGAAAGGATAACTCTCTCTCAAAATAAAATAAAATCCATTGTATAAACACATTTCTCCACATTTGTAGAAATAGCCAATAAGCTGGAAGTAAAATGGGAGTAAATCTGCCATATTATGCCTGTATTATTCCTCCCTTCCTGGATTCAGAGTTTTCTTCTAGTGATCTAGCCAGCAAGCCAGGCTGCCTTGTCCACCTGTTCCAGATTTCCCAGCAATTCATATGCTGAGGGGAGTGAAAGTATTGTGCACTGTTGCACAATCACAATAGATCAGACATAAGGGGTGAGATGAAATGGAAGAAATGGAGCAAATGCTGAAAGAAAAGGAATGAACAGATGGGTTCTGAACTGCAGAGGTACAGAAAGGAGAAAAATGAGTTGGTAACATGTTATGCAGACACTTGCAAGTGGGGAAACAGATGGGCTGCACACTTGTAGTGGTGAAGACACAGCATGTGCTATGGGGCACACAGAGAAGGAGGGATGTTTAACAGAGGTCAGAGAAAGAAGAAACAGTACTATGGGAGCAAAGCCAAGAAGGGATTAGCAGAATGCACTGAACACAGTTACAACTGTAGCAAAAAAATGCTTTTCAGTAGTTAATGCAGCTGCCATGCAGTCGTGCTGGGTTAATAAACGAAAGTGGCCCCTGGAGGAATTTAAGTTGGGCTCTCCACTAAAGTCCTTTACACTAGAATTGCTTTTTATAAGACATTTTATTACAGTTATACAAAACTGCAGTGTAGCATTAGACAGAACATAACATTCTTACTATTAACACACTCATGTATTATAATAATGAGTTGCATGATATCAAGTTGATTAGGGAAGAAAGTTTCCAAAAGAAAAAAACAAATTCCAAAGAAAAGACCACATTTCAGTATTCCCATAAGCTGCTAATATATCTCACTTTTGCAACCAGTCCTGTTTATCTGGAGCACATCTGAGTTTCTACTGAAATACTTTAAATCTTAGGCCATGATACACACTCTGACAAGCCCCATTAGGCTAGTTAAGGGTAGCATTCTAATAAAATCCATTATTTTTCAAATGATTTGTAAATATACTGTCTTGCAAAGATAATGCCTATCTACCTCAAGTGCACTGAACTGAGCAGCTGTAAGTATCACCAACAGCAAACTCAGGCAGTGAGTGCTGACAGATATATAGCCAAACAGGGCCACAGAGAAATATCAACATGCTCAGGAGACCGTTCAGTTTGTTATTGTTCATGGCTATACTATATAAGATAGTGAACCAGTTAATTCGAGACTGGCAATAAGGTTTAAATCTGCAGAGTCTCTGGGGTATAGTGGAAAACAATAGCTGCCTATTTGCACAACTGAATTCTGTCAACTGGAAGGCTCTGCAGTACTTCTGCAGTCTTAACCATATAACTCACTTCAGGCTTTGAATAATTTCATCTTTTATTTCATTGATGAGGAGCTAAATGAGGGCATGCTGACTTAATTCAGGGGGTCACCGCATCCATATTACTAGAGTCTAATAAAACTACCCTATGAACAGTGTTTAATAAATATGGAAAGTTGAGACATTTCAGCGATGCACACTAGCTTAAAGTAATCACATTAAACGATGCTTGTATGTCTGAAATCCTACCTGTTGTTAAGACCCATCTTTCCGGCCCTGAGAAGGTTAAAAGCATGATACATAATACATAAGAGTACTAGATCTTAGCATGCTGTCACCTAGAAAGACAGTGTTTCACATAACCTAGTTCTTGAAGTAGGAAACTTTGTCCAGTTTCCAAAATACCTCATGCCCAGTTCTTCGCTATCATTTGATCACTCACCTGAGAGCAACATAGGATCTCGATCAGATGTTTTCTTAACATGATCAGATTCTCCAGTCAGTGAGCTTTCATCAATTTTGAGGTCATTTCCTTGTATAAGTACACCATCTGCTGGTAAAAGGTCACCTAAAAAAGAAAGAGCCCAAATGGTACTTTTAAAATACATTCAATAAGAAGTTACCAGAGATGACATCATAAATAAGTATATTTACCATATTTTACTTGTGCAATATCACCAACAACTATGTCAGCTATAGGTATCTGGATGACTTGGCCACCCCTGATGACAGTAAACTTCTGCTCTTGTTCAATGCGGCTTTGCAATCCCCTAAATTGTTTCTCTTTACTCCAGTCATTGAAAGCTGTGACTAATACCACACAAACGACAGACAGGAGAATTGCAGCTCCTTCGATCCACCCTGTTTCACTTTCATCCTCCTCTTCACCAGCTGCTACTGTTCCACATACTGGAAAAAGTAAACAAATAATCAGCATCACATACTCAAATTTTAATATTGTTCTGCATTAATCTGAAAACTGAAATTTATCATCCAAACTTTATTACACAAGAAACCCAATAATACTGACTTAGGCCCCATATCAAATGCACACTAGCTTTGACAGCTTTCCTAAGGTTACAACAAAGCTTGAGTTTAAAAAATATGGTTAATGTTCATATTATGTGGCTGCAATTAGGCTACCATGACAGTGGTATCCTACCACTATATTACAAGTGCTATAGGATTATTCAGATTAAATGTATCAGTCCACAAGGGTTATATATACACAGCAGTTTAAAGTGCATTCAATGCATTCCACATGAGCATACTTTTCATGTCATCCACATTATTCAGTCGTCATCCAAGTGGCAGTCCACATTCCCCCCAATATAATTTGGTGTTTCCACTGTGGTACAACAGACATTCTTTTCAACTCACAGCTTGTTCAAGTTTAGTACATGGGAAAACTTGCATCTCAATAATAAAAATAAAATTACTCAAGGCACAGGTAAACAATTACCTGTGCACATACCCACAATGGATCTCAGGTTTCTGGAACTCTGGGACAAGTAAGGAAGTACTAATTGAGGGGAGGGGACAACAACTCACAGTGAGAATACATCCTATCAAGCACACCACACTAGTGCATACCCGTAGCTCCTAACTGGTGGTCTGCGGACACCAAGGGGTCCACAGCACCATTTACGTAACAAAAACTACCATAACATTTTCAAAAGTAGGGTGTCCATGGCTTGGCTATTCAAAAACAGGGGGTCTGCAGAGCATAGTTAATTGGGAACCACTGGCGTAGACAATAAAATACTTAAAAGAGTTCAAATGAATGCTCATGTGTAGATGAATGTGAGCAAAAGCACACACGGAACAATCAGATCTGTGTGACACACATGTGCATTAGGACTCTGGTATGTACACAGCCAAGGTATCTATGCCCACGCAGGGTGTGTGGGTGTTTCTGGAGAAATATCCTTAAACCTCCCCCTTCTTCTCATGCTGAGCTTGGAGCTTTCAACAATTAAAGCAGAAGTGGGCTGGGAAAAACAGAGGGGTTTTCACATTGCATAGAGCTTCCCTGCCTTTCACCTTTGCCCACTAGTCTAGTCCATAACTAAAAGTTCTGGTAGCAGAGCTTACAGCAATACTTAAATTTCTTTTCTTGTGATCATAGGATTTAAAGTTTCTACCTTTTCCGTTGCATGTAACAGATTCCCATATTCACTTTTTAGCAGCTATGGGCTTATAAAAAGGTAGCATGATGGGGACCAACTCTTGGAAGAGTACTACGAAATTTATGGATCAATATGTAAGCAAATTTGATCAACCAAGAACATCGCCCCTGAATCTCTTCCATTTATTTCAAGATAAGAGTCTGATCCATTCTGTCCAATAATATATTCTAGGTTCTAACAGATTAAAGCCAAGGATAAAAAGAATGTAACTGTCAGTATACAACAAATTAGAGAGGTGGTTAAGTTTTCATGATTTGGAGCAAAATATTCACCATGAATAAGTCTGATACACACACACACACACACCCCACTAGTGGAGGTCACGTCAGTATTACTCATTTTCGTGGATTAAGTCTATTTTGAAGTTTTGACAAAGGGTAGTCCTATTTAGCCCAAAGAACTGACTCAACTGATGTCAAAGAAGAAAGAAATGAGAGAGAATGGGTATGTTTTTAAACTCTCCAACTATCTATTAAATGATTCATGCAGAACTCTAGATGTGAGAAGAATGGCAATAGTTTGACATAAAAGGTACACTGATGGGCAGTACATTCATTATGTTATCTTTTTCCAGTGCATGTATATCTGGTTCAGAGTTTAAACAAATCATCCAGATCAGATTACTTTCCGCCCAAGAATAGGGTAATGATGGGAATGCCTGAACAAGAGAACTGCTAGTCATGTTTCAGTTCTAAAATTCAGTCTTGAGCCTGTTTGGAACTCTTTGGCTGAGGTTATTTGTAGGCGTGGCCTTGGATGTCTCCAATATACATATGACCTCTCGCTGTTTCTCTCCTTTCTATCAAAACTAGGTTAGGCAGTGGACATTACGAATCAGTGCTTGGGCATGGTAATGAACTGGATAAGAGGCAATAAACTGAAACTCAATCTAGACAAGACAGACGTATTATTAGTGGGTGGTCTATCCAACAAGCTGAGTGGTGCACAATCTGTTTTGAAGGAGGTTGCACTCTCCCCAAAGGAACAGAAGCACAGTCTGGAGGGTGTTCCTGGATCCAGCACTGTCTCTTAATGCACATGCATCCTTGGTAGTTCAGAGAACCTTTTTGTCAGCTCAAAATGATATACCAGTTATGATATTATCTGGACAAAGATAGTCTTGCTATAGTCATTCATGTTCTGATAACTTCCTGTGGGGTTTGCTCTCGTCTGCTTCTGAGCTCAATTCAAAGTGCTTGTATTAACATTTAAAGTCGCAAGTGGCTTAGAGCCAAATTACCTGAAGGATCATTACCTGAAGGCCCACTTCTATATGTCCCTGCCAAATCAGCTGAAGTGGAAGCCACAAGGGAAAGAGCATTTGCAGTAGTGGTACCCATTATGGAAAACTTTCCACCCCCCAGGAGTTTACCTACATTGTGGTCTTTTTCAACACCTTGTAATGACCTTTCATTTTCCCAGGCTTTTTGTGTTTGTTTTATTACTGAAACGTGTTGCACTATTTGTTTTCTGTTGCTGGTTTTATTATGTTGCTGTTTTGACTGTTTATTATTTTAACACCAACTTCATGGTTTTAACTTGTGTGAACTGCCTGAAGAAATTTTTTATTTGACAATACAGGAATGTTGCAAATAAATGAGTTTGGGTTAACCTGAGAAGAAATTTTTGATTGTCCTGGATCTCACAGCTTTTGAAACCATTCAGCACAGTATACTTGTGGATCACCTGTTCAGGCTAGGACAGGTTTTGACAAATCCATTCACTAGGTTTAATTATGATGATAGCCTTCCCTGCTCTTGCAAATGAGGTGGTGACACATTTCAGTTTTACTATTGTTTGTGATTATTTGCTGGGGATATCATCTGGCCCATTTCTTCCATGCCTATGCTTTTTCCTTGGTTTCCTTTTGGAAATGGCCTAAGTGAGGCTCACTTACACTATGGGTTAGTAAAATAAAAGCAAAGGAAAGGGTAAAAATCCAGTTGCTACCCCACCCTGGCTTAGTAAAAAGACAGGGTGGGGAACAGATGTCCTGCAGTGCAGCTAAGCAGGAAGTGAACTGGGGAGAGGTCCTCTGGCCCAATCAGATGACTCCTGCTCATTTGCATCTTCTTGTCCAGTGGCGTGAGTGGGTGGAAATACCCCATCCGGATTTCACTCCCCTTTTGTTGATGGCATTCTTAAGTTTAAATTATAAAATTATTTGAAAGATTGTTCAAATTTCCAATTAAACCCTAAAGGCTGCATTTCAGCTGTCTGAGAAGCCTTTGTTAAACTAAGGTTCATTGTGTTTTACAAGTTGAATTTTTCAAAAACAAGCAGCCTTAGAATCAAATTACGTAATTGGGAACAGCTAGAAATTAGGTAGTGTTTTATCAATTAAATAAAACAGATTTCTCTCATCTCCTCCCCTTTAGAACACTGTTCCTGAGAGGCATTAAGAGCACAGTGATATGCTTGACATTGCATGATTTAGTCAGATCACTTGCCATAGTGGTTGGTGGAGGAAACAAATCACCACAGCTGATAAATACAATCTAGTTTATGGGGGGGAAAAACTTTAGGGTAATATTCACTAAGTTTTACTCAGAATAAACCCATTTAAATTAACGAGCATGATTGTTAGGTCCATTAATTTCAATTTTTGTAATAAAAATTTAGTTAGAAAACGAATAAACATGTTATTGGTCAAATTCCATACTTTCCTCTGTATTCTGCAGTATAGTAGAAAACAATGCAAGTATCCAATACTTGAACTATAATTGTGAGGGAGGAGAGAAACTATTTAAATCAACCTACATGAAGCCTGAGCTACTTAATTTTAAGACAACTTCTGCTTTGATAAATTCATATGTTGTTGTTCTGTCTAAGTGTGACTTAGACAATCTGCGAAGTCATGGCTTAGAAGTTACACTTTATTACAGTGACTTCAATACCTATCAGGCAGGAATCAGCTGTGGAGCGAGGTATGCTGTATGATATTCTACAAAGTTCCATCTTCTGTCATACTTTTTAAAATTTACATGAAACAACTGAGAGATACTGTAATATGAAAAAGGGGGGGGGGGTAATTACATCCTATTTCTCCTTTTTGGTAGATCCACGAGGTAATAAATTCTTTAAATGGTACCTATGGATAACAACTGAATGCATGATAAAAGGAACTGAAGGAATAATAAATGATAAAGAAATCTAGGCTAGACTCATTTTATTGTTGGCGATAGCTCCTACAGATGTAGGAACCAGCAGTTCTGGAGAGGACTTAATTTCCTTGAAGAACTGGGCATGAAGAGATGCTATTCCTAGAATCTCAGTTAGTCACCATAGCCAAGAATGCTTTATACCTTCTTAGGTTTGTAGGCCAACTACACCCACTCAAAGAAGACAGTATCTGCTGCATCAAACATGCTTTGATAACCATGAGGGTAGACTCTGTTACCACGTTTAATCAAATCCTGGCTTAGAAAGTCAGGATATGCATGAACCTCATATAGCCCATTCATGTGATCCAATCCTGGCTTCTTCAGAGGTCACTAACCACCATAATTCTTGGTTTACATATAATGGAAAGCCATGGTTAACTGCAGCTGCCTGGTTTGTTTTTCCACTTGATCAAAGAAAGAAGTGGAAGCAAAAGGGCTACATTTGAGTACATGATGGTTGTGCACATCCAGATTTATTAATCAGTGATCTGATTGTCTAAACTAGGCCATCATATGGGTGCATTCAGATAACATCCAGAAACTTCAGTTAGTTCCAAAAGCAGTAGTGCATTACATAGCCATTGGTAACACATTCACACCTATAATGGCACAACTGCAGTGACTTCTAACCTATTTCAGTTCATAATTTTAAGTGCTAATTTTAACCTTTAAAGCTGTAAATAGCTTCGGTCCAGATTACCCAAAGCAGCAGCAGAAAACTTGTAGCTCTCCATATGTTGCGGGACTATAACAACATTCATCCCTGATCACTGGCCATGGTGGCTGGGGCTCATAGGAGCATGAGTCCAATGATATCTGGAGGGCTATGAGTTCCTCACAACTGACCTAAGGAAATGATTCTCCCCACACCCAAAAATTGTCAGGAGGGACCCAATTCCAAACATATTCTGAGACCAGAGTAATGTATGAGCAGTAGTTTCTTTTCAACAGTATTACTGCACGCTGTCCCAGTGCCGAAGTCATAGTCTCTTCTTCTAGAAATAGGGTGAAAACCTTTCCCACTGCTACCCTTCAGATCTGTGGCAAAATAAGGCCTTTATTCAATGAGTAGGCTTTAAAGCAATACTGCCAGACCCCTCCCCCCGCAACACATTTTGCCTGCTATTGCTGCTGCTATGTAATATACAACGCAAGCATTTTAGGATGATTTCTGATGCTTGGGCATGGTTGTATCAAGTTAATTGGAGTGCTTATGTTTTATTGTAAATAGCTGTGAGGACTCTCTAGAGCTACATGGCTAGGCACAACTTCCACTCCACCCCACCCCAGGAAAAAAGCAACCATATCTAACAATACACAAAATAAAGGTATGTACAGAAATGCAACATGCTTGAGACATGCAGGAAGCTCAGTTTAGCGGACCTTCTAAGCCATAATCTAAGGCAAAAGAGATTAAAGAGAAAAAAAGTGTAGGCACTGATTTTAAGAAGGGCAGCAGGTAATTTTTAAAAGGACAAGTGACAAGGTGACTTATCTGAACTACTAGCATGCCAGTTCAGTCATATTTAGCGCACCAGCCTTTGCCATGGTAGTCATCATGCAACTTCTGAAACCTGAATCTCTAAACAGAGTCCATGGTGCACATTCACTGAATGCTTGGAGACACTTATCCTGTCATCAAGATTTCATGTTAAAGTGTGGAAAATACTGGGGAAAAATGTATCAGCCTTGGTACAATTGTTAAACTGTTAAGACCCACAATTTAGCAGATTCGTTTTATGCCAACATTTGCTTTTTACTGGAAGAACAGGAAGTAGTGCTTATTTATATGCTGCTTCTGTGTCAAAAGCTCCTAAGCAGTTTACAACTATAAAATCAATTATAAATTTTATACATAATTAAAATGCACAACACAACTTGAATGGGGCATGAAAAGATTCTTAAAGTATGCAGTCAAGCAAGCCCATTAAAAAGTATAACAACTGAACCGTTAAAATATAGCTAAAAGAATACGATTAGAAGTTCTGTTCAGGGGAATGTTTGCCTACAGTGTTATGCCTTTAGGAACTGATGGAACACCAATACTGATGGGGCTTCTCTTATTTCAGCAGGGTGAGCATTCTACAACACTGGTGCCACAAGTAAAAAAGCCTCCCCTTTTCATTGGTAAGGAGTGAGCCTGCCCCCACTTCTCTTGCTCTGGTTCCTTTCTCAAGGGATAATTCAGTGTGAGAGCCAGAAGTTCCTGTATTCCAATGCTTCAATTTAACTACAGTGGTACCTTGGTTTATGAACTTAATCCATTTCGGAAGTCTGTTCTTAAACCAAAGCATTCTTAAACCAAGGTGTGCTTTCCCATAGCAGCGGGGGACTCAATTTATAAATGAAACACACTCAACAGGAAGTGGAACATGTTCAGCTTCCAAGGCAAAGTTCACAAACCAAAACACCTACTTCCGGGTTTGCAGCATTCTTAATCCAAGTTATTTATAAACTATGCTGTTCTTAAACCAAGGTACCACTGTATGTACATTTCTCCTTCTTGATGAGAGCAAGGAAGAGAGAGCATTAGCTTAGGTTCACTCCAGGAAAGAAATCTGAGTACACCTTATATTTGGGGATATTAAAGAGTATACCTCAAAATTACAACAATCTCTTAGCAAATACATTGTGACAAAACTTTAAATATTTGGTTCAAGTGCTGACTAGAAGTCATTCTACTCAGCACTTGAACCAGAATTTGCTTATCATACAATTGTACTATGAAGCAATTATTATATAAAGCAATAAAACAACTTAATGGCTTCATGCAGACCAATTCTGCAATACAAAGATTACTGCAAACGAGACATGAAGGCTGGCAACATCAAGCCTGCCATGTGGGAATCTCTTGCAGACGACCGCAGTGCCTGGAGACAGACAGTCAGGTCATGTAACCACACCAGAGGAGGAATGACCGCTGGGAGGAGTGCAAAAAAGAAAAGAAAAGAAAAGAAACGCCATGCTGCATCTGCAACAGCACAACTAGACACCTTCATCTGCCCCAGCTGCAACCAAACATGTCTCCTCCATATCAGTCTCTACAGCCACAGCAGCTGCTATAACTTTCCGATGTTTGACTTCACCCACAAAGGCACATGCCTCCATTGTGTCCCAAGACAGAAGGGTATAAACAACAACATAACCAATACATAAACTGGCAGAGAATACCCAAACTCTGAAATACATTTTGAGGTACACAAGTATAAAGAAACAAACTCTTTACTTACATGCTTCATTCCCTCCTGGTGGTTGGTAAAAAGAAAGGCCCAATGATACTATGGCTGCAATTTCTAATATAATTAATGTAACATCCTGTAGTGCTTCCCATACTAACTGAAGAAATGTTTTTGGCTTTTTAGGAGGTATAAAGTTCTTTCCAAACACAGCTGCTCTCCTTTCTATATCTGCTGGGTTTCCACTTAAGCCTAAATATTAAAAAGAAAAATACAATTTTAGAGCAATTTCATTATCTATACATCACTTAACAAATCCCTTTTTGCTATGTAATTCTACAAGCACCTTAAGTATATGTTGCACAGTGGGGTTTTTTTTTTTTTGGTACTTGGTAAATTTAACAGGACTCTTTATGTCCTATGCTTTCTAGAAGTTACAATATCAATATCAAGTGGAACTCTACTGTAGACGTTTCTAACATGGGGAAAAGATAGCTGCAGATTTCTCCTACCCACAGTGTTGCTTGACTAATAGTGGTTTTATTTGAGTTTCCCCCACAAATATATGTGCTGCAGAGTCCAAAAAAAGCAATTCCCAAGAAAGCCAAGCATTTGTTTTGGAGCACATCATTCCAGTATATGCTGAAATTCCTAGTCACTTCAGAAACTTGAGTTCAACAAACACGAGAGTTAAGCAGAAGTCTATTTCTGTTTTCCCAATACAAAAGTAATTCTTTTTATAACCACAATGCACAACATGGCAACACCCATCTAGATGCTGAACATCAGGAGGAAGCAAAGCTACCGGTACATCTCTAAGGGGTCTTTTCCTTATTACATATTACACAGAAGCCCATAGTGCAATAATAGGCAGGGCCAACACATAGGCTTCAAATACATTTTTATTTTAAGGATAGCGGAAATTGTATATCTGGCCTCAACAATTAGATCTACATGGTTCACCTTTGAACTAATCCTTCTCATGTAGGAAAGGATCACTCAGCAAGTCATTCGGTGAGCCAGATTCTGCATTTCTGCTAATTCATTAGTTCAGTACTAGCTGGAACAAGTCCAGGTTTCTCCCTTACACATCTTATCACTTCCCATCTGTGGTATTTCTGTACTATTCAACCGGACTTCATACTCATCCACATTTCAAGATGAGTGTAGTACATATAGAAGCAAGTTGCAGACTCACTGGGTAACCTTCACCATGACTACTGAAAGCTTCTTGGGTGTTTAAATAGCTCTTCAGTTGAAAGCTTCAGTTGACAGCCCTCTCACAAGAATCATTTCTTATCCAACATGGATGATATTTTTAACACAATTCAGGCCAGACTATATATCCATATTGAAATGAGTTTACAAGTTCCATTCTATTATTTTCTAATGAATTATTAGAGACACAAAAAAAGGATTCTCCCCACTTTTTAATGTAGAAATCCCTGCAAGCTGGGATATCCTGCCCTACTCTTTCATATAAAACTTAATGGAGCAATATTTATTCATCACATTGTGTCTCAAAATTCTGCTCCAAGGATTAATGAGAAAAGGAAAAAAATACAAAAGCTGGAACAGCAATCACTACATTTTTTCCTGCTACAGGAAGGAATTATTCAAGAAGGAATTATTAGCAGCAGGAAAAAGGAAACACTTCTCTTCCTTCAGGCTACTATACCATAAAAAGCAACGGTCCATTCAATAGAGATAAAAGGGTTTAGCAAAAGATACCTAAGCATTGCAGGGTGCTAGAACCTGGAAACAGATACTACCTTACAGAGTTTGGTGCCTGTACATTTCAAGACAAAATTCTTTTCAACCAAACATTAGAGATATCTCACTGGAGGCACTCTGCTCCAAGAAAAACAACAAGCACACCTCATAGATATGCCTGCTCATTTTCATAATTCCGTGATTTACAAGGTATCTGTTTTAACACTTTTGCATTTGTCTTGTCTTTCTGGCTGTTCTGAGTAAGTAATACAGACTACTAGCCCCAAACAAAATTCATTTAGGGAGTTTCAGATTCCACAAATTTTGAGGGGAAACAAGGCAGTCTGTGAACAATGAGTTTAAGAACGTTAAAATGTTATCCAGCATGGCACACAACTGATATTTAACACAACTGTAACTAGAAGTGTTTACAGAAAAACATTTGGATTGCTGGAAGTGAAATATTGCACATAAAAGGTTTCCTCCTTTTGTCTGGAAACTAGTGACTGGTGGAATTTCAAAAACAAGAACAGTGAGCTTAACCTGATGGCATTGAGTGTCTTCACCCATTGAGAACTTGTTTAATGCCCAAACATAAATTGCCAATTATAAAGTCATTTCAAATCCTGCTAATTATGGAAAGGCTGGGATAGGAGTGGACAAATTAATTGCTTTATTAAGAAGTTGGGTAGTTGTGAAACCCTTCCCACAGGCAACAAAGGTTTAGCAGAAAAGCGCCATCTCACTATCTTGAATGGTTTATTTATATCTTTATCTTATTTTTTCCTCGAAAGAAAATGTTTAAAATAGTACATTTAAACACATACCACAAACTAAGGTTTCATTGCCTACACACACAAGTTCCCTAGACTGAAAAAAATCAACATTGTTTTCCCCAAATTCAGTGCATGTGCCTCTTGCTCCAAGGAAACCCCTTCCCCAAACCTGGTGCTCTCTGGATGTTTAAGACTACAACTCTCATTGGATCCAGTCAGCATAGCTAATGGGAGTTTTAGTCCCAACCTGGCTGGGGAAGACTGCATTAACAGCTCATTTTACTTTGTTACCTTTACCAACACGCAGACACACAAGATTTAAAGGATTTAATTTGAAGCGCCTATCAACAACCCGTTCTAACAACCATCCCCTTAAATGTTGAAATAGCATAAGATGTAACTTCTGAGTGGATTTTAAGTACAGCTGATTTAAGTTACAGCTGCAAGCTGCAAGGCATTTGTGCTAGGTTAACCTTAAATATTCAGGGAAGTTGTGATATATATTTCTACAAAGTTTTTATGTACAACACCTTAAGTTGTCCAACATTTGTAACTTCACAAACTTCTTGTAAACTAATGTGTAAGATAACAGCAGGCTTTAATCAACATCTTATTAAAAACCTGGTACAATCAAAAAAGACTAACCAAAAATGAAAATGTCAAATTTTACATCAAATGTATTATGTTCTTCTACCTCAATAACTATTGTCCCAAATTTTGTTACTATCTCTTAAGTGGTGTCCCACTGTATAAATGTACAGACAATTAAAAATATATATATAGTAGATCCAGGCCAGGAATTTCAGTCACTGACCAGTAAAACATCTTAGGCAAACAATGAATGCATCTATACAGACCTAAGTATTTTTCAATATAAATTTCCCATATAAATGAACACAAATTTTGTAACTTTTTGAATTGAAATTCTTACCTTCATTTGGAGAAGTTTTCAATCTTGTACAGATTCCATGTGCATCTCCATAGCAATCTTGTATTTTATGCAAAGCATCTGCAGCACGCAATTCCATAAGATCACGAAGCTCTTCAAGTGTAATGCCAAAGTCTCCATGATTGGAATCTTTTATAGTGTATTTTACACCACTGTATGCTACCGAGTTGTTAGCCATGTCTCCCATGATGTATAGCGTTCAAGGAAGAAGTTATTTCCAAGGAGGAACAATTTTTTTTATTTGAAATATTTCCAAAAGGAAAATCCTTCAGATATGAAAACCATCAAAAGTGCAGATATAAACCACCAAAAAAGATGAGAGCCATTAGATACCCTTTCCAGGAGTGTTATCTTGAGTGCAATCCCATTGTTGGTTCCTTCATTCCAATCCAAATGAAAGGGGAATACAATCTGCAAAAGAAAGAAGATCATAGCAACAAGATTCAACATTGCTCACAGAAGCATCACAGCCTTTTACTGTCTGCTATGCATCTGGCTAAGCAGCACTATGACACCTCTGATACACAGTGCCTCTTCTCTACCTCTAATGTTCTGCCAAGGCCTACCCCATCATTTACCCATCCACTCCTTGTTCTCTTACCAAAACTTTGCCTCCTTGAGGCTTCAATACCAAACTAGCTTTCCAATCCACCTTCCTGCCCCCTACCAGTTGCCCATCTTCCTACTCTTCCCTCTACCCACTATTTTGACTATAGTCAGCTAACTAATCCTCTGTCCTCCCATTTCCTGGTTGCTATCTCCCTTACCATTATCATTCCTCTTGTCCACATAATCATCCTCTTTGTCCTGTGGCTCTTTCCCTCCTGCATTCATTCTCCCTTATAAAAGCACTCCTTAGTCCATCTTTCCTCTCCACATCACCCCAGTTTCCTTTTTCCTTTGCCTCCATAACTTCTAGAATGTGCTTGCCTGTTTACTCTTAACTTTTTGACTTCCCTTCCAAGTCTACTCTTGACCTCCCCCCCACCCAAATCTGGTTTTCACTCTTTGCATGCCACTGAAATTGTTCTTTTGCTCTTTAAAGCAAAATCTTCAGTCCTCATTTTTCTTTATCTCTCTTGCATTTGATCAGTTGGTCACACACTCTCTCTTTATTCTCTTTAAGCCATAGGTCTCTGCTATGCTGCCCTTGCTGGTTCTCCTCTTACATACTGCTTTATTGCTTGCCCTGCCTCTCTTCCTGTTTCCACTGTGCCAAAATTTTAAATTGTAAATGCCTCTCGATCTGTCCTCTCAATCATCAGAATGTACCAAGCATACCAACGGTGTTATATAAATAATAATTCAATGAGTTCACAAATGCAGCACTAAGGTGGTGAAATGAAATGTTCAAGTTTCTTAGTAGTAAGATAATTGAATAAAGGATGCTTTAAGACTCAAATTAATATACCCTTTAAATCTTTTAGTCTCACCATTCACCAACATGCAGTTTAATTTTCTTGGTATCAACTTGAATAACTTTACATTAAATTGAAAATATTAATTAAAGGTACTCAATGGGGACAACATGGAGATACTTTTACACTGAGATTTTGCAGATCCAAAGCACACTCACTCAGCTTACTCAGTTGTACCCATATCCTGAGCTTCTGGCTATAAGCTGAAGTCAGGACTGAGCTTCCTTTATGACAGGGGTATGAAGCGGTCCGCAGAGGTCATTTGACCGGCCCACGAGCCACCCCAAATTGAGCTATCAGTGCAGAGCGGAGCGGGGACTCACTTCCGCGGTGCTGGAAATCGCGTCTGCGCAGATGCCGAAAATCACAGGTGTGCACGCTCATGCGCGCACGCGATCCAACCCACGAAGGGATCTCCACGGAACTGATCTGGCCCAGGCAAGATGAACCTTGTTGACCTCTGCTTTATGGACATGCTCTAGCTACCATAAGCCACCATGCTATGTAAATAACTAACTTAACAGGCCACGTTAACCAAAGCAAGGCAGTCTTCAAGCTATTTTACCTCTGAACAACATATCTGATATAATCAGTCTTAAAATTAACTCCAGAAACCTTCCTCCCAGCAGAAATGCAAAAGGATTCAAATGTTTTAACATTTTCAACTTGCCCATATACTAAGAAGAGACACCACTCACAACATCAATCTCTCTCAGCAATCAACAGATACCACCATTGTGCATGATGCTGGAATCAGGTCCTCAGAGTCGCAACATCGACCCTTTGTGACTCCTTCCAAATATAATTTATCCAAGTGTCATCTCTATTGTCTTTTCAGCACCTGCTGAATACTTTCCTTTTTCAACAAACCTTCTAAGTGGAGATTGTAATACCAGCTGGTATCTCTATTGGATTTGAAATTGATTTTATATATGTAAATGCTGCTGCTGCTGTTTTTAAGTTGATTTGTATGTGCTTAAAGGTAAAGGTAAAGGGACCCCTGACCATTAGGTCGAGTCGTGGCAGACTCTGGGGTTGTGGTGCTCATCTCACTTTATTGGCTGAGGGAGCCAGCGTACAGCTTCCGGGTCATGTGGCCAGTATTATTGGCCGAGGGAGCTGGCGTACAGCTTCTGGGTCATGTGGCCAGCATGACTAAGCCCCTTCTGGCGAACCAGAGCAGCGCCAGAACACCGTTTACCTTCCCGCTGGAGCGGTACCTATTTATCTACTTGCACTTTGACATGCTTTCGAACTGCTAGGTTGGCAGGAGCAACGGGAGTAGCTACTTTTTTGAGCTTTGTAAGGCTGCTGTATGGAACACTCATGTGGGCCCACTCACACATTGCAGTATTGCAAGCAGTGCAACGTAAGTTCTTATCCAAAATATAAGGGGTACCTAGATCTATTCTAAGGACCTAGACAATTCTAAGGAAATTGCCTGATTAAAGATGGCTTTTCATTCAGTGGGAATGCTTACCCAGAAAGTGGCCATCACCTGTTGGCTTAAGACAGTCTTTTGGCTTCACTTTTGGTTTTATTGGTATCTGAGGATTTCAGGAGGGATTACTGGGAAGCTATGATGTATGCACTTTTTACTATTTGGGCTTTTCATTAGCCCACTTGATTATGATGGGCTGCAACTGTGCTCAGTTCTCCAGATGACTTGACTGATGTCAATTTTCAGACCACTATGGAACTGACTGCTGGGTGCTGCTCCAATACAATATATAAAGATTTTGTCACTCTTCCTGGGAAAGTGCCCCCTTGCTCACATGAGCTAAGATGGCTCCTGATTAATCCTTACAGCTGACAATGGTGAAAGGAACTATGGGACTCAGTATGGTGTGGCTAGAAATTGCCCAGCTGGATGCCCCAAAGTAGAGGACTAGGCACACTTTTTAACAGAATGCCCTTTGTATTCAGATTTAAGTATTTGATATCTCAAGCCCTTAAATGTGGGGATAAATAACATTTCTCTCTAAGTATAACTCCATTCCTATTGGCCACTAGAGATCACAAGAAGTCATACAAGGGCAGCCAAATGTGTCAGATTGGCTCATGAATACATTGAAAGCAACTTTGATCACCCAGCAATGGCTATCAAGTTATATAACCAGTCATCAATACCCCTTTACTGGCAGCGCTCACAAAAGATTCTGGGGATCGAAAACAACATTGGGACAGCCTGGTAGCATCGATATAACTGGAGGCATCTAACAATTTTTCAAGAAATTACAAAAATATGCAGGACAAAAGTATGCAAAACAATAAAAAAAAGCTCTACATACGCATCAAGAAAGCTGATTTTTTTTACTACCCAGGAAAAGATTTTGAAAGGTTCACTGAAAACATCAACTTAATGTGCTGCAGTGGAGAAAGAAGTAAATTCAGTTTGGGGAATGATTAGGAAAGCAATTAAAATGCCAGATAATATCATAATGCCATTAGATGAGTGCTGTCCAGCCACATTAAGAATACTGTGTACAATTCTTGTTCTATGAACCATAAAAAGGAACATATAAAATGATCAATGAATTACAGTACCTTTACACTGAACAATGGTTGAAGAGGATGCTATGGTTTAGTTGGGTGTACATGGAAAAAGCTTATAAGGTTACAGAAGTAGTAGGGCCACTAAATAAAATTAACTGGCAGTAGGCTCAGGACAGGACAACAATGCTTGCAGAACTTAGAGTTTAAAAAAATATTGTTATTATTGTTATTTCAAAAAGGGTAAGACGTATTCATGGAGGTTTAGCAATGACCATTAGCTATGGTAGCTAAAAATACAGTCTCCATGTAATAAGGCAGCGTAAAAAGAAGTGTGAGCAACACATCTATGAAAGATAGGTAGATCTCCTCCGCAGCACATTTAGGTATTATGCCCCATTGTCATCGACAAGGTATAAGGGGAGTTTACTACTCCTTTTAACAGGATTATGTTTTAAAGCAATGTATTACTACATCTCATCTGGAAGGATTTGAGAGACAAAAGTGGTGGCACAGAGTTGGTAGTGCCCACACCATGTCACTTAAGCTGCCTTACATAGTTCCCAGCTGAGAGTAATCCACCTCTTGGAAAGCACCCCAGTCTACTTCACTCACAACAGTAATTTGTTTTCTTTTTGACACTGTAGCATAGCATAAGTCAAAGAAAAAACAAAAAAGGTTTACTTTTTAGTCGGTTTGCTTAGTGATACACTAATGCAGAACAGAGAGCTATTTGCATATGTGACAGGAATTTCTGCTCAAATATCACAGTGCTGGCCTTTACTGTGCAGTTGGTAGTATGGAAGAAACACCAGGAGGAGCTTTGAAATTATTATTTTGGAGACAATTTACTTTAGCTGTGGAGCCAACAAATTATCTCTTGAAGTATGTACACAATTCTGCTGATGGACTCTAAGGAATCCATGTTCAACCCAGGTGATTGTAATAAAGTATAAATGGGAGAAGGGTGTTCAAGGTTGACTTTGTAGCACATGTTTAGTGATGTAGCAGTTTGGAACCCCCAAAGGTGGGAAATGAAGTGTGCGTCTGTGTGTGGGAAATGAGGACTTAGAATACTTAAGTTGCCTCTATGCCTTACTAGCTCATGCATTCTGCATGTTAACAATATTTAAAGTTTAACACTACCCTTCTAAAATCATGTCTCTCTTCCCACATAGGGATAAAAGAGATCCCCTTAAAAGCAATGACTAATTTCATTTGTAGCAGTGTCATTTTAATCAAGATATATTTCATGGCTAACCAGAATCCAGACGCTATCCATAGACCCTGGCTTCACATCTTGTCAATATCACAAATTCTGATGACAACATGCTGCAAACCTACATAAAGGTATCAAACTTTGTGTTCCCAAAATGAATTGTACCACTACAACATGCTATTTTGCTGACTTTAGAAGTAATGTGCCATCACAAGTAGGTGAAAAGTAAAAGCTTTTAACACCCACCACCACCACCACCGGTGTCTGAGCTGCAAAATATTTTTTGAAACATTCAGGAATTGAAATATTCTAATAGTTCATTTCATAACCCACAGTTTAATCTTTGGAGAATACTATGTAGAAGGTTTGACCTTCAGCTACACATTATCAGCAGCCCGGCTCCAGAGAAGGCTCCCAAAGTGATTATCTTAGGAAAGCCTTTGCTTAAATCTAATTAGCTCAAAAGTCCTTACAAATCTGTGAAGCACCACATTGCAGCCGTCAGATAGTATCTTAGTTTTGCTTTCTTCTTAGTTTTCTAGCATTACTAAATGCAACTGCTTACTCAACAAGTGTTTAAACAATGTTTTATTAACATTTAAGACTGCCACAGGGCAGTCTCAACACAATTAGTGTTTTCAGCCAACTTCAACAAAAAAGAAAAAGAAAAATGAGAGCCTATTCATTACTTCCAAACATGAATCAATTTCTATTGATGATTCCACTACTGAGCAGTATAGAAATTTAATAATAAATTTGGTAAACACGGGCCAAATGAATTATATAACCTCTCATTCGCTTAGTGCCTTTTATATCATTCTTACTGAAGCATGGCAGTTTCATGGAACAAATTATTTTGTGCAGACAGTAAGGTGACATGAGGTATGTGATATTATCAACACTACTAAAATTAATAAACTTGTGTACATCTTTCATTGTCCTGTAAGTATTTACAAAGGCAAAATGAACCTGAAGTGCTCGATAAAGAAATCATTATTCCACCAAGTAACGTTTAGACTCCTGTAGTACTTCGGAAGGTTTTCAGATTGAAATCAATCTGCTTCCATTTCAGAAAGCAAACCAGGAAGGCCCAAGTAACTTTTTTTTTTTTTTTTAAACTGGGCAAGGGCAGTTACATTCTTGGTCACTACTGAAAATTGCTGAATCCTAGCCTAAAGGTAATTTAATTATGTGAAGGCAAAATTGAACTCTCAGACCCAAGCATTCAATCCCAAGACTATCTCCCAAAGATGCTGGTACTCAGATCAAGGCTTCTGGAAAATCTAAGGAGGCGCAAGATGTTTGCCTGTAAGCAGTACTTTCTGTGACAGTACTCACCAATACGGTGCCCCAGCACTTCAGGTTTTTTGTTGCCTTTTTAAGCACTACTTTTGGCTACTGCTTTTGTCCCAATGGGCAATGCTTTAGAAGACTTAAGATTGTGATAAGCAAAAACAAAGTAGAAAAATGGTAACATATAGTGATTCTGAAATCCATATTAGGCTACAAGAGTAGTTAGCTGGCTGCCTACATTCTGTATGTCTATATGGTACACTATACTGCCATTCTTTTAATTGCAAATACAGTGGTGCCTCGCAAGACGAAATTAATCCGTTCCGCGAGTCTCTTCGTCTTGCGAAGCACGGCTATTAGCAGCTTAGCGGCTATTAACGGCTTAGCGGCTTTAAGAAAAAGGAAACAAACTCGCAAGAACTCGCAAGACGTTTCGTCTTGCGAAGCAAGCCCATAGGGAAATTCGTCTTGCGGAACGACTCAAAAAACGCAAAACCCTTTCGTCTAGCGAGTTTTTCGTCTTGCGAGGCATTCGTCTTGAGGGGCACCACTGTACTGAGCTTTAATATTTTAACCATACTTGTTCCTAGCCCTAAAAATCACAGACTAGAGCTTCAAAAAGTACACCAAGCCTGAAGAATCCAAAATGAAGTATTTTTGTCACCCACAATCTTGTTCCCTGTTCATCTGTACATCTGTTACTATATCCCTCTACCAAGAGCAATCATTCCAATCCAACTAAGTGAATTTTATTCTATATATTTATGGTATATACCACTTCTATTATGGTGCTAAAACATTTTCCCACATTAGTCAGAATCAAGATTACCCTGGAGGAAGAATACCAGTGTAGCCTCTGCTCAAAGCAGCAAGGTTAATAAAACAGAAGTATTTGGAAAATGTACAGTAATCTCCTCTCAACTAGTCACATTACTGAAAGCTAAACTTAGTGATAACACTGTTGTTGATACCGCCTGAAAAACACTCAAATGCTAGGTAAGCAAGCTACAAAAATATTTCCATTTCTGCATCTGAAAAGATGGAGATTTATAAATACTGACATATATAAGGGTCAAATAAGCTTTCTCATCCAGCACCAGTTTTGTCATTGCCTCTCAGAACCTCTGCAACTCCTTTACCCATGAACAACCCAAAAATGCCCCTGTCCTGGAACAATATAACTGAACTACTAGACTTTAAAATCCAACAAGGCATCACAATGTGGGTTTACCATTTTTTCTGAATTGATGCAGATATGATTTAGCATGTTTATCTGAATTACTATTCTACATAGCTCTACAGTCACAGTTCCTTCAGCACAAGGATTTTCGTTTTGCGGCAGTTATCTCCTCTCCATTTCCTAAATCTATTCTGGCAATTCCTCCAACCCTCCAAAGATGATTTGGTGATGGCACAGAAGGGGGAAATTCCTGCTTTGCTATTAGGAATCCTTGTGGATGGGCTTCTCCTATTAATACAACAATTTAGTTGCATATAGCCCTGATATCATGTTACATTAAAACTTTTTGAGGGGGGTTTTCCCCAGAAAAGTCAAAAGTAGTAGACTTAAATACGACTGGGGAATCAAAGTGCTCTTTAATGTAATGCTACATTAAAACAAACTCACTTTACTTTGAAATTTTTATTAGGATTCTTGGAAGTATTTTAAACACATTTAAATAGGACACACTTCCCTTGCATGATATTTTAAGTGCATAAATGAGGAATAATTACTTGATTTAAGTTAACTACAACTTTGATTTTATATTTGATTGGATATTTTTCTATTCTAGCTGTCAGATCCTGCCTGTATTCAATATGCTGTATGAAATTATTAACAATGCAGCTTTTCTACAGAAATCAATATTTGTGAAAAGTTTTTATACACTGTACATACTCTGTTATATTCTGACAGTATATAAGCCATTGCAGATGTTATACATTTCTATTTTCCCTGCCCTCAAGTCCTGGATGTTAGGGGACTCTAATGCAGTCTATAATGTTGTGAACTATCCTATAACCTGTGTTACCAAACACTCTAGGATAGTTAACTCTTGCAGTAGGTAGGCAGGAAAGCTTTAGTTAGAAAGGTATTCTCAGGCAATTGATGTATTACAATTTGTTTCCAAACAGTATGCAGAGTATCTTCAATTTTTGTGAAATTATGCTGAGCAATAACATGCATGGTGGAGAAATCCGTTTAAATGCAAGTAGTTTCTACGCACAGCTTTTTTGTTGCAACATATACAACTTTAATGTCGACTTACCCAATAATTCTCCATTAAGCTAATCATGCAAGTTCCCACTCATTCCAAACAAATGACTTGACAGATTAACCATTTGGGCTGGTTCCACCAACTACAGTCAATGAAATCAGCAAAAACACATTAAAGTGATCAAACATTTTACCATGGCTATTCAAGAACTGACAAAAATACAAAAGTTAATTTCTATGCCATACCAAAGTGCAGGCATCTTTTCAAGTCATTCATCTGTAAATCAACTGAGTAATGCACGCTCCTTTAAAGCTTAATATAGTTAAAACAGGGAGCAGCTGCACAGGTATCACATAGTTGTAATTGTAGCTACCCAACAGCTTTTAGAGGATGTCAATGGCAACATGTTAAAATTCAAATAAAGCTAAGTGGTTCAGACAAACGCTTCAGACTATTTTAGAGGAAGAGACTCGACAGCAGGCTTCCTCAACCTCGGCCCTCCAGATGTTTTTGGCTTACAACTCCCATGATTCCTAGCTAGCAGGAGCAGTGGTCAGGGATGATGGGAATTGTAGTCTCAAAACATCTGGAGGGCCAAGGTTGAGGAAGCCTGTTTTACAGCATCCAATAACCTTCTCAATACACTATAAGAGTAATACAAAAGTACAAGCCATGACATTCCCAAATTCAACATTCAACACACGTTCACTAAAGGTGTACAATTTAGCTCATACATACATTATATATTTATTTGATGAATCTGTATTCTGCCTTTCCATCAAAGGATGCTCAAGATAGCTGTGTTTGTAGACAAAGCTGGCAATAGCAAAATTCTGTGATGATAATATGTAAGAATATTCAGCCATTGTGTGCGTCTGTATTTCAACTGGGGAGAAAGGAACACTGCCTTCCCAGAATTAGTTTGCACAAAATGGGAAAATAGAACTTTTTCACATATGCTAAGCAAAATGAACAGCACCTGCCAATGGGACTTCATGTACTCCTAGAAACTAGAATCAAAGTCATCTGAGTGTTTTGAACATCCTAAGAAAGAAAAAAGGTCCATCTGGGAGGGAGCAGAAAGCAGCTGTTTTAAGGGCACTGTGTTGCACAGTGAGCACACAGTCAGGTTTGAAAGATTAGATTTCTATTAGTAAGTGGATATAAATCTTAAAAGTACATAGCTTTCTAAAGCATTTTCATCCTTTAAAAATGTGGAAGCGAATGGGGGGCCCACTAGGGGCGCCTTGAAAGATGGCTGCTAATAACATCTTGTCCGGCTTGCAAGAGGTAATTAGAGGCTGATATGGGGAGTACATCAGCCTCCCTTCGTCTTTTCAGGGAAGGAAAAGACGCTGCCTCACCTGCTGTTGCCATAAATCACCCCCGAGTTCGGATGAAGGAGGGGGTGAGAGGCACTAGGTGGAAAGCCCTCGGGCAAGCTTGGAGCTCCCTGCCAGCTTCTTTCAGGAGCGAGCCTGGCTGCGATGTTTAAAAAGAAGAAAAGAATTGGACCAATAAACACACATGCTTCAAGAGAAATCAGGAATGCTTTTATCTGCAAATAAATTTACCACTGAGTGAAGAAGATCGAGACGGAAGGACAAAGGACGAAAGGAACAGAGATAAAACCAGAGAACTGCCGACATTTTGGTATGTGGACGGTACGAGAGAGGGGGGAAAAGACTTTTTTATTTTATTTTTATGTGAGTACCTGATAACCCTCCCCCTCAAAAGACTGTTCCTTTTAATCCACTTGTGGAGAAAACTCGGAGGTGACAGAAAAGGAAAATGAATAAATGACAAATATGAGAAGATAGGACTGGAAACATCATTGCAGTAAGGAAAGCCACACGAATTTGGATCTTTGGATTCTTGACGATAGAGGAATCATGGGTACCCCCCACAAAAAAAAAATTAATTTGGAAAACATTTGGACTTTATGATGTGTATTGATATAATTTGGACTAATTGATATGATATGTTAAAACCTTCTAAGTCCAAAATGTCTGTGTTTTCAAGAAGTAGCCATTCTTTCAACCAGCAAAAAGCTGCTGATTCATAGTAAAGTTTAAAGTCTGGCAGGGCAAATCCACCCCTTTCCTTTGCATCAGTTAATATCTTAAATTTTATTCTGGGCTTCTTGCCCTGCCAGACAAATCTAGAAATATCTCTCTGCCACTTCTTGAAACAGTCCATCTTGTCCACAATTTGCAATGTTTGAAACAAAAACAGCATTCTAGGCAATACATTCATTTTTATCACAGCAATACGACCCAACAGTGAAAGCTTCAAATTTGACCAGATTTCTAAATCTTTTTTCACTTCCGTCCAACATTTTTCATAATTATCTTTAAATAAGTTCCCATTTTTGGCTGTCATATTAATCCCCAGGTATTTCACTTTCTTAACCACAGTCAGGCCTGTCTCATTTCAATCAGTGTTAAATTTTTCTCTAAAACCTTAGTTTTTAACTTGTTCAGTTTAAATCCTGCCAGTTGACCAAATTCTTGAATTAGTTCTGAAACCCTTTTAGTACTAGATTCTGGTTCCTGTAACGTCAATACTAAGTCATCTGCAAATGCTCTCAGTTTGTACTGTTTGGCTCCGACCTGTATACCTTTAACCAACCGGTCCCTTCTAATCATATTCAGCAGAACCTCCAGGACCGATATAAAAAGCAATGGGGAGCTTGGGCACCCCTGTCGTGTCCCTTTTTCTATCTTAAATTCTTCCGTCACCACATTATTTACAATTAATTTAGCCTTTTGTTCAGAGTATATTGCACCTATACCATTTTCAAAACCTTGGCCTACCCCCATCCCCTGTAGGTTCTTCTTCATGAAGCTCCAAGAGATGTTGTCAAAGGCTTTCTCCGCATCCACAAATATCAGAACTGCTTTAGTATTTATATTCACTTCTAGTTTTTCCAAAATATCAATTATATTTCTCAAATTATCAGACAAGTGTCTTCCTGGGAGAAAGCCCGCTTGGTCTTTATGGATCTCTTCCATCAATACTTTTTTCAATCTCTTGGCCAAAATGTCTGCAAAAATTTTGTAATCCACATTAAGTAACGATATAGGGCGGTAGTTCTTAAGCCGAGTCTTTTCAGTCTCTGCTTTTGGTATAAGTGTAATGTACGCCTCTTTCCACGACTCTGGTGCCCTTTTGAGGGTGGGTAGATTTCAGCAATATACGTGACATGCAAATGCAAATACACACACACACACACGCACACACACACACACAATTCTAAACTTATTGGTAAGAATGAAATGTCAAAATAAAGTGGGTTTGTGATCTAGTCAACAAAAAAATGAAAAGAAATCTCTTCATCATGTTTTATTTTCTAATAGTTATAAGTTAATAGTTTTACAAAAACCCCATCTGGCTATAAAGCTGAGGTTACAAGTTCCCCTTTGAATTAAACTCAAAAGAATTGCAGAAGCCACTCTCTACAACTTTGACCCTGCTTTAAACCCAGTTACGTTATACAGCTTGCCAATTTAATTAAAGATACTAATTTCAAATTTGGTTTTAATTAGGCCAGACCACCTCCCCCAATACAGATCAAGTCAATCTTTAAGATTTTCAGAGAAGTCTTTTCACTATCGGCAGACTGCCATATGAAGAAAAGTCAGACGTAAGGCCTTTGAAATACCCTCCGAAATGCCTTCCCTCAGGTAATTCATGGGGTGAATCTTGACTCTTAATTTGTTATTTCTCTGTTCTGTGCGTTGCTCTGTTTTATATGATATATAGTTTTGCTTCATCTTGACTTTAGCTAGTCCAGGAAATTTTATGGACTGTTATGGTTGCACTTTTATTGCTTTTATGTAAACTGCACCTTAATTGCACCATTTCTGTTGCTATAGTAACCAAATGACTCAAAAGTTCTAAAAGGTAGTTGCCAAACTATATATAGTCCATGAGCTTCATGCTGTTGGTCCTCTTTGTGACTGAGAAGAACTGTGGGAGCAACAGCTCCTCGGTCATTCTAAGGCTTTGCACTGCATGCTGTTGGAGGCAGAACCTGTTTTGCAACCCAACTCTTCTGTGGCTAGTGGAACAATTCACATTCCCCTTCTCTCACATTCACCCTTCCTTCTAAACTGATTTCATTTTCGAAGTGTGGAAGGTTACCGGATGAGAGCAGAGGAGAGGTAGCAACATATTTTACCCAGTCCTCCAACTCTAGTTGCAGTAGCAACTGACATCAGTTCCGGTAGCCCTTTCCACCCGCTCCCTCTTCTGGAGTATGTGCCTGTGCACCAAGGATGTGGCAGTCACAGAATATTAATCAGCCAAAGGCCTGGTTGAAGAGGAACGTTTTTGTCTGGTTCCTAAAAATATATAATGATGGTGCCAGATGAACATTGCTGGGGAGAGCATTCCACAAATGGGGAACCACTGAAAAAAAAAAGCCCGTTTTCATGTTGCCTCCCTCCAGACCTCACATGGAAGCGGCACAAGAAGAAAGGCCTCAGATTATAATCGCCACAGAAAAGTAAGGCTTACTTTTGAATAAAAGTGCATGAGCTCAAGCTTCTAAGGCTGTAACCTTATGCATATCTACCACTGATCTCAGTGGGGCATGGGAACTGCTACAGGATGAGGTGTAGGGAGAAAGAGAGCCAAGTTGCAATTATGTTTAGAAGGGAAAAGTGGCAGGGGAAAATAATAACAAGTTTAAAGGGATTTTGCAGATAACAGAGATTACATCTGGAGTGCTTTGAGTAGAAGTCTTTTCAGTCCTTTCCCACCCGCTTCACAGATGTCTTGCCTTTTGCAACCAATCCCACCTACACACAAATTCCTCAATAAATTCCACCCATTTCTGTTCCATATGCACCCCTTGAATTAAATATTTGCATTGATTACAATTGTGTTCTATTGCTTCTTTCAATACATGTATATTGTATAATTAAATTCCATGAAAACTGTATTACAACAAAATAGATAAATAAATAAGCAATTAAAAGACAATTAAAAATCATACAGCATCTGACACAATGCATTACAACTGTTGCAGCTGGTAGAAAAACCCATTGTGGCCTGCCAAGACCCTCAGCAAGTTTCCAAGTGGTTCACAGAAAAAAATGTTGGGAACCACTGTTCTAAACTCACAAAAGAGTCAGAGACAGAAAGGCAACATCTGTAAACCGATGAAGCATGAAAGAATAATAGCATCTAAGCATCTAGTAATTAATTTCCAAGAAATATTTTAAGTGATCACTATGAACAGGTGACCTCTGAACTAGACCTGAAGGTTGGCCTTGTTTTACTCTTCACAGTGATACACAGCTACTGATGTAGTCAGGATCCACCTATGGATGTATGTCCAATGAGACACCAACAGGTTGATAAGTAAAATTCTGACCATGGAAAATGTAAAGAGCTCAGATAAGTGTCTTATTTCTATCAATTCTATAGAATTTTATAAAACAAAATGAAATTTTGTATTATACAGTGGTACCTCGGGTTACATACACTTCAGGTTACAGACTCCGCTAACCCAGAAATAGTGCTTCAGGTTAAGAACTTTGCTTCAGGATGACAACAGAAATCGTGCTCTGGCGGCACGGCAGCAGCAGGAGGCCCCATTAGCTAAAGTGGTGCTTCAGGTTAAGAACAGTTTCAGGTTAAGAACGGACCTCCGGAACGAATTAAGTACTTAACCTGAGGTACCACTGTATAATGAAGTTTTACACTACAGTACAGCTATTTTTTTCCCTATTTTTTTTCCCCTACCAAGCTAAACAATATTTTGAAGTGGTAACAGCAGCCAGTAAATTCATGTATACAAGTGTGTTGTTTGTACCAGATTTAAACATAACCTCAAGAGTGATAACATATTTTATCACAGCAGGAGACTTTTTCTATAGGCAACTAATGGTATGATTAGAGTGAGATGTTGCATGTTGTTCTATGTTGATTTCCTCTGCAAAGTTCCACTTTAAAAAAAAAAAATGCCCCCCCCAACAACCCATCCTCTTGTCTTTCTCTGCTCAGACTGCCAAGGCTAGAGAGACTATTTAACTCTTTCCCCTCTCTTCATCCACCTTTCCCATAGGCATCTAGCTGACCACTGTGAGAACAAGATGTTGAACTAGATGATGTTTTGGTTTCAGTTCTTATGTCTTTAATGGTAGGCATTTTGGTAAAGGTCTGAGAAACAGCCTATAGGATTGCATGGTCCTTTCCAACAACACCTCTTCAAAACCATCTCCCACACACCTTGATCATGGGTTAAATGTTATCAGTATGTTCCAACTGTTGATGTTAATTAAGATTTGAACTATTAAGACGTGTAGCATTTCATACAACACAATTACCTTATGACTTTGTTGTCACAAGATTGCCACTATGTGACCTGGCTACTCTACTGAACAGTTTTCCTTTGCAAAAGCATCCCTTTCACTCCCAATCAGAAGCATGATAAATGACTATTTTTCACGTGGTAGTATTAGAGAACTCCCCCAATTCCTGGCTCTTTTGCACTGTTTAACAGCACTGTAAGTTATACCCACAGTTGTATTCAACAAAGTAATCCTGTTAGCATAATGACTTTCTGCCTATGCAACAGGATTTTCTTTTCTGTTCCTCCCCTCCCACCCCCAGCAACTGATCTAGAGGGTTAGCAGGGGCATGTCAGGATGTTTAGCATTGAAGGATGATTTTTACTCAGTTATGAAGTGGTAGATTCCCAGGCTACCACCAGGTGAACACCTGCATTTTCCTGGATTGCCTTGTTCTGTTTTGTTATTGGTGTTTTTCTTCTCCACTTTCTGAGATGGCATCAATGCAAGATTTAATTGGAATACATTGGTTTCTGGGAAATGGTGGAAAAGAGGAAGTACTCTCCCCACAACCCTGAGATTACAGTGGTGCCCCGCAAGACGAATGCCTCGCAAGACGGAAAAACCGCTAGACGAAAGGGTTTTCCGTTTTGAAGTTGCTTCGCAGGACGAATTCCCCTATGGGCTTGCTTCGCAAGACGAAAATACCTTGCGAGTCTAGAAATTTTTTTTTCGCTTTCCCCCCCCTTTATCTAATCTGCTAAGCCTTTAATAGCCTTTTAGCAGCTAATCCCCTAAGCCTTTAAGCCTTTAATAGCCGCTAAACAGCTGATAGCGCTAATAGCGCTAATCCGTCAATGGGCTTGCTTCGCAAGACGAAAAAACCGCTAGACGAAGACTCTTGCGGAACGGATTAATTTCGTCTTGCGAGGCACCACTGTACATAGGCTTTTCTCTTTTTAGAAACGGATCTAGAGATATCTCTTATTACTTCTGTGGAAAGTTAATATAACTAATAACGTAAGTAGATTTTTTGATAGATGATTCTATGATGTACCACCTTACATTAATTTATCATTATTAATTATTTTTAAATCAAGACATTGCTAACAATTTTTATTTTATTAACCCTTATATCCTATAAACCTCTTATATTTCAATAAACTAGTTGATAGAACTTTTTAATTTACTTGGGAACTATAAGTAATTAATTACATTTGCTATACCAAAGAAAGCAAACAGAAGGTTAACAACAACTAATGCAGCAGTGGAGAATTTCCAGCCTGCAGGCCTCAGGTCTTGCAGCCCCTGCAGGCTAGTCCCACCCCACCCCCACCCCAAAAAACCCACCCATCTGTCAATCCGCTGACATCAATTGCATGGGCTGATATGTGGGAAGAAAGTTCCTTTCTGTGCTTGTTGCACATGTTCCCTACAGAGAACTGGCAAACACACTACAAGATTTAACCCCTGCTCATCAGCTCACAAAGGAGGTTGAATTCTGCTCAGTTAGGGTGACCCCACACACTTTGCAAATCTGGCCCACAGTGTGAGATGAGAAAAAGATCTGGCCCACCAGGCGAAAAAGATTCCACACCTCTGAATTAGCAGAACAGAATAGGGCATTTTTGTCTATGTTTTTTTAAAACGTATTCATGCTTTACACTATTTGAGAAGCTATTGTCTAATATGGATCAAAGGCTAGTAATACAAAATCAAAACCACCATATAGATAAATTAGAACAATGGTTTGTGAAAACCCCGTTAAATGCCTTAAAAGGATGAGCAAGAAAGTCTTAAAACATTTTAAATGTTGTATTTGGGCTTAAACCATACAACCAGTTATCTGTGTTTTTCATTCATACAGCAGTTAAGTTGAAATACACTGTAAATGCTAGAAAACTGAAGCATCAGAGTCAGTATAGTATATTTTGAAAATAAAGGTTGGGGTAACGAAATGACTTTTATAATACACACACACGGTTTACTTGACAGAAAGCTTTTGAGCAGATTTCTTATAACGGATGGCATGTGTAGAAAATGGAATGTTTAACACTACATTTGTTTGTATGGGAACTGTTGTTACTTGTTGTACAATATATTTCAATTCATAATAAAACTGAAGGACACCAATGTATCTGTCATGTGAAATGAGCACATGCCATGAATTCGGAACCTTAACTTTTCACAGGTTCCACTGGTGTTTTTGAAAGCTTTCAAAATATGAATCCTTAAGAAAGGCATCAACAAAACTGCTTGCCACATTCAGCAAAGTGAGTGTGACTCTGCTGACTGGTGAGCACAATGAGAGAAGCAAGCCTCAGTCTCAGCAATGAAGTCTCAGAACTGAATAAAAACTAAACAACCACCACCTATTAATTACAAAACATGAAATGCTGGAGTTAGTTTGGCAGGTGCCCAAACAGCCTTGGTGATACAGGTCCAAACCACAAAGTCAGTCCCTGCCTAAAGGCACTTATGATCAATGCCCAGCAATGCATTCTCCCCACTTCATCTTTCCTTCAGGAAAGGCAGGTGTGCTTGGGACTGGACCCCTGTGCTTAATTTACAGACATAACCCCCACCAAAAAAAACCCTCATAGATACCGTATTTTTTGCGCTATAAGACTCACTTTTTCCCTCCTAAAAAGTAAGGGAAAATGTGTGTGCGTCTTATGGAGCGAATGCAGGCTGCACAGCTATCCCAGAACAACAAGAGGGATCGCTGCTTTCACTGCGCAGCGATCCCTCTTGCTGTTCTGGCTTCTGGGATTCAGATTTTTTTTTCTTCTTGTTTTCCTCCTCCAAAAACTAGGTGCGTCTTATGGTCTGGTGCGTCTTATAGAGCGAAAAATACGGTAAATATCGCTAGGGCTTATTTCCCAGCTAGATACTTACTTATTCTACTTCTTTGCGTGTGGATCAGTAACCACCACGAGAGAGTACTAATCCATTTCTCATTTCTTTGCTTATTTTCTATCCCTTCATACTACTATGAAACTTCAGCAATGTAGAGGTAGTGATCCTCAAAGGCTGCATTTTAAAATGTTTCACTAACTTTAAGCAAAAAGTCACAGTTTGGGAACTCCAAGTCAACACAATTATGTGCAATTCAGGGTTTTTTTCTCTGGGACTGATGGGGGCTATAATCCAAAACATCTGAAGGTTACCAGTTTGGGAAGGCTGCCCTACATTCCCTCAAAGCCACACACAAGACCAGGAAAATCTCCATAGTAGTATTCAAGGGGGTGTGAAGAACTGCAGCCAGCTACCAACTTCTGTGCAAGTATTTTGAGTACACAGGTTCCTGTGATTCCAATTGTACCTGTATACAGAACTAGCAAAAAACCAACCAAAATATTTCAGTTTCTGAGTGAAAAAATGTCAAGACTGAAATAAAGCTAGAGACTCCTGTGCAAATATCCTAGTATAAGGTAAAATAAGGTAAATGACCCCTGGAAGGTTAAGTTCAGTCAAAGGCAACCATGGGGTGCAGTGCTCATCTCACTTTAGCCGAGGGAGCTGGTGTTTGCCTGCAGACAGCTTTCCGGGTCATGTGGCTATCACGACTAAACCGCTTCTGGCGCAGCGGGACATCGTGACGAGTGCCTGAGTGCATGGAAAACCATTTACCTTCCCGCCATAGCGGTACATATTTATCTACTTGCACTGGTAGACTTTCAAACAGCTAGGTTCACAGAAGCTGGAACGGAGCAACTGGAGCCCACCCTGTTGTGCAAATTCGAACTGCCAACCTTCTGATCAGCAAGCCCAAGAGGCTCAGTTGTTTAGACCACAGGATCACCCGCACAGCGCTGTATAAATCAGTTTCCCCACCTACTTAAGTATCAGAAGGAAAAAATTATTGCATTAACTTAGCAACATCATTGGTGCATGTACAAACTGTTTAATAATCTGAAGATTACACTCAAAAGTGCTTCTACATTTGAGATGTCACACACACACACACACACACACACACACACAACCTAAATATTAAAGCTACTAAAAGCAGATTTGACTGCAACAAGCAAGTTTGTAGGAATGAATGTTGTTTCATGTCAGAATACCAGTATTAAACAGTCTAGTTACTGACTTCAGCTGAAAACATGAGGTCTCACTAGATGGCATCATTTGTCTCCATTTCCTAAGATTGCAATTACTATATTGATTTAAGCACTATTTGTACTACTGAAGCAGGTTCTAAAACACAGCCATAATATACTAAAACCAGTTGCTGTCCATTACCCCTTCCCGACTATTAAAGGAGTACTGTGATGACATGGAATGTTTGCAAACATCCGGAAGCTTAGGAAAAACTTGCCAGGAGAAAAGTATTCATGAACAGTGCAGTTTCCATATGGAAAGATATAGTTACACTTGAGAGAAAGATTTCACACTAGGCCTACAGACCAGAGACATGCTTGCTGTTGGCAGTAGAGGCAGAGACAGGTGTGCAGAGCAGGTAGTTTTAAGGCTGGAAACCAGTGTGACGAACACTGGAACTACAGCAAGGAGGTTCAGTGGGCAGTGAGCTTCAAGACAGAAGGCCTGAAGTTCAGGTTAGTCATTTGACCATTACATAACTATCCAATAATGGTCAAGAATTTAAAGCACCACTTTAGAACCGCAAGACATGCTATGAGCCCAGGTTAGCTGTGAAATTAACTATTTGTAGCTATCAGTGATACACAGACAAGGAGTTTTGTTTAAAATGAAATAAACACATCACATTTCTTACTCTAACGGCCTCAGAGCAAATTTAAAGGTAAAGGGACCCCTGACCATTAGGTCCAGTCGTGGCCAACTCTGGGGTTGTGGCGCTCATCTCGCTTTATTGGCCGAGGGAGCCGGCGTACAGTTTCCAGATCATGTGGCCAGCATGACTAAGACGCTTCTGGCAAACCAGAGCAGCGCACAGAAACGCTGTTTACCTTCCTACCTATTTAACTACTTGCACTTTGACGTGCTTTCGAACTGCTAGGTGGGCAGGAGCAGGGACCGAGCAACGGGAGCTCACCCCATCACGGAGATTCGAACCGTCAACCTTCTGATCGGTAAGTCCTAGGCTCTGTGGTTTAACCCACAGCGCCACCCGCAAACTTAACAGCCATTAAAAAAAGATGTTAGCTTTTAAACATGTTTATCGACCTAGTACAGTGGTACCTCTGGTTGCAGACGGGATCCGTTCCAGAGTTCCAGTCAGATCCCGAGGTTTCCACAACTGGAGGGACTGCTTCTGCGCATGCACGCACGGCGAAACACTTTCGGGTTTGCCGCTTTCGCAACCCAAAGTTTACATTACCAAGGGTAATTACATTACCAAGGGTAATGTAAGCCAAGGTGCTACTGTACAGGGAAGGGATCACCTACACCTAAGAAATGCATGTAACACAAGACTCCTCTTGAATTGGTTTTACACTTATCTTTTCCATCACATTATGCCACTACAAGGTGCAGATCTCCAGCTAGAAAAATCATTTTGCTTTATGACACAACACTCTAACACAATAGGCAATATTTGACCAATTTACAAAGCTACCCATCTATTGTAGCATTGAGGAGAGTAGGAATGAAAGGGGCAGAGGGAACTAGTGATACACTGGGCATAGCAATAGGGGGTGGGAGTGCTTTGTGCTATAAAGAGGAAGGGGATTGCTTGCTTTTAAAAGGGAAGCAGCCTTCAATTAAAATACTTGTATCCTACCCAAAGTTTATAAAGATAACCAGCCTCTCAAACACAGAAACTTTCCATAATGCTTTAATTTATCCATTCAACATGAAAGGTAGTTTTCCTTTCTCCAAACCACTTCTAAACTACAGCTTTTTGAGTCAAAAAGAACCCAAATTATTTAAATGTTTGTACTGACAAGAGGAAAACTTTTACCCCTAAGGTACAGCCATCCAGTTTAAACCAAAATTAAATTTCTCTTCTGCTTCAACAGGGTGTATAGTCAAAGAACCCTTTTCAAGTACCTACTACTACTGATGAGCTTTGAGCTGTGGCTGCAAATACAGACACTTTTCTAGTTCCCTTTCTTACAGAAGCCACATCCTGTACCCCAAAAAGTTGCTATTCAACCAAGATGCAAACAAAGTGCATAAGGATTCGACCAGAGGTTTTAAATCACTCACAGGTGTGCTACGATAATACACTGGAGCAGGATTTGATACCTACCCAGGTATTCTACGCTCTTTCTTCAGACTACACTAGTCTGATTTTAGAAAAGCCATTTTAAAGACTGAAAGAGATTAAGGGCAAGCAACACATGCATGTACATTATTATTACTGCAACATCAAGCAATGCATGCTGAAGTGTTCCTTTATCACCTCAAACACTATTTTTCAATAAAAGTAATTCAATAGAAGTAATTCACACACTAAGCTGCAAGTCAGAGACAAAACAGTTATGAAAGGATTCGCAGGTGTTAAGTGGCCCTGATGTCAGAGACAAACATATCACCTCAAATCAGTATAAATTGCACTACAACCTTAGATAGTTGTTCAATTAAATTTCAAAAGTACCTCCAATTAATCAGTCAGCAGATTTTAAATAAGTAACAAACATAAGTAACAAATAAGTAACATAAACAGCATTCTTAAACAAACAAAAATTAGAATTGCAAGGAAAGTAACAGTGCCATCTTTATTCTATTTAAACATGTTGTATACAACTTAACTACAATCATCTATAAATACTGTACAAGAAATACAATACAGAGGCATTCCTTTCTATACATGAAAACATTGAGATAGAAATGATAACTGATACATGTATGTATATAGAAATTCTGACTATTAAGTGGATTAAGCCAAAGGCCCATCTGGTCCAGCAACCTGTTCTCACAGTGGCCAACCAGATGCCTATGGGAAATCCACAAGCAGAACCCAAGTGCAATACTACTTTCCCCCAACTGTGTTCCCAGCAACTGGTATGCAGAGGTATATTGTCTCTGACCCTGGAGTGGTAAGCTTTAAACTGGCATGTGGAAAACTGAGTATTTTAAATGTACACATGGCCAAATGTCTGACTCGGCTTTCTCAAATGTATAGTATACGGCAGTTAACCCAATGAAAGCAATCATAGTTGGTCATGAATTTGTCAACAGATGAAGTATGAATTATTTCGCTAACAAGGAAAAACCAATTGTTTTTAATAATGTATTTCTAGTACCACTTAATAGTCACTTAACAGTCAGAATGCCGATAGCAGGTGTGTGTACTATTGACCAAACTGCCAATTCAGACTTTATGGTCATTGAAGCACCTTTCAGGTAGCAGTCAACATAAAACCAACCTTAGCACCAAGCCTGATTACAAAATCCAGCACAAAAAACTTCAACCATCTACAATTTAAGATGTGCAAGCATATATAGCCAACAGAATTCATCTGTCTTCAAAATACTTTGAATAAAATAGCATTTTCCTTAGGGAAAGCATTCAACTATGATTTAATTGAGTGTTTCCCAAACTTGGGTCTTCAGCTGTTTTTGGACTACAACTTCCATCACCCCTAGATAGCAAGACCAGTGGTCAAGAATGATGGGAATTGTAGTCCAAAAACAACTGGCGAGCCAAGTTTGGGAAACACTGGTTTAATGTGATATGCTAACCAAGCCACTGACAAGTATTCTAACATGGAGGTGCTAAAGCTGAAAAGGTGCTTATTTTAACCTTATTAAAGAAAAATAGAAAATGTAAGGGATTAGGTGGCAAGATCAAAGGTTCAACTCACTCCTTTAACAAAGATCACCTCTGCCTTCACCACCCATGAACTGCAGAAACATAGTGGAAAGCAGGAGTGTTTGTGGTGAGCTTTTGCAAAAAGCAGTAAAAAACTGCATATGCCTTCTGTAGGAGTTTAGCATGATGGCCACATAAAATGCCTCTCCCTTTCAACAAGCCTCTGCTGATGTCAAATGTTTGACAGGCACCAGGACAACCACAAATAGTGGCTGGCTATCATGCAAAATAAAAGTTCTGTGGATGTCTGCAGAAAGATACAGTGGTACCTCATCTAGCATCTGCCTCGTCAAGTGCCCGTTCCATCGAACGTCCGCGGCATACCCAGAAGTACCGGAACGGGTTACTTCCGGGTTTGCCACTTGCGCATGTGCAGAAGTGCTAAATCGCACTTCGTGCATGGCAGGAGCGCAATTCACTCCATGTGTGTGTGCTTTGTCCAGCATCCTTTTTGGCCAGCGACCAGGGCTCCAGAACAGATCCCGGTCGCAAAATGGGGTACTACTGTACTTTCTTCAGATTGAAGGGATCTGTCATCAGTCTCTGGATCTTTGGAATCTTTTGAAAGGAAAATGCAACATACTGACAAAATATGCTTTGTTCCATGATACTTTCCAGTAGAAAAAAGAGCATTAGACAGAAACTCGCCAAAGGCTACCTGAAAATCATGGTTGAACAGTCAGTTGACACACTGAAGCAGGAAATAACTCGGTATGACTTGGGAGGGCCTCAAAGACTAGAGAAAATGGAAAAGGGCAGGTTCAATAGTTATTAACTGGACACAAATGGATAGTTGGGTTATCAGAGAAGACTTTAAGTATAACATTTTTGTGATGTCTCAAAACAACTACACATCAAGATTGTCAGATCTGAGAAAAAAGGTTTTAATATTCTTATCTGATACATTAATTAAGACCCACAGGTCCCAAGCAAGATCTACTCTCCAAGCCTTTCCTCTTTCTCAGGGTGTGGGGACACGTTTCAGTGGCAAAACCTGCCTAACGTACATCATGCAAACCAACTAAGTCCCACTCCTTGGATATGTACAGCCCCGGACTGCCAGGGAGATTCTAAAACTCATTGTTTGCAGTCTTATTTGTGAGCCAGGCTTCAGTGTCATATCGACACACTTATGTTATGTTTTGTGTTTCTCCAACTCAGAGTTTTCAGTAGAGTTGGCATCAGTTTTTCCATTGTGTTTCAACCAATCAATTTAACTATGTGCTCTACCTGTTATATGAAGATCTCACCATGTGAACTGCTGGAAGTCTAATCTGCCATTCTGGGAAAGTAGGGTTTCTAGCTCTTCAACTGCTCAGTCTAGCTGTGCCTTTAAAGGCAGATATTATTAGGTGCCATTGTTTATTTGCATGCTGTAAAGATATTCAGCCTAGTGCACTAGATTCTGCAGAAGCTGCTGTTCAAGGCTGAAAAACAGGCCAGCATGGGTTGTCTGGTCAGTTGGCAACCCTAGAAAAGATAGATTTAAATATGTGAGTGAAGAAACCAATGGAAGTATGGAGATATAAACAACGATGTAGATGTACAAGAAAGAAAAATGGGTAGCAAGCTCTCAGAGTAGCACATTAAGGAGTGAACAAAAAAAGGAGTAAATGTTAAAAGATGCAAGTGCAGATAGACTTTGCGGTAGAAAAAGAGAAAAACAGAAAGGGTGTGCAGAAAAACCTGCTGGTATGGAAACATGAGAGTGCCACAGAGTGCAAAGAAAAAAGGATTAGAGGTAGAGGCACAGAAACCCCAGGTGGAAAGGAAATATAAGGAGATGGCAACAGACTGTTGAGAAAAGTGTGCATGCTCCAATGTGCGGAGAGAGAAATAAAGGGAGAGAATGTTTTAATAGGTAAGAGTACAAATAGAATGTGTTATGTGCAAAGGATTGGCAGACTGAATTGTATTCAGACACAGACTGTTCTGAAATTAAAATAGCTGTGCACCCCTCTTTTAACAAAAATGAAAATAGCCCTCAGTGCTTTGGGTTGTCTCTTCCTACTCTGAAGCATCAGGTGTATCACAAATGGAGATGGGGGTCTGATCTATGACTCAAAAGGTTTCCTGGGGACAGATGTATGACGTGAGTTTCCCTGGACAGTTGGTATATTACACCACATGGACATGGTAACGTATATGAACAGCTACTTGCTTGAATACTTGACCACAAGTTTGGAGACAGGAATTTATGCCTAGCATGAAAGCACCTAGTGCAGCCATGCAATTCCCCACTCACCTGCTTGCTGAAAACTGCACACTGCTCCATCACTGTGAAGAACTACTCCTGGCACTTTAAATCCTGGAGTACAAGAGAGTATATGTGCAGCCAGCAACAGAATATGTTTTCTATACTTAGAAATGAAGCAAAGTTATGGGCAGCAGCTCTACAGAAGAAGTGGGGCAACATGAGGTACAAGTAAAAAGAAAAGAGAAAGGCAGCTGGGAGAAAGAGAAAGAATCCTGTTAAGTGAAGGAGGGAGTTGCTAAGTGTTGCTTCAAAACTTAAAAGGCAGAGTTAGCAACTCCGAAGGTATTTGCATTTTTATTGCAAGGCCTGTCAACTTCTGCTTTTCAATTTTATGGTATATTTGAGATTATATTTACAACATCAGGAACAAACAGGCAAGACGTTAGCATAACTAGGTACCAAATGAATGAGATCCACAAATGTGTATCTGTATACCCATTTAAATTTAGTTCAGAAAGGCTTCCATAAGAGCGTAGAGCACATAACATGAGAGGTTATTATGTACATTGGGGAAAACTATCTAGGTCCCAACCATGTTTAAAGAGTTATAGGCCCATGACCGGTACCTTAAGTTGCCTTATACCCTAAAAGTACCCCAAACCTATGCTTCTACTTGATTAAACATTGGATCCATTCTTCTGGACTACAAGATCTGCCAACTATTATTACCATGATCCAGCATCCAGTACCTTGCCAGCATCCAAAATGGCTGACTGAGACAGACAGACAGATACACACACACCATTTTAATATGAAGTTCAGATTAGATATAAGGTATTCATTAGCTCGGATAAATGGAAGTTACATGAAATATAAGAGCTACAGCTTTTCTACTTATAATATGTAGCATGATGGTGGTCTTTGGTGCTAGATAAGCTGCCTCCTCCCCAGATAGAAACTACACAACAGTGCAACCCTATGCATGCTCACTCAGAAGTAATTCCTAATGTAATTCAACAGCACTTACTGCAAGGTAACCGTACATAGAATTACGACCCAATTTGCAAGATCCAAACATACATGGATAGCAAGTACTTTCTACTACCATCACCAGTTGTATAAGGTGTGTATGCCCATAAACTCCAGTGTTCAAGGTAAAATGAAACCATTTTTCTTAGCATACAAAATATTTACATTTTACGGAAAATTCTCCATTACAACCTGCAAAGCATATATGTGTGTGTGTGTGTGTGTGTGTGTGTGTTTATATATAGGTTTATTATGCAAAGGATAAGGGACAGCATGCCTTATCAACAAGCAAATTAAACCATTAAACAAGTATTTTCATAAGTACAGGGTTAATCTTTTGCACTACGCACCTAAAATATATAGTCCAATCACTACCAACTATCCAAGAAGAAACACTGTCTCTTGCCTTTATTAGAAACTGGATCCCGAGGCAGTTGGACAATAACCTACCAACATGTGTGCCCAATAATAAAGTGTTTAAATCTTCATGAGAGTCACTTTTGCTGGTTTTTAGAATCTTACAAGATTTACCACCTGCTATCTTCACGCCAAGACTAACTGTATCATGAGTAAAGTATTTCAAAAGAAATATTGCTGAACACAACAGATAAATCTAGAAGTTTTTCCTTCAAAAAATAGAATTTAAATTCATTGTGAACAGATCTGTTTTTAATCGCATGTCAAAAACCATTCGGAATGAGCCACAGTACTCAAGTTGTCACCTGTGAAACATTTATAAATGAGGTTGCTACAACCATTTCAGAACAGATCACCTAAAATAATCTATATTTACAAACCTAACAACCAATGACTGCTTGCTATTACTTAATTTCGCAATACAAAAGGATGGGATTTCAGCGTATTCAGTTGCAGTTATAGTCTGTGGAACACAGCCATTAAGTAGAGGCAAAATGCAAAGGCATCTGCTTCCCTCTGGCTTGATTTTAATAGAAATACAACTTGCAAGATAACATACATTTTAGTACAAATATTCACTATTATCGTTATTGTGTATTTGCAATACCAGTGGTACTGCCCAGAAATAACTATAGAGATGATAAGTATAGATATCATGTAGCCTGTGTGTCATCTTTGAAACACACCATGCACCTTGCTAATTCTGAGTTTTAAACTTTGACAGATGAAAGTTAGTGAGTTCATGCTAACAGTCATGGGGTTTCATATTGGAAATATGTTGTAGAAACTTAGGAAGCTGCATTATGCCAAGTTAGATTACTGGTTCATCAAGCCCAGTCTCCTTTAGACAACTGAGGGACCCCAATACTCAATGTTATAAACTCAATAAGCTTATTAAGAAAAAGTAGTACTATAATATTAGAAGGGGCACTGCTAATCAATAATGTGAAATGCTCCCCTTGTCATAATCTGAGCATCAACACACATAGCTATGCTCCTCTTTCTCCATAAAGACAGCCATCTAGGTGATAGATTTGCTACCACTGCATCAATCCACACAAGAAACTGTTTTACAAATAGATCAACACCTAATTCAGAAACAGTTTGATCCATCTTTTATTTCAACTCATTTTTCTATTTGCATCCACTACGCCATAAATACTGTCACTTCCGATCTGATGATCATGTAGACTTCTACAATTGGAACTGAAGTTCTAAAATGTTAAGGACCATAAGGTACTGAAAGGTACTTATTTCATGTGTGATTATTTCTTCATACTAAACCTGCATTAATATAAGAAAAATACTAAATATTAGTATTTAAGATCAACTGCCGATGGGGGTGTGTGTTTTGACCAGGAGACAAAAGACCAAGAGACTACATCGGGTATGGACATTAAGTGTGTATTTCTAGTATTCCTATGGTATCTCTTGTAAATTCTACATAGTGATGCTAAACCCTTACACTGTGCCTTTTGACACCCTTGGCTTTGTTCTCATTGCCACAGGATCTGCATTTGGTTGTATAAATATACTATGTGAGTGTCATATCTATCCCCAGTTTCTATGGCTGCCTTCCGCAATGTGTTGGCCTATGAATTTCATCCAACAGTAACTCTCATCAGCCTCAGTCAGCATAGCCAATGGTCAGAGATGATGGGGATTGTAGTCCAGCAGTATCTGAAGGGAACCACACTGAGGAAGATTGCTTTATGGCATAGTAATATTTTACATTTCTGTTTCTTTTGGAAATTGTTAAAGAATTATTAACCTCACATACTTCATATATCTTTGGCAGGGGGTAGGCTGAGACTACAATAATAGAGGCATGTTTTAAGGGCAACAAGTGAATTAATGGCAGAGATAAATTTTCAACCAGGGACTTGCAGGCTCCCAGTCTCAGCCACCAACTCTTAAATGGATGAGCAACCTAAGCTTGATTTACAGTGATAAAAGCCAAGGCATACTACTCTGTGAATCAGCAAATACTTTGAGTTCCTATACTTGCATTTGTAGAATGCGAGCAAAGCAGTTCAGTTATCTTAAACATCTCAAAGGGGTGGGGTGGGGGATAAGTATAGCACAAGGAAAAACGGCATTATTCAAGACTCTTACAACAGAATTTAATCAAATCCACAGACCAAGAAGAGATAGGTACTTCAACCAGGAACCTCCTACCTTGTTTTAATGAAACTGGATCTTTGCCAGCATAGTCTTCTACATTAGGAGTGGTTACAGTAGGTACAAATTGGCAACAACAAGGTCAGATACTCCAAACGTTTATCAGTTAGTTTCCAGGTAAGTTGCTCACAAAAGTTTTTCCTCCAACTATATCCAACTTTTTACATCCAGGAAGTATACGTGCCAGCTGTCTGGAAGATGAATGTGAAGATATTCCTGGTCACCCATCTAAGTTCCCTTTGGGCAGGTAGTAGTATGGCAAACAGGCAGCGCTTTCTTCCTATGAAGTACACGCAGAAATCTTCCCCCTCAATCCCACACCTCATCCCACTACTGGCACCGTGAAGGCATCTTCATGAACTCACGTGGTGGTCACATCCAAAGCTTAGGCATACCACTTGGCGGAGATGACAGGGTCATGAAAACTTTCGATGAAATGGGATAAATCCTAACGCCACCTTCCTCACATACAGACGCTTGCCCCGGGGAGGCTGCTTTGGTCAGCCTCGCCGGCCCACGCGGCATTCGAGGGCGCTTCCAAAATGTTCATAAGCGACACATGCAACTAAGCCATTAGTAAATCACTTTAACGTCGTGATAAACCACACAGAGAGGGGGAGAGAGAGAAGCCTGACATTCCGCTCTATTCCCAACCACAACCCCTGACTTGAAAGCAAGGAGTCAGGCTTAGCAGGTAGGAGCAGGAGGACCCTCGGCCGCCAGCCTCCGGCTCCCGACTCCCTTCCCCAAGAGGAGAGAGGCTGGCCGGGCGGCTGGGCGCCCCGCAGGGCGGGTAAATAGAAGCTCAAGGCTGCCGAGGATGATAATGCCGTGCAGTGGCGGCGCCGTAATCCCGGCTACTTAGCCCGGCAGAGCAAACCGGAGACCAAGAAGCACCTTCACCTAACGGGCGCCGGGCGGCCCATTCTAAAGAGCAGCCGCCGCCGCGCGTCGGCGGACGGGGAGATGAACGCTGACCAACCGGAGGGGCATGAGGGGAGAGCTCCCTCGCTTTCCCTCGCCCAGCGAGAAGGTGGCGGGCGGGCGGGCGGCCGTAGGCGCTGCTCCCGGGCTGCCCTCAAGGTCATGCCGCGCCTGGCTTCGAGGCGGCCGGCGTGGGCTCCCCGTGGGAAGGAGGGGCGCGGGCAGGGCCCAGGTCTCCTGCCCCTCACCCCCACCCCGCGGCCGCCTCCTTCCGGCAGGCTAATCCTCCAGCCCGCCTGGCCTGCGCTGCTCCGCGGCGCCTCGCCACCTGCGCCTCCGGAGGTGCCCCGTCCGACGCCCTCGCCGCGTCCTCTCTTCGGGCTGCCCGGCCGCACGCTGCCCACCCTTCCGCCCCTTACCTCAGGGTCCGCCGCCGCCGCCGCCAAGCCCCACACGCGGCCAGCGCCGCCGCCGCCGCCGCCGCCTCCACCTCCAGTGCCTGCCTGCTGCACAGGATCCCCCCACCCCGCCCCAGAGCGCGCGAGCCCCAGCCAAGCCCGCCTGAGACCGGGAGGGGACGGAGGGACAGAGGGAGGGAGGGAGAGAGGAGGTGGCGGCAGCAGCAGCAGCCGGAGCGAGGGAGGGAAGGAAGGAGGGAGGGGGAGGAGGAGGAGGGAGCCGGGCGCCCTGCCCCGCCCTCCGCGGTAGCTCCCCAGCAGCAGCGCCTCGCCCTCGCTAGTCAGCGGCAGGCAGGCGTGCGGGCAGCGCTCGGCTCCCTTCGCCGAGCCATATGCCGCGCCGGAGGGAGCCGCTGCCTTCGCCGCCTCCCAGCCACAGGCGGCCCGGCTCGCTCTCCCTCTCCGCTGCCCGCACGCTCGCTCGCTCGCTCTCCACCGCGAGGGTCGGCCACTTACTAGTCCGTTCGCCCGCTTCTCCTCAGGCGAGCCCTCCTCCCCAAAGCGACGGTAGCCACCAGGTTCCGAACCGGCCCGACCCCCCCTCACTCACACACTCACTCACACTCTCTCCCCGGTCCCCGTCACGTGACAGGGTCTCGCTTGGGTTGGAGGAAGAGGCGGGGGTCTGAAGGCGCGGCGCCTTCACTGGTGAGGGGGGGCAAGCGGGGGAGAGAAAGGGCGGAGCCTCCGATTGGCACTGGCGCCTGAAGGGGCGGTGCGTGCCGCTTTCTCCGCCTCCCCGACCTCCCGCTATTGGTCGGAGTTGCCTGACGTGCTTGTTTCCATGACGTATGTGGGTCGGGCTGAGGCGTTTGATGAGGCCCGGCGGGCTCCGGGTCGTTGACTTTGCCACGAGCGTCTCCCTGGGGGGGGGGGAGCTAAGGCGCTTTTGCCCCTCCTCTTCCACCTCACTTGCACGTCCCCGCCTCCCCCCCCCCGCTCCATTGGGCCACCCCCACCCCACAAACTGTGGGCAGGGGGGTCGTCTGGCGCCGGCGCGGGTCGCTCTGGCCGTTGACTCACTTCAGGCTGGGAAAGGCGAGGGACGTGTGGAGGAGGATTTGGGGGGGGAGCGGGGGGAGGGGGCGGTTAGAAGACCCAACTGCCAAAGGAGGCGGAGGTCACCGTTTGTCAGCTCGCTAGCGCGAAACATGCGCCCTCGAGGAGACCGCAGAGAAAACCCCGAGCGGCGGCCGTTCGCCCTTCCGAGCGGCATCTGCGATTGAAATGACAGCACGAGAGACGGGACTTCGACGTGCCTGAGCGATGGGCCGTCTTAGGGAGGAGCGGGAGGTGGGCCTGAAGGGGTTAGAAGGCAGTGCACCCAAGCCAATGCACACGACGTTCCCTCAGAGGGCCGGCATTTACAGACAGAGACCACGGAGGAGGGAGAGGCGACCGATTTCCGTCACTGACACTTGATGATGATGATGATCGGGGGAGGGGGCGCTGGGAGAGACCGGATCTCTCGCTCTGCCGCCTGTCATGTCCTCCCTGTCAGAACAAAGATGACGACGCGTGCTGCTGCTTCGTGTTTAGTCACTTCCTCGCCTTGCCAGAGCAGTTGCTTTTGAGGAGCCTCGCGGCAGCGTGTGCGTGAGAGGAAGGGGGTGAGGGACAAAGTGAAGAGCTGCCATTTATATTAGAGATCATATGTATAAAAGCGTGGTGGTGCTCAGCCTTTAAATCCGTTTTATTCTCCATCGACGTCGCTAGCCCAGTCCTAAACTGTTTGGTCCTGGGGGTGCATTATAGCTGAGTGGCTTCCATGATCTCTGTGGGTCAGCTGCACACACGGAGTTCAAATGAAAGTTGAGGTAACAGGGAAATGATGTTCACGTTTGGCGGAGAATCCTGCCTGTCTTTCGCCAGACATCATACAAAAACACTGTGCCCAGTTTGTTTGAAGGTCCATGCCTGTGTTATGTATAGATCTGCACCAGGACTATGTCTGGAAGTAGGAGGAACAGTGATCCACTATGGTTCCAATGTGATACAAATGTCAAAAATTACAGGAAACACACATCCTGGTACAGTCATAGCATCAATGATGACAGTATTATGGAACCACGAGGCTTCCTAATTCTATTCATCATAAGTGGTACCTTGGGTTACAGACGCTTCAGGTTACAGACACTTCAAGTTACAGACTCCACTAACCCAGAAATAGTACCTCGGGTTAAGAATTTTGCTTCAGGATGAGAAAGAAATTGTGCTCCGGCGGCGGCGGGAGACCCCATTAGCTAAAGTGGTGCTTCAGGTTAAGAACAGTTTCAGGTTAAGAGCAGACCTCCGGAACGAATTAAGTACTTAACCCAAGGTACCACTGTATTGGCGCCTTACTGAACACAGCTTCCGCCTAAATCAGAGCTCCTGATTTAAGGTACACTTAAGCTGTTATTTCCACCTTCTGCTCATTGGCACTGTATTCCTGAAGAGGGGCAGATACTGCCTTCAACATGTTCAGTTCTCTCACACCGGCTTTCACAGGGTTTCCCTATTACGCATCCTCTCATTTTGCCAGGTGCAAATACTATAATGCTTTTTCTTAGGCTAATCCACACCCATTGTCTTCCAAGACACTTGTACTAAACTTAGAAGTGACATGAATAGAGTGCACTCTGAAGTAGTGCTACCTCTTGCTCAGTCTTAACACAACGCTCTTCACATACAATTGCAATAAATGTTCACATAAAAAATGTGTCATAATATGTGACAGAAAAATGTAAATGTTACCGGGGTGGGAACATTTTAAAATATTAGGCATCCTGCTTCATTGCTCCCAGCTCATCCTAAATCTGCCTCTGGAGTCTGACTGTTGAAACTTGTGCTTGGCACATCTGAATGATCTTTCATGTTCTTCAGTAAGTCCTAGCCTTATAACATTTTTCTTCTCTTGTGTCTTCTCATATCACTGGCAAAGCTTCCTGGGTGAGGTAGGGCTGGCTAATCTTCACTGTCACTGTCCATGGATGGAGCAAAAGATGCAATTTCAAAAGCACAATATTTACTCCAAAATCAATAACACAGAGGAGACTTGCTCACAATACTCTTTCTGATCAAAGAAAGCTTTTTCTGACCAAAGAGATGTGGTGAAAGGGTTGTGGAGAAAGACTAAGTTCCTTGTTATGTCTTATACAATGAAAGACGAAAAAGGACATGATAAAAGTTTTTCCTAATCATAAAAAAAATCATAAAATCATTTATTCTCTTTAATCACATGGCTAGCACAAGAAGAAAGAAATATAGAGGACAACAATGCAATGGAAAGAGAACAAAAAAGGAAACAAAACCAATTTTATTAAATGTTTTCTACCTGCATTATGAGTTGGGCACTCTCATAAACAATCCCAGTACTTAATGGGGGTCCCCATCAATGCTTAAAGTAGTAATATTTCAAATTTATGTTTGAGATTCTTGGTGAATTTGAGCATATATAATTCAATAGAGCATGTGATATAAAAATAGGTACCTTTTTCTACCTTATCAGATTTCCTCTGGTAAGCTACCCAAATACTTGGGTAGTGAGGACATGATGGGCCAGACTGTAATGTTTCTTTTTAATTCTGTGCCTTATGCACACATACAAATGATTTTAAAGAAACACGCCTGGGATGTTTGAAGTTATGGTGATAGGTTGGGGCCTGGCAGTGGGTAGGGTGAGGAGAGGCAAAGCAGGGCACACTGCCTACTATAGAACGGCCCAAGAGTCAGTCAAAAGAATCCTATCAGATCTGTTGAAATGGCTATACAGTATACTACTTTATGCTGTTTCTTATTTAGCCTCAGTTTGCCTCCCTCCCGGCAAAGTTCTTTTTTAAAGAATGCAATCAAATAAGAGTCACTGCAATATTTATTTCCTTTCTGAATGCAGCTGAGTATTACCTTATGCCAGATATATTTAGGTCAATTGAAAAATCAAAACAATGAACAGACGCATCCTGCAGACTAATTTATGTGATTCTCTTGCATGTCTTCCCAGTAGGAGAGAATAAAAATACATCACATATACAAAATTCTCCTTCTCTCTGCAGATCAGTGTCCTCATCTGTACTGATCACTGTGGCTCAGCAAGACTTTCCCAGACATTTTAAAAATTGCATTTGGGAACACAGCTTTTTGGGACTAGCAGATGTGTTCCACTCAATTCTTCGTTTCCTAGCTCCTAAGTGCAAATGGTAACTATAAAAAACTAATGAGATAAGTTCTTAAGGTTCAGACACTGAACCTGGTGATCTCACTCTCTTTGAAATGCCATTTTTAATGCTACAGTTTTGCTTCTTCCCTGGAAATAATTATATCCTTTTGTTCCCATAAACAAGAGAAGAAGGTAGCAAATTCAGATACACATTTCCTTTCATTTACCAGGAGGCCTTAAATACAAATCTGGCAAACCCTGTGGTCTGGTGGTGTGGTTTCTTAATTCTAGATCAGTAGTCTAGAACAATATTCTCATCCACAATTTTATTTTATTGTGGATGAAAAAGTTTACCTAATTCGGCAGTGTCCACCAAGGTTTAGTACCCATCTGGCCATTTTTTATAGAAGCACCATCTCCCTGATCAGAAAACCTATTGATCCTGGAACAGGCTTAAAGAGTTTGCACCTGGTGTTGAGCCAGAGACACAGATTGGGCATATCAACCCCATTGCTGCCCAGTGCCCTTCCTGACCAAGTTGGCCAAGATGGTATCTGGCATGGTATTGGAACACCACAGGATGATAATTTTAGGTGACCCCAGAATCCATATGGATGCTGCTGTTGGGTTGATTTGGGACTTCATGCCCCCATGAAAACTATGGGGTTTTCTCAAAGGGTCATTGGTCCAACAAATCAAGCAGGGTATACCCTTGATGCAGTCTTCTTCAAGTGATTTGAGGGATGAAGCAATGAACTCCCTTGCCACAGCCACACCATTATCTGGTGACCTTTGGATAGGTGGTGACAATTTCCCTCCCACTCCTGCAAGAGTGAAGGCCTTTGGGTGGTGTTTGGATAGCCTGCCCCCAGAGACTGATAGGACATGACACATTCCTGAATGCTCTAGGGTTCTTTTCAGAGGGGAAAGGTGATGATTTTGTCTAAGCTCTAGTCTCACGATGGAATGGTGAGATGTGATGGATGGTCGACACTTGAGTACTGTCTCCAGTGGCTCCTTGATACACTGGGCAGCTGCAGGATATGAAGCAAGCCAGATGAATGACTAGAGTGCAACTGACACAAGTGAAGTCAATCGAGAGGAGGTCAGTGCACATAATGTGGCAGTGCAAGTAGTGAAGAAGGCTCATTTCACAGTCTCTTGTATCCTCCAGCAGGCAGAGCTCTTTTGGGTGGCCCAGAGGTTGCTGAGAGCTGATGGGACTGGGTCTGGCTTTAGTCACCCTGGTGGGCGACCTTGGCTGAGAGTGAAGCAAGGGTCGCACATTACCAAGGTCCAACCCTGTTGGGAGAGTGTTTCTAATGTCCCAGGCAATAAATAACACTACAGGGTGCCACAAGGCATTATCTTGTTCCCTATGCCATTTAACATCTACATGAAGCAATTGGCAGCAGTCATTAGGAACTTTGGGGCAAGATGCCACCAGTATGTTGATCACACTTTGTTCTATGTCACTGACATCTGGAACAGCAGAAGCTGTGCACGCCTTGGACTGATGCCTGGGTGCAATGGTGGGCTGAATAAGGGAAAATAAACTGAACTTGAATCCTGGTAAGATGGGGGTCGCTGTGAGAGAGTAGGTCCTGTGTCTGACAAATTGGTCGGTTGCCTGCTTTGGATGGGGTTGTACTCTTACCTTTGGTCCCTTACCTTTCCCGCCCTGATCTGGCCACAGCGATCCATGCGACGGGCACCTCCAGGCTTGACTACTGTAACTCGCTCTACGCGGGGCTGGCCTTGAAGTTGTCCCAGAAACTCCAGTGGGTACAGAATGCCACGGTGAGGCTCCTTATGGGGTCCTCGCCGCAGGACCACATTCACCCAGTGCTTTTCCAGCTGCACTGGCTCCTGGTCAGGTTTAAGGTGCTGGTTTTGACCTTAAAAGCCCTTTGCGGCCTAGGACCCTCGTACCTATGGGACCGCCTCTCCTGGTATGCCCTGCGGAGGACCTTAAGGTCCATAAATAGCAACACTAGAGGTCCTGGGCCCTAAGGAAGTCAGATTTGCCTCAGCCAGGGCCAGCGCCTTTTCAATACTGGCTCTGGTCTGGTGGAATGCTCTGTCTCAAGAGAACAGAGTTGTTGGCTTGGAATCAGCCTGATCCCCTCCCCCTCTTTCCTTTTCCTTTTCCTTCTGTGATGGAACCCCTATTTGGCGACTTCCCTGGCTTTTTTCTGTCCCACATAGGACCAGTCTGGATAGTTGGCCTTGGTGAAGATTTGACTTTTTCTTCCCCCAAACAGTTTTTGATCTGGGCTTCCACTGAAATGAGGCTGCATTTTAAGTTGTATTTTAATCCTGTTTTTAAGTTGTATTTTAATCAATTGTTTTTATACCTGATGTTAGCCGCCCTGAGCCCAGCCTTGGCCAGGAAGGGCGGGGTATAAATAAAATTTATTATAATTATTATTACTACTACTACTACTCCCTTTGAAGGATCCGATTCACAGTCTGGGTGTGCTTCTGGAGGCAGCTTTGTTACTGTAGCCTCAGTTAGCATCAGTGGCTAGGAGTAGCTTTTATCAGCTTCAGCTGGTTTGACAGCTATGGCTGTTCCTGAATAGTTTAGCTTGACAATGGTAGTTGGTAACTTCAAAACTGAATTACTGCAACACACTCCATGTGGGGCTCCCCTTGAATTTGGGCCTGAAGCTACAGTTAGCACACTTGCTGAACAGAATGACAACCTGACACTCCTGTTCAGAACTCTGCACTGCCTGCCAATTGTATCCATGCACCTATGATCTTAGGACTGGACTACTGCAATGCACTCTTTGTGGGACTGCCTTTGGGCCTGATCTTGAAGCTTAAACTAGTGCAGAATACAGTGGTTAGGCTGCTGATATGGGCAGACAGCCAACAGCATGTGACACCTCTGCTAAAATATCTGCACTTGCTGCCCATATGCTACTGGTCCAGGTTCAAAGTTCTTGTGATAATATACAAAGCCCAGGACAACTTGAGCCCAGGATATCCTAACGGCTGCCTGTGGCATTACATCCAAGCTCAGTCACCAAGGCCACCTGGGGAATAGATGTTAGTTGCCTTCTGTGTTTCAGAAGGCTGACTAGAAGCTTCATCCAAAAGTTGGGCATTTAGAGTTGCTGGTCCCATGCTATGGGAATACTCTTCCAGCAGAAATTTAGCAGCCATCATTGCGGCCAACCTTCAGACATATCTTGAAGATATTTTTATGTTGAAAGGCTTATTCAGTTGCTTAAACTTTTAAAAAGTGAGCCAGCCATTCTTATTATCATTTTGTATTGTTTGTATGGTGCTTTATGCCTTATATACTTTAAATTTTGTTGCATAATACCCTGATACTTTATTTGAGAGGCGATCTATAAATATTCCAACAAGCAAGCAAGCAAGCAAGCAAACAAATAATAAACTTGCAGTAGCTCATATTGGTAAAGCCTCACTCCAGCATTCTCTGTCTAATAGGCAATCCAGCACCAGTTATGTCTTTCAGATTTGCAAAAGTCAAAGAAAATACTACATATTAGTACAGCAAATCAGTACAAATCCTGTATTAAGCCTAGTACAGCAACTATGCTGGCACATCTCTACTTTTTAAACACTTTACTCCAATATTTTTAATGTGGATCTTGTAATCATATTACAAAATCTAGAAATGAATGTTATAAGATTAATTTGACAAGGTTGCCTCAGCCTTCTTTTATTACTCCTTTATTACTCTACATGGTGGTGGGCAGAAAAGAGGGTTTATCACATAATGCTTTCCTCTTGAGTAAGTGGGAGTAGAGATTACTGTCTTCACACTAGCTTGTTGTCAGCAAGAATAGCTTGCCATAATTAATTGCTACATGAAGTAATTTATTCCTTTTCTGAGCTAAATGGGTACCTTGAAGTCAAAATGCCTCTTGCAGTAGCTCCTGGGGATGTATGATGGTGTGATGCACAATCCACCAGGAACGTGAAAAAAACAAAACTAGTGTATTGGTCCACAGGGGGAGGGAACCTCCAAAATCCACAGTTGGGCAAAACCTTTATTTGGACTAACCAGAATGTCACAGAAGCTTCCAGAATGCTTTGTCAGGCAGGATGTTACACAAAGCAGGGGTGACAGGGAGGAATAATCATGATAATCATAATAATAGTTAAAAATTAGGCCAATGTTGTTGCCTATCCTGACCCTCACCGCTGAATTTCTGTTTCTACCAAATTCTTTAATGCACAGATCTGATTGATGCATAGGCAAGGCACGGCTTGTGAATTACATAGTTAAGTGTGAGCTGAAACATTGACCCAACAAGCTACACACACTCTGTCTCTTCCTATTCTACAATGGAGTGGGCATAAGCCTTAGCATGGCAAACAACAGGTGTCTGTGCTCTGGGCAAGCAAACAGGCACTTCTGTGAGTGGGCTGAACCTGTGAGCTTTGTTTGTGCCAGTGCTGGCATCTCCATGTCCTTGGAGCTGGCTCAATATCCTACTTTCAGATGCCTACTCCTAGCTTTGATTCTGATGCTGGTGATCCCAACATTGGGAAGCAGTGATGTCACAGCACTGCGGCCCTTGGAGCTGAAGACTTTCACAACCACCTTCCCCTGGGCTCAAGGAACAATGTGCCTCTCAAACTAACTTGTAGTTCAACAGCACAAGGAGCAGGTCATGGCCATGGAATGTGGGATAAGCTGCCCCTTTAAGGCAGTTCTCCAAAAGAGGTCAGAGGTAGACTGGTAGTCTTCATTTCTGAACCTCTCAGAAAAAAATTGTTAATTAGGAGCTCTCCTTGGTCCTGTAACCAACCAACTTTCCATGCTGCTTCCTCCATGGGACCAGTAGTGGACAGGAAGGGACAATGTCCATTTTTTTCTCTTGAAAAAGTATGACAGTATTAATTAGTATTAATTAGTGGTAGATCTATTACTGCCGCTTCACTACTGTGAAGTATTTAATTAAACTATCCTGTCTGAATTGCACTGGCTACCAATTAGTTTCTGGTCCCAATTTAAAGTGCTGGTTTTGACTTATAAAGTCTTATGTGGCTCAGGACCCCAATACTTCAATGCCTCTCCCCTTATGAACTCACCTGGACCCTGCAATCCTCTTCTGAGGTCCTTCCTCAGGTTCCTCTTCACACGGGAAGTCAAAAGAGTGGCCAAAATCTCCCTGAAGGTGTTGAGACGTCATTCCCGGAGGTTGGAAGCTGTCCATGATTGAACATGCAACCCTGGTAGACCTTTATCTTGTTCTGTGTTGCACATTGCCTGGATACCTATGTTAAAGGCAGTACATAAGTTTTTCTAAGGGATAAATAAACCAGATTGTAACATCCTATGGTGTACATTTAAATTAGTTGCCTGCATTGCCTTGCCAAGTGATGATGAGAACTTCTGATCAGATGCAGAACTGTGGTGTGATTTTCTTATTGCTTGGCAGGAGGTCTTAATACAGTTTTTTTTTTTGAAGTTGTGATTCATGCCATTGGCTGACAGTGGTGGTGGTAAAACTTACAACATGATGTTACTGCATTACATAGGGATGGCTTCCAAATGTTACAGCAGAGAGAGGAAGAACTCACCACAGGGATGCTGTTTTCACCACCCTTTGCTTAGTGTGCATACCATTTAGCTCAGTTTCCAGACTCAACAGACCCTCACCAGTAATCCTGTTCCAGACATAGGGAGCAGCATGGCAGAAAGTACAGGGGCAGGAATGGGACAAATGGAAGGCCTAACCTGTGCAAGAAAGGGGGGACTGAGATTGAAGAACATGAGGAGAGGCAGAGCGATGGAGTTTTAAATAAAGGCCTTGCTGGTAAATGTTGGAATGAAAACTAATGCATCCACTGGGTTGTGTGTGTTTTTTAAAATGAAAGCAAACCTCTCTGATACTGTCTGTTTGATGAGATCTCAACAGTTCTCTTCACAATAAACTGCTTCTCTTTTTGATAGTCTACGTCTGAGGAGATGAACTTTCCCCCCCACAAGCAACAAAGAGCTATAATTATGTCATTGATTAAAACCCCTTCAGAAGAAAATACACAAACTATACGAGATAAGAAGATACAAAATATACCAAAGCTACGCTTGTAAAAGAATAATAGATTCACTGCTAACTGGAAGAGTAAAATAGATCACTTGGATGGCTCTAAGTGCAATCCTATACATCAGGGTGGTCCAACACATGGCCTGTGACCCAACCCTGCTAGTGCCCTTCAGCCCTGCTAGTGCCCTTCAGCGGCTCTGCTCTTCCACCCTTTCCCATAAGAGCTTCTCCTCCCGCTGGTTGGTTGCTTGGCCCCTCTTCCCTCAACAACAAAAGAGCGCTGCCCTCTTTTGACAGCTGGGTGGTGAGTGGCTGCCTGCCAGGGATTGCAGGAGTTTGGGCTGGATGACCCTTAGGGGTGCCCCTTCCAATTCTACAGATCCCCCCACTCAGTTAACGACTGGCCTGACGGGGCCACACGTGTGGGGAAGACGGTGGTGGCTGTGGCAACTGGCAGGCAAGTGAGGTGGATGAGGCGGCTGTTGTCCTTCTCCTCCCCCAAACCCATGCACTCTTCTTCAAGGGGCTCAAATGATTTGGACTAGAAGGCTTCTAAAATAATGTCATTATTATTATTATTGTTGTTGCTATTATATTTATTTATACCCCGCTTTTTTATCTTGGCAGGGACTCAATGTCCCTGACAGGGAGTTGACCTATTAGTTGTGTATTTAATCATATATATTCAATTTAATATATTAAATGTGTATATTAAATAATATTAACTGTAATGAAAACACATTAATTCATGATATGTAAATTTAATTCCGTGTGTGACCCACAGGTTCTGTGGTGAAGTACTCTTGTGGCACACTTGGTCTGAGAGGTTGAACCACCCTACTATATATCGCTACTCAAAAATAAGTCACATTGAATTCAGGAAGGCTTATGCTCAGGTAAATGAATTGCAGCCAGATTTTCAGTTCCAGTGTGGTAGAACTCCCATGATTTTTGGAGGATGTTTTCCCAAATTTGCAGTAAATTTCATCTGATAGAAATTTAGCAGCAGCTGCCTTTCCTATCACTTCACCTCTATAAACTTCATTAATGAACTCCTGAATATCAGGATAGATAGAAAGAAAGATGGCAGTCCTACTGTTGGATTTTTGTAGACTTGATTCTCAGTGCTTAGAAACCACAAAAGCTAGCACTCCTTACCAAAAAGATATGGTTTGGTTTTTTCCTGAATCCACCAGTTAGACAGAAGAGCTTCTCCTGAAATAAGATGACGATTGTTATATATATATTTCTCTTTTTCCTTGGTCCCCAGCATTTTCATATGGATAATACATGAAAGCTGTTAAGCTAAATGGTCTGTATGAGTAAGGCTGAAACTTTTATTTGTTAATTTTATAGAGCTGTTAGTTAGAGATAAACACTTTGACTCCTACACTCATCCTAATCTCCATATGTTCAGTTATCATAGTCACATAAGCACACAAGAGAATAAAATTTCAGGAAACAGTTATCTGCATGTCACAATAATGTTTCCTTGGAGGTTCTAATTTCTATCAATATATTTGACTTTCATAGCCTTACTAATAATTACTCACAAAATCTATATACTTAGTACCATGTTCATAAACAATAGAATCTCTGCTTCTCAGTAAAGGTTTAACAGACAAAATAAATTGAGCTTTCAGCAATGGGACTTTATTACTTTTTCAGTGTGCAGCATAATATTTTCACCATGATGGTATGAAATATGTCAAATAAACTGCTCTAAAATATTTTCACTACATTCCTAAGATTCCTTTTTGCCTGGTGCCCCAACTAAGCCAATGAGCCCTACCCACTACTAATACTTTGAGAATAAGTCTCTCTGTGATTTATCAACCTTAGTTCTTTTTTATTAAATGTTTTATTTACCAGAGAATTGGAGAAGGGGTGGTCGTCCAGCAATTTTTCCTTCCACCAAACCACCAAATATCTCATTGCATCTTTCATTTATCTCTTTTAAAATTAAGTGTGTCATATGTTTGAAAAAAGCATTTAGGGATGGGGAGGGTAATATGTAGAGTTAGTTAAAGGAACTGTCTGATGGTATGCATGTTTATTCTGAAGGATTGAGTTTAATGCAGTCTACTTCCAAATAAGTGTGCCTAGGATTGCAGCCTTAGGGAATGTTGATGTGGATTCACAATGGGTCATTAACATTACCATTTTCTCCTGCTATAAAGAATCAGATCTTTGCATACCTAGTCTTGAAGATTTTCTAATGTTTAGGCCCGACAAAGAATGAGACGGACTCCCATTTCTCCTGGTCAAGAGAGCCATGATACAGTTTGCAGGAAAGTGAACATAAGTACAGTGGTACCTCTGGTTAAAAATTTAATTCGTTCTGGAGGTCCGTTCTTAACCTGAGGTACCACTTTAGCTAATGGGGCCTCCCACTGCCGCTGTGCTGCTGCCGCCCAATTTCTGTTCTCATCCTGAAGCAAAGTTCTTAACCCAAGGTACTATTTCTGGGTTAGTGGAGTCTGTAACCTGAAGCATCTGTAACCTGAAGCATCTGTAACCTGAGCTACCACTGTGCTGATTCTATAAAAATAATTAATGAAATGCTTGTGTAGCATAGAATTTATTTTATGTTTGAAGTGAGTCAAACATAATATATTCCCCCTTCCTCCACTTTCCCTCAGTGATGTAGATTGCATTTGATTTTTGAAGGCTCCATTTTCTGGTGACAATGCACGCTAAAAAAATTGTTCTAATGACTCAATCATCCTACACATTGAATTTAAAACAAGGAGGATGCCTCATACCTTCAAGAATCTTTGCAAATGGTCTGACACAAACCTCCATCCTTATACAATTATCCATATATTTGGCAAATCTTTCCTGCATATGGTCCCAACGTATTAGGGACTCTGGCCACAGACTAGGGTCCTTTCATATATTAGCATGTGCTTAACTCAATAAACTCAGCTGAACCACTACAAATAAGCCTGCTGCCTCAGCCTCTAAAGTACATTCTCTTGATGAGCCCAGGTAACACGCACCACTCGTGCATAACCCTTTATGCTCTTTTTCTGATAAATAAAGTGTAATCATTAACATTAATCCTCTTTCTTATGAGTAACATCATTTCCTTGACTGATGCTCCCTTAGGCCTCTAGCCAGGTCAGTGTTTTCTCTTGACTTCCTGCCACTTGCTGTCTTTACCCACCCCCCTCCCCAAGCAAGTAGAGATTGTGATAGGAAGATGCCTCACCACTTATTTGTGTCATCGGCTTAGTTCTCACAACTCGGTAAGCCAAACATGTGTAATCTCTCTGAGCACCTCCTAGCTGCTTTGCTCCTTCGCTGTCCTTTTCGCTCCTGCACTGTGCTAAGCTAAGGTTTGGGCTCAGAGTATCATGCAGTGGCGTAGTGTGGGTTACCAGCACCCGGAGCAAAGCATGTATTGCGCCCCCTAACCCATGTACCCTGCTTGGCACACTCCCAAACAATGTATATAACCAGCGTAAAGAGCACCTAGGTACTGATGGGTGTAGGCCCTGGTTGTCGTTATCAATTATTTGTGAGTTGACAGAGCATGCACCAGCCCAAGGCTTACTCTATGTGCTTGGAGTGTGAGAACTGCCCAAAGAGACACAGATTAAAACAGAATTCCATCCTTCAAATTCTGTAAATCGCTTATAGAAAGCAAGATGTAAAGTAGAAAGGGCTAGATTAAGGAGCCAGGGAGTTTATAAGGAGCTGTTGTATATGGCAGTTCTTCAAGATTTCAGGCAAATATGTTTGCTTGCTTGTTTATTATATACCCCACCTTTTATCTAAAATGTTCAATGTGGCTTATGGAGTTCTCCTCTTCTAATTTTATCCTTGCAACAACTTTGCGAAATAGGTTAGGCTGAGAAGCAATGACTGGGACAAGATCACCCAGCAAGCTTCATGGCTGAGCGAGGATTTGAACCCTGGTCTCACAAGTCCAGTCGAACCACTCTAACCACACAAGTGCACTCTAACCACTGTATCACAATTATTCTTCATTGTTATTTTAATTATAAATTTTAAGTAGTTTTCGACTACTTAACTACAATCTTATGAACTGAACCTTTGTTGTTGTTGTTTAGTCATTTAGTTGTGTCCGACTCTTCGTGACCCCATGGACCAGAGCACACCAGGCACTCCTGTCTTCTGAATTGAACCCGAGAGCATATAAATTCAAAGCATGTGCTGGATCATTGAGTCATGCGTTCTACCTATGTTGCTCAGCTACTTCTCTACAATGTTATCAAATAAATGTATTTAGCAAAAATCCAGAACCTTTTACTCCTTTATAGGATCTGATAGGAAATGAACAATGGTAGTATGGCTGTAGCAGAGAGCTGAGACTTTGCACCTACAAAAGAAATACTGTTCTGCGCAGACCAGAGTCCGTTGTCTGATGCATGTATGACAGGTTGTGCAAAGATGTAGTGATTATTACGGGGACTGAAATCCACACATGACTTCTTAAAACTCAATAAACTTAGAAATAAAAAAACCCAATCAATTTTATGACCCATTTACAATAATCTATAATAAACCCATGTTAACCACATTCTTTTCTCTCTCTCTCTTTTGGAACACATAAACTATAATTACTTATTTCATTGGAGCAGTCTACAGCAGAGTGCCTTCAGGAAATGACTTACATAGAGAAGCTGCATGAGAACAAATCTCCTAATGCTAATTTATCTATCCTGATCTTTAACACAGATTTAGCACATTCTTTTGCAGACATAAAATAAAAAGTGCCTATTTACCCAATTTCCCTGAGGTCTGAGCTGCTATTAGAATCCAGTCCGAGTTCGTCCCGAAACTTGGATTTTTGGGAAACAAGATGAAAAACATAACAAAATCATTCCTAAAAGCACACCCACTTCTTATATGTGCAGTGGTTTCTGTCATGCTAATATACGTTCTCTTTCATGTGTTTTCTAAGAGTGTGCATTAGCTCTCTGTGTACCCCGAATAACAAGACAAATCAGGGTGTTCCACATCATCTTTCATGCTACCAAGCTGGATCACACCATGGGCAAGATGTGTTGAGGAGGATTAGCAGAGTCCACAACAAACAGGAAGTGTTGCCTCAGTTTGCCCATAAGGTTTTCTGAGAAACAAAGCCAAACTGACATGGGAAGCACCCAGAGCTCAAAAGGGGAAGGGCCAGAAAGGAGATGGCTGGGCTGTGGAGACTGGGCCATTAGGGTATATGTGGCATTGCCCCATTAACCTGTCATTAACCTGGGCAGCCCCTACTTACCTGCTTCCTTACAAGCAATTGGGGGAGGGTCTTCCTGTCATTGGCTCTGGCTCCACCTACTTTGGGCTCTCTGGCTTCTGCCCTACCAGGCTCAATGGACAATAATCACCAGAGGATCCAGGGGGGCCATGGCCCCGGCTGCACATTTTTGAGGGGGCACAATCAGGCGCCCCCACAATAAGCACAGAGCCCTGGCAGCTGAGGCATGGCAGCAGGTGGGTTGGTCTAGTGGTCAGGTGGATGGAGGCAGCAGGCGAGGAGCCTGCTGGAGACGGGCTCCGTTCACCCTACATGTGGACTCCACACGCACCCCCCTGGCATGTGACCCCACCCCAGCTGCCCGGACCACCAGGGGAGTGCAACACTTGCCCCGTCCCGGGTGCCGGCAACCCTTGCTACGCTGCTGACAGCCACCACTATGGCGGTGGGTGGAGGGGTGAGAAATAACTGGTTGTCATAAAGATTGAGGACAGAAGTAGCCAATGTCATGCCATTGTTTCCTGCAAGCCTTAAGCCTGCCTAAACTATGGATATCACACTGTGAAGAGCAGGGCATAAATAACAGAGTTCAGAAAATGGGCTGCTTTAGAGTGATAAGGAAGTAAATTATATGATATGGTCCATAATCCTTTTGCTGCACCCCATATATGTCACATCTGATTGTCAGAGTATGGGTGGCATAAATTAATTAATCGTAGATGGTAAGTTTTCACTTGCCAGCATCGCCACCTCTGTATTCTTGTTTTAGTGATAGCAGTATTTGTTTTGAAATGTGTGTGCAGGAGCACTCAAAATATGAGTCCAAAACTATTATATGTGCCATCTTTGCTACCCTGAAGTGCTGATCTAGGGGAATTGGTTGAGGGCCCACTCACCCGGCTGCATGAGCTCATAACAAATCTGCATGTAGTAAAACACACACCACACACCAAACATGCTTGTAAATGCCATTCTTGGTTAGAAGGAAGCAGGGGCAGAGAGACCCACCTTTGATAATTTGTTCTGGTCTGATAAAGCAAATCAATCTCAAGGTTAGCCAATGGACAATTTTCAGCTTCAGTATGTTGAAATAAATTAATATATGCAAGTAAGTGCATTTCCCTATGGGCAATGCTCACTGGCATTACCATAATTTGTCCTAGTAAGTGAGGGGGAAATGATGGTGATCTTGTGCAGACACAGTGAAATTTATAATGGATAAAAGCAAAATGAAGGGGGATGAGGGTGGGGATAAAACCACAGTCCTATCAGGACCCGGTTTGCAGGTTTTAGATGTTACGTTAATCTCCTAGGTGCAGTGAAAGCATGTCATGTGCTCCTTTTTATCACAACCCAGCTAGTTTTCACCATGGCTTTCCTGTTTTGTTGCAATGCTAAAAATATGAAACTGATGACTCATCAGTTCCAACCAACATATATTTCACTTGTGTGGTTACACAGACACACTGTAAATAAGCAATTACCATTGTTGCTGGGAGATTTATTTTGTTGTTGCCGTGCCAACAATACAATTCTAATCTTTGTAGTTATGTTTACAAGAGAGGTGCTGGAGAATCTGAAGATCAATCAATGTTGATCGAAACATTAGACAGTTACCTGGCATCTTTACATAGATTTCTCTGACCTTCTGGTCCAGATTTGTTTGTTCAGGCCCATTGCTGCCCTGTTATTGAAAGCAGGGACGCGGGTGGTGCTGTGGGCTAAACCACCAAGCCTCTAGGGCTTGTCAGTTGAAAGGTCGGCAGTTCGAATCCACATAGTGGGGTGAGCTCCCTTTGCTCCGTCCCAGCTCCTGCCAAACAGGGGCATAGCTAGCTGCCCCCGCACCCAGAGCGGCGGGGCCTGGCAAGCTGCCCACAGGGGCGCTGCGGCAATCCGCCCAGGGGGGTGGTGGTGTGGCGAACTGCTAACGGAGTCTGCCTGGTGGACGCAAGCCCCATGCTGCCATTTTAGGCAGAGTGGGGTCCCGAGCCACTGCATCACTCTCAGGAGAGACACATGGCTGGGGCGCGCTGAAAGTCAGGCCCCACAGTAAGTGCCACCCCCCGCGGTGTGCCATTTTGTCACCCCCCTCAAGGGTGACACCTGAGACGGACCTCATCCCCTGCTCTCCACTTCCTATGTCCCTGCTGCCAACCTAGCAGTTTGAAAGCATACCAATGCAAGTAGATAAATGGGTACCGCTATGGAGGGAAGGTAAACAGCGTTTCTGTGCGCTCTGGTTTCTGTCATGGTCCTCCTTGCACCAGCAGTGGTTTAATCATGCTGGCCACATGACCCAGAAAGCTGTCTGTGGACAAATGCCGGCTCCCTCAGCCTGAAATCGAGATGAGCACTGCATCCCAAAGTTGAATTCGACTGGACTTAACCTTTATTATTTAAAGTCCTTGCACACCTATTTATACTAGTACACATTCAAGTTCAAAGCTGGTTTCAAACGCTGCGTTCTAATTGTGCAGATTTGGGACTCATTTCACACAGGCACATTTAAAGACAATTACAGACATTATGGTTGTCAAAAGGAGTGTTAAAGCATAGGATCTGAATGAATTGCATTACAATGTTAGTGTTGCTTGCAGCATGTCATCTTCATTGTGATGAAATTTGTTTCCATGCAATTGATTTGTACTGGGTTTTTCACCTTACATTGGAGTTGAATATAGCCTTAGAAAGTGTCCTTTATATCTGTTACATTCTGTTACATCAATCATATCTATAAGTATTATCTGTGTGGATACGAAGAAAGAATTTCTGTTTAAAGTATCATTGGGACTTTTTTTTAAAATAAAAAAAATGGCATGTAACTTTACAAAGAAATATATTTGTTTAGAAAGTCAGGCTAGGAAAAGAAAAGCTTCACTGACATTTTAAAGCTATTAAATTCATTGTAGAAAACCATCAATATGCATACGATGCTAAAATGCATTTTAAAGGATAGGCTGCAAGCAAAGTGATATTTTGTATGACAGAATTTTTAAAAAGCCATCTGCTGCATTAAGAACATTTGATATTTCACCATGGTATAGGCATTTGTCATCAGTGTGACTCAGATGGCATGTAATTTGCTCTTGAAAGTATTCTCCTGCAGCCCTGTAGATTTCAGGAATCATTAAATGGAATTACCAACAAAAGTCTAGAGAACAGCAGTAGGCTGCCAAATAGCTGGGCTGTAGATCTTCAAAGCCTACCTCTGGTTCCTTGCTAGGATAAAAAAAATAAAATCTTAATGTGTCAGCTGTAATTATACTCAGAAGTGGCATGATCCTAGGAGATGCAAGTATAAAAAGGCCTTTTGCTAGTGCTTCTTGTTATAAGAGACAGTTGAAATCCTTTTGGATTTTTCTCATGGTGGTATATGGAAACGTAAATATACAGCCTTCATGCTTGTATATGACCAGCAGTGCTAAAAGCAAGAAACACATTTTGCAGCAGGCATCTATTAGCTTGGAAGGAAGGTTTCAAACCTCACAATGCTCATACAGAAAGCTCACACTGTTTGTGTCCACACCATATGGGCAGTTCATAAACAGTTCTTGAGAACTCTGTGTCCTATATTTTTCCATCCTGCATCCCCTTTCATCCTATTCTAACCCTTATTAAATTAAATTTAGCAGGCCAGGGACTACAGAACTTTATTTATTCCTTTTATTAATTAAGCAGTGTTAGGCGACCACCCTAATAATGAAGAGATGCCCAGGAATTTTGGCAATCCCTGTTCATGAGACTGGAAATCATTGAGGCCAGATTCCTGACTGTCTTCAGTAACACTTCACTGGGGATTAATCAGGCCCCAAAGCAGCATACAAAACATGGCATGATTCTGGGTGATTGATTATGGTCAAATCTTCAGCAACGAAAAAAAGGGAATGGATACATTTTGGCTGCTGGATGTTTATATTTATTTACTTACTTAAAGCACTGCTCAACTACTTACTATTTTAAAATCTCTTAAGCAGTATACAAAAATACAATACATTTTTTTTTTACAATTATCATAAAAAGAGATATCAGCAGTGAAACAGTGATATAAAAGAAGAAATCCAGTACAGTGGTAACTCGGTTTTCAAACGTAATCTGTTCCAGAAGACCATTTGACTTCCAAAACGTTCGAAAATGAAGCATGCATTTCCGGAAGCATTTACGTCTGGAAAACTCAATACAGAAGCCGTGTAGCATGTTTGGCTTCC